AGGCTAGTGCCTCTCTCCGATGGTCCATTAGGCTGCGTATCCACACCATTTTGACAATAGGTGCCTTACAGCTGGACGATTTTGCAGAGATACTGGAGGCTAGTGCCTCTCTCCGATGGTCCATTAGGCTGCGTATCCACACTATTTTGATAATAGGTGCCTCATAGCTGGACGATATTGCAGAGATACTAGAGGCTAGTGCCTCTCTCCGATGGTCTATTAGGCTGTATACCCGCAAAATTTGGACATTAGATGCCTTCCAAGCGGGAAATATCGCAGAGATACTCGAGGCCTAATGCGTATCTCTGCTAGTCCATCAGGCTCAAATCCGCATGATTTTGATATCAGGTGCCTCGCAGCTGGACAGTATCGCAGAGATACTAAAGACCTGAGATGTGTCTCCAGTAGTCGGTCTGGCTAATTTCCGAACCATGTCGACATTGGATGCCTCACAGCTGAACGATATTGCTGAGATACCGGTTTGGTACGTATGACCTGGTGGTCTATGAGAACAAATGGTCGCTGAAACCAATAAATTTCCAAGAATGAGTAGCATTTCTTTTGTTATTTACTGATATAGCCAATTGTGTAGAGTAAAATACAGTCTGGGCTCTACGCAAGAACGTCTTCCAAAATTCGCCTTTCCGCCTATCATCTAGGAGATGTAGTGCCGCTAGTGCGAGTACTCCAGCTCTCCGGCGGCCTGTCTGAGTTCCCACAGCCGCATCTTCTCCCTTGCAGTCAGCTTTCTAGTCTTCTCGACTGCGTGGAGTCCGCGGCAATGTGCTTCTACGGCATGGAAGAATGGAACATCTCTACCCTCGACTTTGGCTTCCAGGAACAGACCGAAACCAGGAATGACGCCAGAGGCAGGAGGCTTTTTTTCGATGAAGTGGCATTCATCGAGGCACTCCTCCAAGATGGTGAGATAGGAGGGAAGTGATGGATCTTCCATCTCTACATCGTCGACCTCGTCTTCCTCATTCTTGGCCTCCTTCTCGTGCTGCTGAGCTGGTTGGGAAGATTCGGGCTTCTCTTCTGAGTCTTCGGGCTGCTTTTCCGAATCCTCAGGCTCTTCTTCCGGATCCTCAGGCTCTTCCTCCGAATCCTCCTGCTGAACAGTGTTCACTGCACCAGCAATATTTCCCTGCGACTGCATCGAGGCCTGGGCGTTCTGTCTGGCCTGGGACTTTCCTGATGTCTTCGGCTTCGCGGGTTTCCGCGGGCGCTCTAGCGCCGAGAGAGAGGGAAGATAGAAGTCGATGATATCCCTGAATCTCGGGTAGACACTTGGATCTTTGTGGAGGCAGTTATGAACCTTTATACGGCAGGCTCTGTTCGTGCGTAAAGACCTGAGTAGTGGTATAATTTCCTTGTAAGCCATTTGACCGGTATGCCCTGGCATGAGAGCAGCACGCCCTTGCAACAGCAGTTGCAAATCGTGTGTGGTCCACAGCGCTGGAGCCATCGTCTTTTCTGGAGGCACTGTCTTCGCCTTGAGAGTCTTGTACTGAGGTGTGGCTGGAGGAGCGACCGTGCTTGCTGATTCTTGTGTGATGGAAGACGACAAGTCTTTATTCCTGCTGAAATGAAGTCTCGAGTGTGTTGATTTTTGATCTGAAGCGAGTAGAAGAATGTGTCGATAGACGTTGATGATGTCGTAGTATGGTGAGAAGTTCTACGAGAGAGGAGGAACTTGCAGGTAGAGACAGTATTTAACAAATCTTGAGAGGAAGAAGACGGATAGGAGGCAGCTTCTTGGTTCTGAGGCCACATCGAAGCCTCCGCGGTACCCCGTACGCAGTGGCATACCAGACTCATGGCCCGAAATCTTGATGGAAGTCATCGGTTTTCTTGCCTGTTGTTGCCGGATTGCTATTTTGACACTCGGTACTGCTGTTGATGTTATGGTAGCTTCCAAGGGGCAACATTGGTCCACGTCGTCACACACGGCGACGACATGAGGCCACTTGATGAGTACCATGAACATCTTGACGCATTCGTTGTGGTTGTTACGTGTCAACTGCCGCAGCAAATCGAATAAGCCGCTTTCTGTGGATGCCATGAGCATTTTGGTATCCGAGTGAAGTGGTTGCAGTGGCCTCGAACCGTTGATGGAGCAATCCCGATTCGGAAGTTCGCGCAACGCCACAAGCCACACTGAGCCAGTGCCAAGACAGCAGCGCGCTGTGGCTACTTCCCAATTTGCGGCAGTGAACCAAAGAAAGTCGTCCCGTCCTCAACTTCAGCCTTCTTGATCACACCCGCTCGCGTCTCATATGCCGGAACTCAACAGCACGAACGGCACAGACGAGATTCCGTTCCATCGACGACACCGGCAACAATTGACCTGGAAGACGCGAATGACTGTCGGTGATAGGGCAGACATTTCGAAGCCCAACTGCACCTCTCATGCTGCAAAGTGGATCACTTCACTCTGGTAGACCGGTCGACTACTGCACACTTCTCAGGCAGCGCGACATGTGTGCGCGTGGGGTATTCTGGAAAGGTAGCACGATCTGAAGCCCAGTGCTTGGGCTCAGCGCTGGGCATTGATGGGCTTCAGGATCGTGGGAACGATTCTTCAGCTCTTAGGTAGGGACCTGGTTGGTACTGCAAGTGGTGGAAGCCAAGCGTTGTCCGGCTCGCGTTATCCGACATTCTCTGCTGACCTGATCAGGCAAAGAGCGCGATTCCTGGATATCATCAGAAGCGCTGCGGCTGAGGATAGATTGAGCGAAAAGTCGTGTCGCTGGTGTCCGCTGCTAGTTCTACTGCTGCATTCCTCAGTTCTGGTTTCGCTACTCATCTTCCAGTTCTCCACATTCAATTCGAGTTTACATCGCATTCGTCATTTTCTTCACAGGCGTAGCCTTGCAACATTGTCCAGAGAACTTGTGCAGGGTGGGAGATCCGAAGGTTACTTGGCAACAGGCACTTCCAGGCACTTGCCAGCAAGCCGCGTATCGATGCCCTCAACATCCGTGTCGTTCGGCACATACTTACCGAGGCAGATTACACTAAAGATACAGATCTCGAGTTGGTCTACGTCTCTGTGATAAACCAGGTCGTCTCGAGGTGACGCTGGTTGTCCTAGCATACGGCCGTCACCAAGCAGCTTCTCGTCCGCATGACAGGCCATTTGATACCCGTTGATGAGACTCACCTCAACGTGAAAGGCAGCTCAATAGATAACCTCCCGGTCAGTTCAGTCATCAATCTGATAGTAACTTGCAGCGTTGATGCCCGGTCGACTAAACGAAACTTTGATTACTGTAGAACTCTGATGGCGGAACCCCAATCATGCGTACAGAATTTGCAGACGACATTTTATCATGCTCCTGTCAACACTTGCCATCATAGGATTGCCACTTTGTTACAGCTAACAATAGCAAGTGGCGATCTCAAGATGCAAAGAGTAGGCGAAACAGAAAGTCACGGAAGACCCTGGGTGAATGCCGATCCCATGCGTGGCCGCCCGAGCAACGTCAATCAACAATTGAGGTGTGGGCCGGACAGCAGCTGGACTGGGCATCATGGAAGAGCTTGACGTATCCATTCACTCGAAAGAGAGACACAAGCAGACTGTCAACAGTTCTCATTGAACATCGCCAAGTTTTGAATTATACTGAGTACAAGATTGCATTGCTGCGTAATGCTGTAGTATTGAGCTCTTGAGGGAGAAACTGCCCACATTACTCCCCCGCTCACTCTACGCTCTAAGATATCCTTCGCCATGCGAAGTTAATAGTACAATAGACCCCCGTTTCGTCTTTTTCCCTTTCGTTGCTAGTAATACAAGGTCGTCATTAGGGCTTGGGGTATATAACAATTCGTCATTAGAAACGACATGTCCAGCAGGTCGTGTAAAACCAGAACAAACATAAAGCAAGCAAGGTTGGAGCTGCCCATTCAGCTCTCAACAAATAGAAAGACTTTCTCGTTGTAAATGCTCGATGTTGTACATGCGCGCGTGTCGCTTATTCTCCAAACGCCTGGAGCGCTGTCGCTGTGGTGAATACTTCTTCTTGTTGGTCCGGGTGGATCATCCCTCCGAGGTGGGATGGTAATAGATGTAGTGTCGTACGACTATTACGCGTCCTGCTTGTGGATACGCGATGAAGGTGGAAGTGGCCCTGTCGTACTGCTAGTCGCCGTGTTGTTCGAAGCTGTCGAGTCTTGGTGCTGTAGGAGATTCGTCGCTGTCGTGATACCATCGTGATATTGTGGACGATAATGCATATGCATTTGCTGTGGTTGTGGAGTAGGTCGTACAAACTCGGAGTCTTCCATTTCGGGTGCATCGAGCTCCATGGCTTTCTCTTTGCACGCTGTGGCTGAGAAGCCGTTGCCAACTTTGCCGGAAATGATGCGCCAACGGTCGGCTTCGTATTCCTGCATGGCGGATTGGAGACGTTGAACCTGTAAACAGTCAGTCAGGATGTTCGTAGTCACTGTAAGTGCCATACCCTCATCGCCAGTGATGCTGACAGAGAGAACGAGCCAGATACAAACACCTACCATATCATCCGTCCAGATCGTGGTCTTGGCTTTAAGCTTCGTGCAGTATCGAACCTGCAGTGTGCCGGAACTTCGGCCGGGAAAGAAGTCGGCAATTTGTTTCCAGGTAAGGTTCTTGGTCTCTTTGAGTTCGACAAGCAAAGCATCGTCCTCCGGAGTGAACTTGAGTTTGGGGCCTTTGGGTCGAGGTGCCGGCTCGGGCATGCCAGGCTGCCCAACAACGCTTGGCGGCCCGTGTTCGTCATCTTCTGGCGTCTCACGACCGAAGGTGCGCTGAATCTTGTTCGGAGGTTGCTGATTTGGGAGACGGTGGTGATGGTGTGCGGTCTGCTGTTGCTGATACGCTGCGTACGTCTGTTGCGGAGTGCTCGAATGTGAATGAGACTGTGCAGAGGAAGACCGTTGTGGCTGATACTGGTATGAGACCGCCCCGGTTTGAAGTTGGGCGTGCTGCCCTTGAGGTGTGAGTTCGACCGGCATCTGAGTACCGCTGGAAGCATGAGCCTGGAGCTGCTGGAGAGCTGGATATTCGTAGGTGTACTCCTCATGGTAGCTTCTCTTTCGGGAAGGCTGAGCATTGGGAATCCCCTTGGGCTGGTGCGCAATACTCGGTGGACTTTGATAAGGTGTGCCTTGGTGTGACGAGTACGCCGCGGATACTTGCGAAAACTGTCGAGGCTTTTGGTGCGCAAGCATCTGCTGCTGCTGTGGTTGCACTTGGTTGAGCGCATAATGCTGCTCTCCGGGAAGGAGAACTCCAGGTGAACCATACGGGGCATAATCCTGTCCATTTTGCTGCGGTTGCTGTGGCTGTAGATACGAATGATCGAAACCTTGCAGCAACTGCTGGTATTCGGCCTGTGTCACCGGCGGGACTTCAGTATTGTTCTGCTCCGGTCCATGCCCGCTGAAGTCGAAGGAGAAGTCATAAGGTCGCGCCACAGCTGCTACTGAACATGGAGGCTGCCAGAGCTCTCCGCCCAGGCAGCGTGCCTCGACTGGCGCGGGTTGGTGAATGTCGTTAGCGACGGGAGACGACACGATGTTCGTGGCCGTCGTCGTGAAGTGATCGTAAAGAGCTTGGTGTGCGCGCTCCGATGCGCAATGTTAGTACAGGCTTTCGCGTCGAGCTATTACAACGATAGTCGGGAGGGCAGCATTAATGTGAAGGGAGTATGGTCATAAGACATGCAAACATAATAAGGAAAAGGTGATCTGCCGTCTAGAATATGGGCAGGGCTGGCATGGCATATAAGCACTTGGGCAGTGAACGCCATGATGAAGTTGATCGCCGCACCTGCATTCTGCTGCATCAACACCCAAGCAGCGGACCTGGGCGTTTGAGGTGCCAGATTGGCTCGACCCGGGACAGTAGACAGACGAGTGCAGCAATCTGAAACACCGCAACGTGCAGAGGATGAACCTTGATGTCGCGGGCCTGACAGAGCATTCGTCGGTGCACATGCAGGTACTGCTTAGCCAGACCCACCACCGCGGGCTGAAGGGTCCACGATACCAGGATGCCGCAGAGCCTCATGGCCGTCAGGTCACGCCCACTGGTGCCTTCTCGAGTGCTCTGCCGCTCAGCGTCGGCTGTTCATAGTTTCACACCCGCTTTCTCAAAGCAACATCCCAGTCTCCCCAGATGTGGTGTATGCTTAGCTCAGGTTGGTTCGTAAGCGGATATTCCTGTCAAGATTGTGCAATGCCGAGGAAGCGAGTTCGGCGGTGCTTTCAGTTCTTTGCTTTTTTGTTTTGCCTTTGCCCTCAAGATAGCACCTGCGCTCGCTTCTGTGCCGCGAGCACCGGATGAGTTTGTTCCGCAATCGTCCAGGTGTGCATCGTGACCTCCGAAAGTGTGCAGCAGCTGCGGTGCCAATGGGCGCCCGCGCTAGCTAGTTCTGGACCCTTCGAAGGCGAGGGCTAGCCGTGAGGGTCTGCGAGTCAGTGTCGATGATTTCCACATATGGCCTAATATAGGCAGGGTTGAAGAGAATGCCGCTGCGGGCGGACCCTTCAGCGGCGCTCGAATGGCAGTGCTCGGGCAGCTTCCCGACGCGGTTGACGTATACTGGTATGCATGAGGCGACGCCCAATGCAGCTCTACCGCCGGCAGTTGCGATGCATTGGGTACGCGATGCGCGGTGGTGTTGTTGCGCTGTCACCTCGCTGTCGAAAGTGCGAGGTGAGAGGTGAGGTCGGCTGGTGCGACATCCGACGGACAGGCTGCGCGGCGGTGTGGGCAAGGGCTCTCGCCGAGCGCGGTGGAAAGATCGCCGGGCAATTCTCTCTCGTTCGCCAATTCGCCACCCTATCCGGAGAATGGCGAAACCCACCTGACAGACGATTGACATGTTCGGCAATCTTGAACGTTGCTCAACTGCGCTCGGGACCATCTTTACGGCATTCGTGGCGTGGCACAGGCCGCTACGTTTCATGTGCTGCCCAGACCGTTTCAGAGCGATGTCTCGCATGCCATGAGACGATGAAACGCCTGCGTGCTGCTCTGCGGTGCCTGAGGGTCGCCCGGTGCGTGTGGCAAACATTGCTGCGAGTGCACGGAGCAGTGGTTGTTGCTGAGGAAGTGTGGGTCTGGCGGTTTGGAATGAGAACGTCAGGTCTTCCTGCCGCTTTTGACTACCCTCCATAACACTACTGCTGTGCCGTCGTCTGCTACCGCAAAGCCGTCGTTGAACTCGCCTGTAAGGACACGATAATGCTCCTGTTTTGCCAACTCAGCCCAAATCCGTCGGCAACCCACTGCCATAACACCCAAGTCCTATGCCTTCTTTTTGACCCTTCGCCTGGTATCCGTACAAGATCAAGTCCGCATGCTATCTCGCATTACCGAGCGTTCATATTCCATTATGAACTCCCCAAACGCCTCGCCGAGACGCATGCCATTCAGTAGAAAGGAAGAGTGAAGTCGAGCCTCGAAACGAACATTGAACGCCAAATCCAAGCTTCGCGCATCGCCAGTTGCGCGTGGGTATCTCTTTCCAAAAGCGCGCGCGCATGCAATAAGACCATATGCTATATGCGCCAACCATCAAAGCAACCATCGCTGATCTTCAGACTTTCCAGCCTTGCTCCTTCGCGAACTGCTCGCAAGCCTACGTAAGAAGGTCAGTCTCTCGTCAACAACCCGTCGCCATCGCGCCCGAGAATCGATTCTCACCTTCGCCGGCTTGCCCACCTTCTGGCCAATGACTTTCCACTTATTGTTCTCATAGTCTTTGATGGCTTGGAGCAGTGCGGCACTCTGCGACACCGTTAGCTGATGCGATCTCTGGTACCAATCATCGCTGTGAGGCGAACAAAATTGCTGACCTCGTCTTCCGCGAACTCAGCATAGTGCATGTCCTACGGAGACACTGTCAGTCGCGGTGCTCTAGTAAGAGTATTGTACAAGTTGTGCGCACTTTGTACCAATGCTTCTTCACGCTTCCCTCCGTTCGGGTGGGAAAGGTTTTCGCAATCTCACTCCAGCTACTGCCCGCATCGCGCAGCGTCTTGAGTCTCTGCTCTTCGGCAGGCGTCCACGGGGTGTTTGTGCGCCCTTTCTTCACCGGTGGGGTCGGCGCGACAGGCTGCGGTGGCGGCCCACCCAGTCCACCCGGGTCAAGGTCACCCGGTCCGCCTAGCAGACCAACTGGATTTCCAAAGACGCTCGCATTGCTGCTCGAGGACCCCGGCAGGCCTTCAAGTTCCGACGCGCGACGTTTGCGCGAGTTGGTTGGGGAGATTTGCTGCAAGTGCTGCGGCGGGGGAGGGTGATGGGTCTGTAATTGGTGTGGCCGGTATCCTTGGGGTGGAGGAGGAAATGTGAAACCGGTGGGATCGTGTGGGCTGGCCAGATACGAGTACTGCTGTTGGTACGGATTGGGCAGACCCAGATGAGTCTGGATCGACTGCAGGTCGCTAGGCAATGTGAGTTGCGATGGTGACGCCGAGTATGTGTTCTGGTTCGTGAGGTTGGATTTCGCGTCCGATTGCTGGTTCACTTGCTGATGGCTGTAAGGAATGTTGTTAGTGTACATAGTTACAAGAGCATTCGCACTGGCCATGTAGCTGTTACACAGCTCGTGCCTATGTGTTTGCGATGATACATGAGGATCATGTGGACCCGGAGTGATGAGTGGGTCGGTAACAAGAGGAGTGACATACGACATCGCGGCAGAGCGGCGGATGTTTCCTGGGCAGGGCTACTGTGGAAGCGTTCGGTTTTGTTCTGACTCGAGAGGTATTATCCGCATGGCTCTCAGATGTGTCGGACGGCTGACATTGGCCTGCGAGTCGCCGAACGGTGCGACAGCACGAACTCCGCCAGGCTCCGAAGCAGCAGCGTCTATCGGCGCATGTGCAGCAGGCGCTGGACGAGGTCGACGAGAGACGGTCCTGCTGCTGCTGCTGCTAGTCGTCCTGCACGGCAGATTTGGCAATTAGGTGAGAGGTGGACGTCAAATGACGAGCGCAGAGGTAAGCTTCACGAAAGCGGAGAGGTAGTTTTGGCGATAGCTCCAACCAGTACAGGGAGCTTGTTGTTGGAAGAGGCGTGGGCGCGAACGAAATGGTGGCCTGCTGCGTCTAGCTCGATGTCTAGCACCGCCTAGCGGCCGTAGGTCCATGCAGACGAATGCGAGATCTGGGGCAGCAAAGGCTTGTTGCATGCACATCCGGGGCCCAGCAGTGTTGCGCTGTCGTATGCGGCGCGAGGGCCACGGGCATTTGACGTCGTCGAGACCACGCAAAAAGCAGGCTTCACGTCTCATTTGGGAATGCAGCGAGGGGATCGCACAGAGCGAGCGCTGCGGTGCGGGGTAGAGCGATCATGGCAGGGCAGAGGGTAGGGCCATACTGTCGACGCTGCTGCTGCCATGCCATTCCTCATCGCGATGGGCGCTGGCGAACGAGTGATGGCTCGCAGCAGCAATCGCCCCGGGCCAGCCTGACGCTGTCAGCGCGCTGGGCCGACGTCCGCTCATTCGTCGTTGGCCTTTCATGTGCAGGGTCGAGAGTAATGGGTCGTCTCTCCCTTGACCTCACGCTGCAGCATGGTATCGGCGGGAGCAGCCCGGACGTCGATTCGCTGCAATCACCGCGCGCGACGGCTCGCACAGCGGGGGAAATGCGCATCGCAAGCAGGCCGCGCGCACAAGCTGGACAGTCGCCTGGAGCGCGTGACCAGGATGACTGCTCTAGCCGGCTGGTTCATTGCTAGCCGAGGGGCATGTTCAATATGCGCGGAGATCCTGACGTAAGGGCGTGTTCGATCGAGAAGGCTACATTTCTTTTGCACCTCCGCCTCGAATCGCATGGAGCTCCAGGCCTGTCGGATGGTCGTCCGGGTTCGTCTGGAAGCGGATGAATTGCACCATGTCAGGTGAGCGCTGTGGGCGAGCCTGGTCCGGTGTTTTGTCTTGGCCGTAGCTGTGGCCGCGGTGGAGGGGAGGAGGATGAAGATGTCCGCCACACCAGGTCACGAGAGTCAGGCAGCACTGGCCGAGCCAACCTTAATTCTCAGTTCAGGCCTCGCTCGGTTGTCGGAGTCGTTTCAGGTGCGCTGCCACAATGATTTGAGATGGCGTTTCATCTTCTGTGACACTGCCACGCTGCTGGGCCATGTGCCCAACCTGCCCAGACACACCGTGCTGTGGCGAATCTCCAGAAATAAGGTGACGCCCGGACACAGCTGTGTCGCCCGGGACCAACCGGATCCGGATACGCGTGGACGAGCTTCAAGCCGAGTCATGTAGACTTGCCAGGACGACGGAACGATCTGAATGCTGCTGCGGACTGTATCAGTTGGACACGTCAATCGTGAGCCGGCGGAAGAGGAGCAGGAAGGAGGTGGGTGGGCAGCGACGAGGTGAGCGGAAGTTGCAGTCCAACAGCGCAGGCGTTCTGCGAAGGCACCAGCGACATCAAATTTCCATCTTGGCATCAAACACAGCATTGAGCATCACACATAGACTTCATCCAGAGTGCGGGCTCTAACAGCACTGCTAACACTAGGAGACGGAGCATATGCGAGACTGCGAGCGTACAATTGATGGAGAAGCCAAACAGCACCGGCGCTCGTTCTGAGCGCCACAGTACCGCCACCATCTGTGATCTGTGAACTCGCGGATGTTCTCAGGCTGTGGAGCAAATATTCCTACCGGTTGCCGGCGGTGCATTCGTACAAGGGCACCGGGCGGTAAAACACAAGAACATCGATCTACGAGCACCCCAGCCAGATGTACTGCTACTGCTGCGGTGCTGCAAGTCTTTGCACCACTGATGCCGTGCGCTACAGGCTGCACGTCCGTTTGCGCCTCACGTCAAAAGGAGTGCTAGCACGAATGACACCGCCGCAGAGTTCGCCCTTCGTCAGTGAAGGGTAACACATTCGAGATGGCAAGATGATGTCAGGCACGAACAACCAGCCTTGCGGTGTCCGGAAATTGGTGGTGTAGATTGAGACACTGAGCTACCAGCAATGGGCCATCCTAATGCATCATGTCGCAAGTGCGAACGGCTGACCCAAAGTTGCGCGCAACAGTTGTAACCATCATCGCGGGGATGGAGGGCTCCTCGCGTGCGAGTACAGCGAATAGGTCTCAGAAAGCGATCACAGATAGTCTGTGACTTGCACATTGAGTGCTCCATTTATGGACAGTTCATCGTTCTTACAAGAATAATCTCATCAAGAGTGGGCTTTTATTTATTTCTCATTCCAGTTTTGGGCATCTCTGGGCATGCGACCAAGACTGCACCCACAAATCAAACCTCTACTCTTCTGGTCCAACTCACTTTTCTTTATGACTGCCCTCAGCCTACTCCCTCTCGGGAATTATGCCTCCGGATCTTTCACTTTCCCAATCCCCATTTACGGCACTAATGCTGAACTCATAGTTCCACTTCCCTCCGATGCAGAACACATCTGCTTTCTTATCCCGCCAAACACGCCCGTCTGTCTCAGCGACATGGTCTATGTTCGTCAATGCCCGGACGTAGACCAGGAAACCAGCGATACTCTTCGCAGATGAACTGTGTTCATAATCCCAAGCAAGATTTACGGTATTGCCTTCAACGGGTCCTTCGATTCTCAAATTCAGTGGCCTCGCCAACGACAACGGTTGGTCATACCCTGCTGTAATTCCCCCGTCATCGTCATCAGCAGCACCAACTCGAACAGCTCTGCCGTGGCCCCATTCTCCATGCACCCACTCTGCGTCCTTCGTCACATCAAGTCCAATGCCCGTCTCATCAACCCACTCTCCATGCTTAGTCCTTAAACACCATCCTCTCACCATGATCCATTGAATCACATCCCCTTCCGGCAAGCCTTTGATTTCACTCTTGGTACCAAGCGAGCCTTGTAAAGAAGGAAACGCATCACCACGATCATCATCTTTGTACAAGACTTCATATCGACTGATCACGCGTTCTGTCTCCGGAGACGTCCAAGATATCCCGAAACCGCCACGAATTGGCCGAGTCTTGATGTGAGTTGGAGCGGGGATGGGGGTATGTGTGCAGGAGCATGTGCAGACACGGGACCAAGGACCATGTTCGAAGCCGTGAGTGCACCGGATTTGCAATTCGAGGCGTGAGTCCTTGGATGTTTCGATGTCGATTCGAGGGGAGTTGGAATGTATGATATTCCAGGAGTCGTTTGATTCTTCTTCATAGGAATTTCTCTCGGGGCGCAGATCACGATGGCGAATCTCGTATGCAGCGCCAAAAACTTCCTGCCAGGTGACATTAATGCCCATCGGTGTACTCTTCGAGACGATGTCCTTCGGATCGCGGAGATCGCGCTTGGGCACATCCTTCGGGACTTTCAACGTCTTCTCTCCCAGTCCAAAGTCGTTATGCAGAGCCTCTGAAAACGCCTGAGCAATCTGAAACTCTCCCAGTGCACTCGGGTGTAGTCCATCATAGGCCGCAGGCGCCCAGTCTCGATACTGAGGCCCACAATCATAATGCTTCGCAACATTCACTGCCACCACTCGACTATTCTTCTTCGACCACTCCTTTGCCTTGACTGGAAGCAGGTCATTGAAGCGTTTCGTATTTTCCAACAAATCCTCTCTCCCTTCCATATACGTCCGATTGACAATATTCCCCAAGGCGAAATCTACATCAGGTTTCACAGCTCGCGTTCTCTCCACGATTTTATGCAAGCTATCCAAAGTGCCGTCCGCATCTGAGACCCACCAACCAACATCATTGAAGCCTAGGAGACTCAGGATGAGATCTGGCTGCCAGTCTGACACCACATCGGCAATGGTATCTTTGCACTGAAATGCCTGATAGCCCCATGTCGCGAAGTGACGTGAGCCAGCTTTGAACTTCAGGTTCACATCGGGCGCATAGCCCCAATCAATGTGGACTGCATGATGGTTATAGGGATCATCTTCGCCTGGGAGAGGAGCGGGATGCGGGATATTGGGCGGGTCAGGGCCTTTCACGCCAGTATAGGGTCCCACGAAAGAGACTAGTGTCTTCGAACGCCTGCCAGCTTCGGTGTTGAAGGGATCGCCGGGATAAAGCAGTTTCTCTTGCTTGAACCATTGCCACAATCGGTATCGCCATGTGTAGTCGCCCTCTCCTCCGTGTGTGATGGAGTCTCCAAGGATCAATATCTTCAGATGCTTCTTTGCGTGGTGGCCTTGAATGCTGAGCTTGGCCAGGCTCCCGGTTGCTTCGGGATCCATTTTCGGTGACGATCTAAGTCAATGTGTCGCTGGACTGTACCATTGCTTGAAACGAACCACAGTTCCAATTAAGGATTGATGAGGGATGTTGTTTCGAGGTCTCGAAATTGTCAATAGACGTGAAGTCAGTCGCCGGCGAAGTGGGAGATGGAATGGCAACGACCGGTCCAATCACGACTTGCCAATGCTACATTGATGCTGCGCTAGCTATTTTGGAGATGTGAACCGTTCATATATTTACATGGATACTGTTGTACAATATGTATGGCATCTGGTTGCCGGCCTCGTGTCTTCATGCATGTCCACGTCTCACTGGACTGCCTTCTAGCACAGAAGTGGCGATCCTCTCAGCTTGCTTCCGAAATGCTGATATCCCTCACGCCACAAATTGTCGAGACGACATTGCACGACAATGTATCGTGCGAAGCCGAGAAACGAGCATCGTGCAGTCTGGCGAGGCTCCTCTAGCTTCTACCCCTAGCCGCGCAGGTATCACTCCTGCTAGACGCTTCTCAATCACCCACGTCGTGTGTTGTTCCTCTCACTTTCCCTCCCTCCATCCTACTGGCACCAATGCTGCAGCAACTTGCTGTGTCCCTCTCTCTGTGGCCAACATATTGAACTGTGCCGCGGCGTTCCTCGTATCCTGCACTTCAATTCTGATGCCCAACTCGGCGATGTCTCTCCTCGTCTGCGGGCTCACTGGCACGATCTTCTCGCCAGTCCCCAGGATCAATAGATCCGGCTTAGGCCACACCAGGTCCAACACGCCCCACACGCTCTTATCCACTTCGAACATGCCTTTCGGATTCCTCAATTTCCCTGCTGCGCTCGACACGCCTTTCTTGTCGTCTCCAGCTGACCCAGCGCCGATCGTGCCTTCTTTACGCCCTGGTCTGACCCATGGCCGCCACTTGAAAGCTTCACCTCCTACCAGCAGTACTCCCGCATTGGTGACTTTCAGGCCGGAGTCGAGAGCAAAGCCGTCATCGAAGCATGCGTCGACAGCTGTTGAAGGCGGGGCCATGTTTCCGAGCATGTTCATGGCCGCAAAATCTGTCTGCGTATCCTCTTTGCTCGCGGGTCCACGATCGCGACTTTTCGGAGGACGTGACTTGCCGGCGGATGCTGGATCCTGTGTGCGTGCTGTGGAGCTGAGAGATCGCGTTCGCTGATTTGGGAATATCGAGGCCACATGCCTGCCTTTTCTGCTTTGTGGGGCGCGCTCATGTTGTATTCTCTGCCCAATGGCTGTTGCATATGGTGCCGCGGTGGTCGAATGTCCACTGCAGCAGCAGCGAACAGCTGCAGAGAAAGCCGCTAAGGACGATTGCGGCCGCAGACTTTGGGCCATTTCGAGATCCTGGCGATGCCGATCCTGTTCGTGATCCAGCTAACTTGATGGTATCCCAACTGTCACAATGTACAATCAATGGAGATAGAAGTGGGAGCAGCAGCATAGTGATGGAATTTCGGCCCGTCGCTGCAGCTCATGAAGAGCGCGTCATGAATTGGCGTTGTGCAAGTGGCCAGTGCATCAAATGTTCCTTCGACATCCTGGCCTCTCCATCCATACACCTCTGTGCGTTGACATGCAATGAAATCCTCGAAATCGGTATTATCGCTACTCTGCATCAAAACACGTGCACTGACGAGCAATGAAGATGCCCTCAGTTGCCCCCACGGCCGCTGACATGCGTGGTTCATCGTCCTCGACATGCCATCCACATCGCATCAACTCTATGTGAGCAATCCTCGCTGCACCGCTGTCTCCGCCGTCCAAGGTTCAGGTCTATCTGCCGACAATCTCCTCCGCCGCCTGAACCACGCGGTGCCCGTTGGTGGACCTCACACTCCCAGCAACCACTTGAAGCCCGCCAACGTGTCCTGCACGTATTCTGTGCTCCGATCCAACTCCGGCCAATTTGTCCAGAACATATGCCCATAACCATCATACACTTCGAGCCTCGTCTTGACTCTATTTTCTCTCAAGACACTCTCATAGATCAGAGCTTCGTCTCGTAATGGATCTAATCCAGCAACTTGCAGATAACAAGCAGGCAATCCGGCCAGATCCGGATGCAACAATGGATTGAACCGTGTATCAGTAGAGCCTTCACCTGCAAAATTCGGAGGCGCGTGAGTGACGAATTTGTCTCCGAATAGAGGATCGTTGATAGACTCCTTCCGACTGCGATATTCGGACTTCCACTTCTCTGGAACCGCATCCCACCACAACAGTGACGGCACAGAAAGATATTGTCCTGTAATCGCAGGCTTCATCCCATCGTCTCGCGTCATCTGGGACATGACAGCAGCTAGATTGCCTCCAGCGCTGGAACCTCCTACAATAAAACCAGCTGTTGGATCTCCGGGAAGCTCAGAACTTTGCGGCGATGCCGTCTTCGCAATGTATGTAACCACATCGTAGCAGTCTTCTACGCATTTTGGCCATGGGTGTTCGGGTCCTAGTCGGTAATCGACATTGATACAGAGTGCTCCAATATCTCGCGCAAACATGCGGCAGTTCAGGTCTTCATCTGTCAGGTCGCCCATTGTCCAGCCGCCTTCGTGTCTAAATGTAGTTAGTATTTGAGTCAATGTGTAGCCTCAAGAACGAAAAACACACAGCATGACGATGACAGGTGCTGACTTCGAGACAGATCTCACTGGTTTATAGATCCTGACGGGGATCTGGTAGCCGTCTCTGGCTTGTATCGTGCCCATCTTCTCATGAACTTGATCAGGAATCGGGCCTGGGATCGGATAAAGATGTCGCAACTTTGCGAGATGGTCCGCTCTTCGCTGTCGCCATTCTGAATGCTCGCCCCCTACTGCAGGTCCTGCACGTTGTTCAACAGCCTGTGATCTTGCAAGTCAGTATGCTGCTCTGCATTTTCAAGGTCGGCAACATCTGTGTACCTTCGCCAGTGGCGAGGCAACTGTGCCCATGCGCACGCGATCTTGCTCTGTAATTATGGGCATCTTCTGAAACTTTGGCGGACCTCGATGACTTCCTCAAAGTTGTCGGCGATGTGGCACTGGAGAAAGAAGGATGCAAGAAGGTGCGGCAAGTTGAAGCTCGGCTCGATACAATACCGCGACGTTGATCAACCTTGGCAAGAGCTGATGCTGGTCATCGGGAAAGGGCAGCCACACACAACTACTCCAAACACTTCTACAAGCAGAAAATCTTCGCAAGAACACCGAGAAAAGAGTCAACAAGCTGACATTTGCTCCACTGCTCTAAAGATGCACGCACGTCAAACCTCCTAGCCTCAGAATACTCCTCAAAACCATCGAACCGCTCGATCAAGCCCACGAAACGGCTTCATGAAGCTCATCTGACTTCGATCGCTGCAAAAGCCCACCGGCTTGTCCAGGACTTAGTCACAGTCATTGCAGAACCAATACCTTCCTTCAATCACCCACACAACGCGACACAGCACAGAACATTGCCTCGCACACTAGTACACTTCCCGTCTTTCACTTCATCTTCGTCGGTATCTCCCTTTTTCTGTGAAGTTCCAAGAAGAGATTAGCAACATCGCCTTCACAGCCATCGCATGATCTCTCCCTTCGATTCCAGTCCACAGCCAAACGACGAAAGTTGTCATCACCAATACCGCACTCAGGAAGGAAAGGCTCTATGGAAAGATGAACTTACGCAAGTAACATTGCACTTGGTCTTCCCATCTAGCGCCGTCTTCTCATCTATCTTGTTTTTCTTGCAAGTGTCGGTGCTATCGTCGCATTGCCCATGAGCTGCCAAAATGGCTTGCTGAATTGCATTCAGGTTCGTGGACTGAGAATTGTCGATTGCATGTTCGAGTGGCGATGGGAGAGCGAGGGTGATGCCACAGAGGCCGAGAAGGGAAAGGAGAACTGTGGATGCAGATGAGAGAAGCATCTCGAGATGCTTATTGTGTGCGGTTCGTGAAAGCGATGGTACGAGTGATCATATCCGAGAAAAGAAGGCCAAGTTGGCTTTTATACCTCACGGATAGGTGAGCCACGTTGTATACTTGTATCGATGCATAATACTTCCCGGATCATTCTTCGGAGTAATATTTCATCATACGACTGTAGCCAACTTGTCCAAGGAAAGCTGTGCCGTGAAGCTCAGACCGTCCCTCCAGACTGGGCTTCAGTCAACCAGCTCATCCCCTGTCCAGAATCAAGAAAGGCATGTCAGGCAAAAGTCAAAACGTTGCCCTACCAGCTCTTCCATAAATTCAGAAACCACTCGATATCACCATAACACTCTTGTCATCTCCTTAACAGGGTCCAAAGCAGCATCTCATGTTTCCTCCCACATTGGAACAAGATCCGCCATGATTGAGAATTCCATTCTACGTGCCGAGTGTCAGTCTCTCTTCTACACGATGAAGAAATTTGAGTATGAAGGTTAAGCAGAATAATGATCTTACGCATTCAATTTTACATGCAGCTCCCGCGGGTGAGTTTTGAGTTTTGCACGTGTCCGTCGTCTCATCGCATATATCAGCATTGGTCTGAAAGACTGTGTTCTCTTGCATGACATCGGACGAGGCCGAGTCGAGATTGGTGTCGAGTACAGCAGCCATTGCCCATGGGAGAACGAAGAGGCAGATGAGGAGCCGCGATGGAGTAGATGTAAGGTGCATGTTGTGTCTTGTTTCGGGGGGTTGTGGTCCTTGAACTCCTTCGCTGCGGTTTCGTGGAGTCTCTTCGGGCTGCAAATAAGTCTTGGTTGCTCGTCTTCTGTGGCAGCTGAATGGTATTATATATCTCGTCAATGCCTCATAGCTTATCATTGGTATACGAGGAGTGGGAGCTTTGACGATCAACATCGTTTGGAGCGCTAGGTACTGACCTTTAGGGCTTTGGAACTCCAACCTGTTCTTACAGTGTTAGCAGTATGTGAAGCAGGCATTGTACGTCCACGGAAGTTAACTGAGTTCAGAGCAACGACCATTCGTGGTAGGAAATACGAAGCTCTGCCCTATGATAGATAGACTATGCTTGGCGCTGAACGCTGTTGTCCTGTCCAAGATTGAAGTTCTGTCGCTAATCAGTATCCCAATCTAGCTCAGAACATTGAACATGCAATACTCACTCCTCAACACAGAGTGTATTCACCCACAAAGCCCAAAGCAACACTGAAAGTTTCCTTGAACGTCCACACACTTGCCTCCCTTCGTTGTCTTACCATTCTGTTCATCACATCACGTAAGCCTCGCTGCAGGTATACTATGGCATGACTCTAGCCACTCATAACTTACGCAGATAGCCATGCAATCGTCGCCCAAGTTCAGCGAATAGAGTTTGCAAGAGTCCAGTTTGCAACCTGGTTGGCCGTCGCAAAGCTCTTGGATGATATCGACTGCTCGTGAAGAACACTGCGCATTGTCCGAGCCAGTATTCGGTGCTTGTGGGCTCGCGAAAACGACAGCGAGAGACGAGAGCAGAAGGGCGGTACTGATGAACTGCATTTTGGATATTGGCTTGCGAATTTGCGACAGCTGCAAGACGTGTGATGCGGGTTGACGAACTTTATCGTTGATGGAACGGGAGTAATTTTATGTCTCATGATCTGGTTTTCGTATTCGCGAGAACAGCGGTTGATCGACTGACGAGAAATGCAGTCAGTGCTTTCCACTAGCAGCCGGCAATCATAAAGATGGTGAGACTGAGTCCAGATTCAAGAACACCTATGGCTGCGTGGGATCCACGGACCCGGTTCTCAGTTGTTTAGACTCAATGGGCGGTAATCCCAAAATGGAGAACATAATCGGAAGGAGGACACCTGGTTCGTAGAAGTGTAAGGCTGAGCATCCTTGTTCGCAATGCAAGGAAACTCCAGTATCCCTCGGACTTCGTGCAAAAGCGTGCATCAACACGACTCCAGCACGGTGCTCATAGCTGATCCTGTAGAGCATGATGTTCGAATCGGAAGTGGTTATCTGCGATTGCTTCTCTTAATCAAAGGGAACTTGGTCCAGACAAGCTTCTCACCTTGATGGGCAAGGATCCTGGAGGTCGATGAGACTTCTTGTCACCAATGCTTAAGTCATGCGGATGACATGGATGAGCAAAGTCAAATTGACCACGTTATTCCCAGGCTTTTCCCGAAATTCCTCGAAGAGCTACGACTTGCCAGGCAATGACCAATGAACCTCGCGGCTAAACCGAGCCCCAGTTGGCTTTCCAAACCCCAACCCTATGCCAGAATTTAGCGACAATTTGAATAATACTTTAGACAAGCGACGCGAGCTTGCGAGCGAAGTAAGTACTCGGAGCTGCGAACTTGCGAGCAACAGCGACGACGTACGATACCCGAGCGCGTAAGGCATAGGCCCCTTAAAAAGATAGCATTATTTCTTTTAGGCAACGAACGAGCGCGAGCCGGTAGGCGAGTGCCAGAGAGGCGCAGTGTCCCTCGAACGTAACATTCCGTTTTGATGGAATATTGATTGAATTTGATGGAGCAGCTGGGGCTCGGAGAGCCAACTGGGGCTCGGTTTATCCGCGAGGACCAATGAAGCGCCGAGTCGACCTCTGTGATAGCGTGGTAAGATCTGCCATTTGTAAAGTTCTAGTGGTGTAAAATAAAATGCTTACTCATGAATCTCAGACGCCATTGACCCTCGTCCACATGCGTCCTCTTTCCGTTCGGATGGGTATTGTGCAATTGTATCGCCGTCTATGCCAATCATTTGTCCGATTCGCATGCACCCAACGCCTCGCTGATCCCATCAACCATTGCCATCGACATCGCTTTACAATTGAACAACATTGTTCAGCAATCGCACTTCCTCGCCCGGCTTGAATGCGGGTAGACCAATATAAGGACATCCATCACAGCGGAAGGCATCGCCGAGAGCACAGTTGCCGCACGAGCCCACCTTGCCTTGAACAGTGAAGTCGACTTCGGTCAAGTCATCGGCAGCAAGTGTTGGTGCGGCCACGTTCAACTTTTGCAAGTTCTTGTCTGCTTCGGCGCGCTTGGCTTTGTCCTCTGCGGCAATGCGCTCAGCGAGACCGCACGTGCAGTCTTTGCATGCTCGCCTTCTCTTCGTTCCATCCGGCTTGCAAGCCTCGGCTGTGATAATGTCAGTGATCTGCTCTCGCATGAGACGCTTGTATACCACTTACGAATGTTTAGCGGCTTCTGTCTGTCCTCCTCGGTCAACAGCGTATCAGGATCAATTTTTCCGGCCCGCTCCAATTCGTCGTCGTCTGGAAATTCGTCCTCTGCGCTGTCCCAATCGGCTTCGTTCTCAATGAAGCCAACACCTGCAGGCGTGGACTTGACAGCGGGCGCGGCGCCGTTGCCATTGGTGTGCTGCACCTCGACATCGCCCATGTTGGCAGCCTCTAGCTCATTCGCAGGTACTGCCGCTGCATCGGCCTTCTTCTTTTTGCCAAAGCTCAATTTCACAGTCTGCGTGGAGGCAGTACTGTCTGGTTTCACCATTCCATCACCATTTCCATCCATTAAGCCTGCCAAAATAGCCTCTGTCTTCTCCGAACTCTGCACGGCGCCCAATTGTCCATCTTGACTCTTCAAGCGGCCGCCTGGCTTCAAGCTGTCCACTATCCGCTGCATGACTGCGCGGTCCAGTAGATTTGCGCCCTCATTGGATGAGCCAGCGTCTGAGAGTAGGAGTACAACATCGTATGTGGTCGCAGGAAGTGACACCAAGCCGACTGCCAGCCGATCCAGCATCTGAATGTCTGTCTGTGAGCGGTCATATGCCTCGGCCACTTCTGTCAGAGCGGAAGGGTGCGAGGCGACGGAAGGTGGGGCAAGAAGGAGCGTTCGGTTGTTCGAGGAGGCATTGGTCTGCTTGACGGGGGCAACGAAGTCATCAGTCATATCAAAGTCGGGCGTGTTGTCGATGAGCACGGAGGGCGCCATGGTGGTCGATGGGAATGCGTATCGGGGGCGTGTGTGTGTGGAGAAGGGGAATTGGTGGTGGTATATGAGTTGAGATTGTCGGCAGGCTAGGTTATCTGCATGTGCTTCGAGGGAACATCTCCGCGCATGAAAGTGCAGGTGATGACAAACCGACGTCGGAGGCAGTCGAGTCCAGTGGCGTGGGAGGTGGGGGTGAGTCGACGGCTGCGGGCTTGGCGCCAGGGTCTTTCTTTCACCACCGCAATCACCGACGTCGCAAAGGTCATCAACAGCGTGTTGTACGCGTCTTCCGGCGAGACTGGATATAGAGCAGTACCTCCTCTCCAGTGACTTCACGATGCTGTCTCCAACATGGTGGCCATGATCCCGTCCAAGGTAGGTCCGACTCTCACAACCCACTCCCGCAACCGCTTCATCAGACGGCGCGAAGCTGGAGAGCGCGGAAGCCACAAGCGAGCACCAATGTAGCGCTTGGCGGAGAAACAACGACGATGACAGGATGCAACTGCATCTCATTCCTCCTGCTCGGTGTGCCAGGACATGTCTCGACCCCTTTTCGTCGTCAACTTGATGCTCCCACACCGCTCTACCCCCACCAAGAACACCAACAGCAGAACACTCCCACCATGAGCGGATCACCTCGCAGAGCCGCCGGTGTGGCCGAAGAGCATCGCGCGTTCATAGATCGAATGGAGTTGATGTATGAGTACCTCATCGGAGAAGGCTACGTCCGCCATATGGACATCCAGGTCCCTCCCCATGGCATGCCCAAGGACCCCGTGAATGTGAGTGTCCCCACCCAGCAAGAGTGAGGTGCACTCTCGGAATCGCCGCAGAGACACTTTCTCGTTACGATTGCAGCTCCCTCTGACGAGATGCTGCCCAGGTCATCAACTTGCGCGGTGCCGGCCTCGAACCAGACACCATTGAGCTGATTGGCATCCTGCCATGCTTCACCAATTACGCCAATGCCGAGCAGCGAGTTGCCTCCCGCTTAGAGTACGACATTCCCATCGCTCCAGGATGCGCCGCTGTTTCGTATCTGGTGAATTCCTTCCTTCCAGAAGACTTCAGGGACGTCGGGAGTGATGAGCGTATGCCTCCAACAACATTCAAGATTGCCACCGCAATCGGTCCAGCAGGTTGGAACATTGCCTACGACATGCAGAAGAGTCAGTCTTTCAATCGTCTCCCAACGACAAGTCTCAGAATCTGTCAATGAAGCTAATTGCCGGGTAGAGATGATCACAAAATGGCCACTCAACGGCTGGGCCAATCGCCATGACGTGTCGGTCGAGGACTTCTTCTCGGACTGGGCTCAGCGTGTGAAGTCTGACGAATGGGTCTTTAGTGCAAGGCCAGCATGCTTCCTTCGCACTATCCAAGTCCGGCCCGGCACTGGTACCAATGGCCACGCGCACGATCACTGATGCATTCGACACGTGCACGCCTGGACTGTCTGCTTCCTTACGTCCCGGAGCAGGCTTCTGCGCGTACGGACGCTGTGCACGCATCTTTTTTTTTTTGAAGCATTGGCTGTACCTGAGTAGTACACGGCACAGGATATGCTTTCACAAGAACGCGACATGATTGCAGTATGAACATTACCGAGCACACTCACGACAGGATTGGGAAGATAGAGGAACACAAAAGTAGTGATACAGATAAATTGAATTCACAGCGGGTATCGCAATGCTAAGATTCATGAATACCATTCCCGCTCAATGCAACACCAGCCCGTGCTTGCAATGCAACATGTTCCCAAGATGTCTGCCACTACGACTCATGCGGCCTCGAATACGACATGCCTCTCACCCCACTGATGCCCGTCGCCTCAGCATCAGCACCAGAACTCTCATGAATGCCCTCCCTCTCTGTCGCCGGTGGCAATTGCAAATCTTCTCTCCTCTCCTCTGCTTCCATGCCCGCTGCATCTGCCTTCTTGATGCCTCTCGCTCCAGGCTGCAAATACAGCGCATCTGCCGTGACCAAATCCTCTCCGATAGGTGGCTGCCATTTGGAGCTCTTGCGCGGTGGCACGTGAGTAATGTACATGGTGTCAATCTCCTCCAATGTACGGCCTTGGTGCTCTTCGAGGAAGAAGAAAACAATGGGGATCGAGATGAAGCAGCACGAGGCGAAGATGTAGCCGTATTGAAAGTCGATTGCTGAGGTGATGAAGGGGCTGAAGAAGGATATTAGGAAGTTCCAGATCCTGTTTACGAGATATGATGGTTAGTTGGATTGGTCTTGTCTGGATGGAGGAAAGGGCGTGCAGCTTACCAGTTACTTGAGCTGGCAATTCCCATGCACATGGTTCTATAGCGTGTGGGATATAGTTCTCCGACTACGACCCAGATTACCGGACCCCATGTCATTGCGTATCCGGCGATAAAGAGACCTGGGAAGGATTGATTAGCACGAGTTTCATCCGGGAATCGATGAGCGGAGGGTCCTTACAAGCAAACACAATCATGGCGGCGCCGGCCTTTGGCGTTGATGTTGGATCTGCTTGATCCAAGGAGAAGTGCCCCACGGAAGAAAAGACCATGAAACACATGAACATCCAACTGGCACCCCACATGAGAGCTCCGCGGCGACCGGCTTTCTCGATCACGTAGAGACCGGGGAATGTGAAAGCGAAGTTCACAGCGCCGAGGATCATGCTGGTGATGTAGCTGTTATTAAGCCCAGTTGCCGTGAAGATGGTCGTTCCGAAGTAGAAAACTGAAATGTTGTCAGCAAACGCAAGCCATGATGGTGACAAAAGTGCAACTTACAGAAGTTGGCGCCTGTGAGTTGTTGCAGTGCTTGCATCGTAACACCCAGCAAAGTCCGGTATGCCATACGAGGTCCCGTGAAGATCTCATACCACTTTGGTTTTCCACCTCCTGCGAATTCGGCGTCGTATTTCTCTTTGATCTCACGCATTTCCCGTTGCACTTCCCAGTGGTTGATGGTCACTCCGTACGATCGGGCAATGGTCTTTCGGGCTCTTTCGATGTTGTTGTGGCGGTAGTCCCAGCGCGGTGACTCTGGGAGGAACAGGATTCCGATGATCATCAAGGCTGGTGGGATGAAGCCAACGCCCATAGGAATGCGCCATGCTGATGCGTCCTGGTTCTTTTCGGTTCCGAAGTTGATGCAGTACGCGACGAAGATGCCGAGCGTGATGAAGAGTTGGTAGCATCCAACCATTGCTCCTCTGATGTATCTGGGTGCTGTTTCTGATTGATACATGGGAGTCAGAACAGAGAGACCTCCGACTCCAAGACCAGCTACCCATCTGCCCAGTGCGACTTGGTACCATTTGTATTCGGCAGTCATTTGGACGATCACGCCAACGCAGAAGATGATGTTCCAGAAAATGATGCAGACTTTGCGGCCGAATTTGTCTGCTACGGGCGCAGAGCATAAAGCACCAAACATGGTTCCAATGGAGAGCAGACCAACAATCGTTCCAGAGACTGCGTCTGTGAAGGCATAGGTATCGGGCGAATCGCCGACATTGCCAAATCGTCGTAAAAAGTCGGGCATTTCGAGGAATCCACTAATCTGACCTGTTTCGTCGACGTGAGATGATTGCTGAGAGCTGCAACAGTATCCCTCTTACCAGTATCGTAGCCAAAAATGAAACCACCAATGCTCACAATCGCTGCGAGAGCGAATGTATATGGTCGCAATAATCTGATCTTTTCTCGGTCTGTGGGAGCTCCATCTCTTTCGACATCGCCATGATGCTGTTTATCGGTCGACCTCTTCTCAGTGCCAATGGGCGATGCTGCGCCATCTTGTCGAGGAGTGGTGGCTCCACTGTCCGTGTTCTTCGCTCTGCCAAACATCTTGAGCCGATTCATGATCAGAGAACAGGAATGGAACAGAGAGAAAACAAAAACAGTATTACCAAAGTCGTGGAATGCTACGTGCCCTCCACGGGGCAGTTATATATGGGAACCTACAGTGGACCGGGAACCCCAAGGGCAGAAGATGAAGAACGGGCAGAGTTATGCGCCAACGTCGTCATCGCCATGTGCGCTCTGGTGTTTTCCCTCATCGAGAGCCGATTTGATAGCGGTGGAGTCGCCTTCGAGGCAACTTTGTGCTCTTCCGGTAAAGCGGGATCCATAAGGTCGACGTCAGAAGGAGCTGCCGTCAAAGTCCGAGCATGCAACCTTTTATGCCCATGGTCGAGCTTGGCGGCACAAGATCTGCTTGGGAAGGCTTGTGATTGGGCTTGGTAATGACTGCACGTTTTTGTGCTCGATCGATGCAGGCATTTGCAGGATTTCCGTTCTTCGTCACCGAATTTTGCTGTCTGTTACTGGTTGGGAGGATGGACTGCTTTGCGATTTCGCGATGAAGAGGCGAGACAGGTCGACGTCATTCAATGCTTGCCGAATGCCGACGTTGCCCCAAGCCGTCGACACACGCGCTTTCCTTTGCCATCCCACGTGTCGACCGTAGAGCCGCAAACAACTTACATCATTGTACATTTGCAGACTCTGCACACGACCAACCTCGATGCCGAAATCTGATGGCCAAGAGCGCATGGGGAGGCTGCCCGCGGCTCGGACGAATCTCGACTCTCAAACGCAAAATCGCGAGAACAGGACGCACCTGTCACTGCTTATGAATCTGTCTTCTCCTAGGAGGTACTGTGCTATGTGCCTTGGATCCACATAAAAACGGAATGCTCGGTCCGTGTCTTCAACTCCCGCCGCGCTCGGCATCTGTCTGCTTCCATGGCCGACCAAAGGGGTGGTGTTGAAGAGCTCGAGACTTGGGGCATCAGGAGACTGATGTGGATAAGTCTATCTGCGCACAGCACGCCTGGGAGCAGCGTTACCTCTCATGTTCTTGGTGCGGAGAATCTGGCTGGAGAGGTACAACCGCCCAACTAGCAGTGGAGCAGAAAGGGGACACAAAGTCGAGATCAATTGATGATTTGTGATCGAGGTCCACTGTTCACGGTACCGGACCACAAGACCTACTTCCGCTGTTCTCTCCTTTTGACAGCCCAGTGCGACAACGAGGCCACATTTACGCTTCCGTTCGTGGACTCGTAAAGGCGTAGTCTCTGTCGGCATCCCTAGCGAATCGTGGGAACCACTTTCATGCGATAAAAGCTGATTTGAGTCATACAGCTTGTCAACTTGCACCTGTTCCGGATCCCATCATAATTCCACTGCGCCCTGGTATCTTGTCTCAAACGCCCGTGGCCCTCCCAGAAAGCACAATCAACGTGTATCGTGGCAATCGCCCTCGGCAGCAACCATCACATCCAAAGAAGTCCAGTGACACACACGGCCAGAAACGAACCGCACAACACGACTGCTGATGGGCTAGAGGTTAACGATAACTGGGCTGCACTTGTTTGGCAAGTACCTCCATTAGCGGTGCGCTTGGCTCCGCCGGTGATTTGGACGTCATATTCATAGTAGCCAGTGCCAGTAAGGTTGTAGCTGATTGTCTTCGACAGAGGAGTAGGGCCATAATTATCATCCACGACGGTGACGACGCAAGAAGCACTTGACTTTGCGGGGTCCAGCGTGCAAGATTCGTGCATGGTGGCGCTGGTCTCGGAGTAGATCGCTGCGCTGGTCACCTGGAAGAACTCGCTGCCTTCTGTTATTGTTGCGACCTAGCAGCACATCAGCTTCACATTGCGGAACTCTGGAGCTTCACGGCTGTGCTGACCTGACCCGCGTTACCAAATGGAGCTGAAGTCATGGACACCACATAGGTTGTACTGCCATCGCAAGCATTTTGGATCGAAGCGGCCCATTGGGCATTGGGGTTCATGTTGTCGATGAAGAGCGGCACGGACTCTGTTCCCGATTCTGCTGCGGCGACATAGCTCGTGAGTGCCAGTATCAAGCACACGACTGGGCGCAGCATTTCCCGCGGTATTCTGGTGCAACGAATTGGGTGGCAGTCGCGTCAGGATCGGCGCTCGATTACTGCGCTTGAGAACCGTTGTTCTAGCAAAGCGTGTTGGTCAAGCGGACTCGTCGAAGTGAAGGCGCGTATCAGATGAAGTGCAGCAGTCGAGCAGAAAAGATTGCCGGAGGCATTCGCAAGTAGGAGGTACGTGGGCGCGATTCGTATTCCGCTCTAATCTCGTAGCTGCGTGCTAGCTGGACGCTGGAACAACGTGGATGGAGCCAATAATCCTGAACTTTCATATTGCAAGCGAGGTGGTCCACTCCGGGCCTACGCCCGAGCAGGAGCAACGATGCAAGGCGAAGGAAGTGAAGCGTTTCAACACTCGTGCCTGTGGCGTCTTCCCCGCGTCGCGACACGTGTGCCTGGCATGGCTGCTACACGAGATTCCGCGCTCGTGGACGTAGCAGTATAGAATGTGCAAGCGGTGTTGCGACCGTTTTGTGCAACGTGATGTGGTGGTTCCAGAACGCGGAATCAACGTCCGCGCAAGGCTTAGCGACGGAAGTCACGCCCGAGCGGACAGGGATTATGCGAAGCATTCCACTTTTCCAATTGTAGAAGTAGTTCCTTCAGTCAACAAACCCCTCAGTTTTGATTGTTCGAATTGGAGATTGTGGAAGCTGTCCGGAGCAAAAGGCCTGATGGGGGGCAGATCAGCTGATGAGAGGTCTCCGCCTTCACAGGACTGCAGGACTTCTTGCCAAATTCCCAACCCCATCTCCACGCTGCACCCATGTGTATGCGACGCTAAATGCCGCGCGGCTGTCGAAATGGAACAGAGAGCTTGTGTAAAGCACCATTGGGGTCCGAGCAAGCTAAAGAGCAGTGAAGATGGCCCCAGGTGCTGTCGATGGGGATGAACTGGCTTCTACACGACGCAATCCAGGACATGCAGCGCCATCACCCGCATCAGATGCTCTGCACGGGCTAAGTCACCAGCATCGAGGAGATATTGCGAATTGGCCACTCCGGTCGGGACGCCAGTCGCTCTTGCAACAGAGGTCGCGCTTGCGGAATACCAATGTCGTAGGCAATGATTTCCAGATGGCCCATCATCCAACGGAACATGCTGTTCGACACTCGCGTCGGATTCGAGGCCAGGTATATGGGCATCAAACATGAGAGTCCGCTATACATTAGGGGCCGGCACGCTGAAGCATGACCACGCGGTTCTCTCAGGCCGGCATTGTCGCCAAAGAAGTATGGAAGACTGTATGCGATATCTTCAGATATAGCCAAGATGCAGACGTGGGCGTGCGTGCATCGCGGCTCATCGTCTTGACTGGAAGCCAACCCAGACTTTATTTCGAGCAGGCGAAGGATCTCCTCGTTTGCAGTGATACGGACGCAGCGGTATCGAGTCATCACGGAAGCACCAATGTCATTGTGGTACACATCCTTGTGCTGAAGAAACATATCTCCGCGGCTGCACAGAGGCATCCTTTCTGCACAGAAGCGTGGCGATCGTTGGTCGAACCAGGTACTCAGATCTCCTTCTATTGCTGCCAGAATTTCGATATTCGTGGCGATCGAGGCGGGATCCACGACTTCTGTCGATACGAGAACTTCGCATAGTCGAGCTGCTATGTGCAGGAGATCAGCTATCATGACCTCTTCAGCGTGGAACCGGCTTTGGATACAATTTTCCAGCTTCAACAGCGCCGGTGGTATGCGCTGCCTTCCGTGCAGACAGCAGAGCTCAATTTGAGAAGCTACGCGCTGATACATCATGTGCTGCGCTATCTCCAGCATGGCTCCCTCACCTCGCAATTGCATAAGTTGCACTGCGCCATTCAAGTGAAGCAAGAGTCTCTGGCGATGGGTTGCACTCTCGTTCGAGCCAACCAACTCATACAGCGCCAGCAAGATGACTGTCGCCACAGTCTCGTCCCTTTGCGCTAGTGTGGGATATCGCAAAGATCTTTGTGTCTGGCGAAGGGCTTCCGAGTACTTTTCGCCGGCTAACACTCTGAAGGAGCGTTTTTCCTCTCGTGTCGGTAACGAAGCCAAGCCCAATGCCGTTACGATATTTGACAGCATGCTGTCAGTCTTGGCCTGGCCGTAGAGCGGGGCCACGAAGTCCAGCTCGTTCTTGGTGTGCCTAAGCCACACACTGATATATCGATCAAAGAAGAGGTTGGCAGCCGCAACTGTGGCATGATAATTCGGACTTGCGATGGTCGACATCTGCCCATCTTGCATAATGGCTTCACAAGATCTCGGGAAGCGCGGCCACGGCTTTTCGAGAACACTCTTATCAGAAATAGAGCTTTGGGAGCCTCGGTCGGCAGTTTGGGAGCTGTCAGAAGCAGCCTTCGAAGCTCTAATGTGGACGTCTCGCGTCTGATCGACCACGCGGAGACTGGCCGTATCCTGGTATCCGGTGCATTTTCGGTCCGCTCGCTTGCATTGTCCGCAAGAAGGTCGTGACTGATCGCACTGGAGCATCCATCAGTTCAGCGAAATGTCTTGATGACGCTGCGGAACATTTATACTCTTGTCTTTCTCGCTCTGCATTCCGCACAACCTCTGCTCAACTTCCCTCGGTAGACCATGTTGATCTTTTGGCGGTCAAGCTATGCTTTGGTTACATTCAACCAACATGAAGCTCTCAGTTTCGCCCCCAAGATGTGTCTGCGTTGCAAGTCGGGCATGCTGGGCCAAACATCAGCAAGTGCAGCTGCGAGCTGCATACCAGAACTGGTCTAGCCTACATGCATCGAAGGATTCATCCTCCGCTTAGCCATGGGGGCTGCTGAGGGCTGTGTCACGGTGTCTACGTCGACTCCCTTCTCACAAACGCTCGAAGCCAAACGGCAACACTTCTTTCTGCGCAACCCAGGCCTTGATAACCTCTGCGAACAACCTCGGATCCTGCCTGTTCCACGGATGTCGCATGGCTTTGTGTTGAACAGCAAAAGTCTTGCCATTTTGCTTCTGACCAACTTCTGCGACCTTGCGTGCGACCTGGATATTGTCGTCCGTTGGCACAATGCCCTTCTTAGTCGCTGCAATGATGAGTGTTCGAGCTTCGAATTGAGGCCAATCCTGTTCGCTCAAGCTGCCGCAGAAGACTTCTTTGTTGAAGTCCAATGTACACACGGACACATCGCCAAACTGAACATCCGTGCCATCCATCAGCCAGCGCGTGATAGGTTTTGGCATGGCTCGCTCGACACGTTCATTGAGCCATACTGCGTATGGGAGATATGGCGTTAAGCGATTTCTCGGCAACCTTCCCACACCGGACACTACCATCGAGGTCACGACTTCCGGATGTTCTGCTGCAAGTCGCAAAGCCACACTTGCACCTAGACTGTGTCCAACGACATGAGCCATGCCATGGTGAGCTTGCTGTTTGATCAATTGAGCGATCGTCTCCGCGGCGTAGGCCGTGGTGTATGGCTGGATGTGTCGTGCTTCGCCATGACAAATTTGATCTGGAACAAGAAGATGATAGTCGTGAAGATAAGGAATAACCATGTCCCAGTCATTGCGGTCGACACATGCTCCGTGAATGAGAACTACCGTGACTTGGGCCTCAGGGTTGATCGAAGAATGTGGTAGCACTTCGTCGACATCAAGATGCACCTGCTTTCGCGCAGGCCAAGAGTCGGAAGGGATACCCATGCTGCTTGAGCCAGGCGGTATAGAAGACTTGGAGATCGCGAACATAGACAGAACAGACCACGCCTTGAACACAATACCCGTGCATATTGTGGCTGTGCATGGCGATTGAACTCTAATCCTTCACGCGTCGAGCTTTCCGGGCACCCGAATCTCCAGGATCTCGAATCCGCTGAAGCGCTTCAAGTATCGTTCAGATTTGCGATAAATCTTCAGAGTCCGGTGTCGTTTCCAACGAGACTGTGCATTGACATCTTCCGGCCCCAGTATCGCTGATGGAGCTTGCCAGGCTGGATCGAAAACCAGCAACGAACGCTTTGCTGATCGAGTCTTCTGGAGGCCGACGATAGTCATGCTGTGTCCAGATCGTTGGAAAAACAGCGGCATGAGACCAGTTTGACAGACAATACTCGATCCTGAATTGTCATTGGCCTGCGAAAAGTACTTCTCTACGAAGTCGAGCAACTCGTGCCATGCGTCTCTGCCCTCGAAAGCATGTCCTGTGCATGGGATATGGAGACTCAACATGAGGGCTTCTGCCTCAGGTGTCCCAATATGTTTCCTGCTCCCTCGAATGCCTCCAGTCGCAATGCGGCCGTGCAGGTTAAATCCGGCATCCCACGCGCTTTCGATCACTTCCTGGATATCGAAGATACTGCACTTGTCAAGTGAGATACTTGGTCCCAAACTTAGTATCAAGCCGGGAAGGCAAGAAAGAAGCATTTGAATATTCCGGTACCCGCAAAAATGCCCGCCTTCATTCTTGAGCTTGTGAACCTGCACGACGCCTGTCGTGCACAAGTACGCATATCCGTTGTCTGAATCCTGCTGGAGATGCTGCGCAAGCTTGGGAATTACATTACGAACTCGGTTTCGTTCACCTTCTTTGCTGATAAGATCTGCTATGCGATCGGGCATGCGATCTTCGAATGCATGTCGACCCAACTCTCGTTTCTGCGAGAAACCTATGCATTAGCCTGCACGCCAACGCTACGACTCACACACGTTTATGCCACTGACCCCAAGCCTTCGGATCTCAACCTCACGATGCTCTGCGACAGCCATGCTTGCAGCTTCCAGCCAGCTGAGCTTTACAACTTTCGCTGTCTTCACAGCATCATCAGCTCAGCCACCAAATGAAAGTTCGACTTCGATACGATACCTTGTCAGATAATAAATCGCGCAGTAGTGCCTTGCTCGAGGCACGCACTGCCACATGCACGTGTGTGAACGCGTGTGTGTACAACCCAGATTCCTGAACCCTCGAGGTGGCTCCCCAGTCATGGATGACGCGCGGCCTGGCTGAGTGAGCTGACACGGTCAACGACCATTGGCCAGCAAACGTAACACGAGCGTAGCGCCACTTCTCGCATCGAGACAAGCACCAACCAAGCTTCATTCTCCGAAGCTTGGTACTGGGCTTTAAATGGAAGTGGTGTCTTCATGGTATGTGGATTGTCCCACACCGCTTGCCACTGCTTCTCGTTATTTGTGCGTGTTGTTCCTACTTCCAACATTTGCTGATCGACTCCGGCTTTTGTTACTCTTGTGAAGCCGTCTCTTATCTCCTGTCGTCAAGATGGCTGCCCAGAATGATGTCGAAATGCAATACCAGGCTCCTGGGCAAATGACTCCGACAGCGCCAACCACAGAGAACTCAACTGTGCAAGAAGTAACCGCATGCTCCGCGATGCTCAGAATGATCGAAAGCTGACACAATTCAAGACTCCACAAGAAGAAGAGAAGCCGAAAAGGACGTTCCTCGGCATGCGAGGTGGCGGCATAATTCGTGAGTAACACCTACACTTCCGATCGAGCTCAGTGTGAGATGTCCAACTCACAATATTGCATAGTCGACCTCTGCGCTTGCTTCATCTGTTGCGAATGTATAGAAGGCTGTTGTCATGCGGTCGACGACTGTTGTTGCTGTTAAAGAAGGAGCTTACGATCTGGGACATTTCAGTCTGACGAAGGGTTTGCCTCCGGCCATGGTGTGTCTTCAATGCGATCAACCAACTTTTCACCACTCACTTTGCCGTCACGCATTTCCTGCATGCCTTCCAAGGTCCTATACAGCCCTTTGCTGCCGACCCGTTGAGGATGCATCTTGAGCTGGCCTTTCGCCCACAACTTCTCTGCGATGTCCATGTACTGTCTGCCAAGGGTAAAGTCTTCGGGCTGTGCTGTAATTTTTTCTCCTTCGTAGACATACTTCTCGCCGGTGATGGAGTAACCTAGGAATGACACGGAGTTGACGTGGTCCCGTGAACACACGGTATCCAGCAAATTGCAATAGATGCCTCCTTCGCTCCCGAACGCCTGCGCACAGATGGCTGCTGAGCTTTCAATCGAGACAGTGTCGAATACTAACTTCAGTTTGTTCTTGGTAGCAGTACGGATACTTTCGCCTACCGATGGAGCTCGCTGGGCTGAGCATCAGGGGGGACCCACAAGCATTGATTGAGAGTGGGCGTGCTGATACATACATAGTCGTATAGGAGCTTCGCTCCACGCTCTCGCAACAAGTCGAAGTGTTTTGGAGAGCAGGTCGTGATGACCGAGTAGCCAAGCCTGATTCACGGATCAGCACACACTCTCGAAAATCTGATTGCCAACAACACACTGAGCTGCAAGCTGGACCGCGATAGATCCTGTCGAAGTGCTACCGCCATAGACCAGAAGAGGCTCTCCATTGGCCAAAGAAGACGAACCAGGAAGTGGCAAGCTCAAGCTCTTGTGCAAAGCATACATACTCGTCCCAATCGCGACGCCGGTTGAGGCCGCTGCTTCAAAGTCGACATTATCGGAGATGTGAAGTTGTAAATCACCTTTGACAACAATGTATCGAGCGAATGCCCCTCCCTCTGGATAGGCGTCATTCGCGCCATGAGCGAAACCAGCTATTCGATCGCCAGGCTGGAAAGATCTTGTCACGCCTTTGCCGACTTTCACAACGACTCCAGCGTAGTCGCAACCTACGAGGGTACCCGGAGCACCGGCAGTATCCAGACTTGTGTGATCAGTGGGGTTGAGAGCAATGGCGACTGTTCGAACCAGGATGTAGCCGTCTCGTAGCTCCGGTATTGGGATTCGTTGCACTATCGCCTGGCCGGCACTTTGGCGAATGAGGCCGAAGTTCTCCTCGTTGTCTATTGTTGCCTAATTTCTCTTCGGCTCAGGTAGAGGTATGCCGAGGTCAGCATGTGCAATGATATGTGTTTCACCCTTTATACCAAGATGCCCAGGCGAAAGGATCGTTGCGCTGCTGATAAATCCAATTCCGCTCTCCTCAACACCGAACACCGCTGGCGATATGCCGCATGGTTATTGTTTGTCCCTACCATGATGCCCTCAAGTTAATATAGTGCGACACGACGGGCGCTCTTTCGATCTTGGCTCATCGCTTTCGCGTACTTGGGAAACGGCCGAGACACCGAGTGCAAGAAGTCGCATCTCATCGTTCTTACCGCATCATGCCGAATAGCCGGCAAGTATGCGTCTTAAGGCCAAGGAAATAACCATGTTCCATGCGCAACCGATTGAGCGGGGGACGTTCACAAGCTGTTGGCGAAGTGAAAATGGAGATGGAAGTGCTGAGGGAGATTGTGGCTGTTCGCAGCTGGTGGCGGTGCAGCTCACCAGCCACACGTGCCTAGGCCGAGGTTGTTCGGCTGACATTGATGATTGATCAACCGCATGTGTCTTCCAGTTCATGTCAACGACAAGCCATTCGGCCCCATATTGACCATAAAACAAACGGCCGTAGTCTCAGAAGCAAGCACCAAGATATTCTCCAGCACAAGCAATCCCTGTCAGAATGGCGCAGAAATACACCGACATTATTGTCACGGTTCAAGACGGCATCGGTACGATCAAGGTAAACACATATCTTCCATCAAACAGCCACCAAACGCATCAGAACTAACTCGATCGCAGTTCAACCGGCCCAAGCAACTCAACTCCTTTGGTGGTACCCTCATTGAAGACACAATCGCCGCCCTGCGAGAGCTGGACAACCACCCAGATACCACGTTCACAGTCATCACAGGCGAAGGCCGCTTTTTCGCCTCAGGAGCCGACGTCACTGGAATCGCAGGCACGCCCCAAAACTTCAAGAACGATGGCGAGAAGAAAGTTTTCTGGGTTCAGCGATTTGCTGTCGGAATGGAACTGGTGCGAGCCATGATCGATCACAAGAAAGTGCTCGTGACGGCGATGAACGGTCCTGGTGTCGGTGCTGGAGCTGCTTGGTTCCAAGGATCGGCTGATCTACTGTATGCTGCTGAGGGAGCGTGGCTGCAGGTGACGTTCTCGCAGATGGGGTTGGTACCTGAGAACGGAGCTGCGGTAAACTGGGCGCAGAGCATGGGTGTGCATCGTGCGAACGACTGGCTGTTGTTTGGTGGCAAGGCCACAGTGGAGGAATTGAAGGAGGCGGGCCTGGTGAACAAGATCTTCCCACAGAAGACTTTCCACGCGGATGTGCACAACTACCTGAAGGAGATGCTGAAGGAGAGAAGCGGCAAGTCGATGATGGAGATGAAGCGACTGCAGAACAAGGGGACTCGTGACGCGCGAATTCTGTCGTTGTTCGAGGCTTGGCAGGCGTTGAGCGAGAGATTTGTGGATGGTGAGCCGATGGTGAGGATGAAGGCCAAGATGGACGAGCTGGCTGGTGAGTCTACCTCCTTGTCGTCATTCTGGACTTGCTTGATGCTAACCCGTTCACAGCGAAGAGAAAGGCCCGTGAATCGAAGATCTAGAGGTGGAAGTTCTGTACTGATCGATTTCCAAAAATATGCTGAATGTTGCATAGTTGCTGGCGAGATCGGAGGGCACATGGCCCTGGCTCGAGCACCTCACTTCATGTCTCTTCGACACTAACGCACACTTACCTTCGCGATCAGATGCACTTCTGCTATGTATAGCTATGATCAAACCGGACAGGTGCCATTGAAGTTGGCCTGCCCATCGTCACAGTTTCCTTCTCATATAACCATTCGTCGCCGTTATCGGAGCTGCGAACATAGCCTCAGTTCACACCTGGCAGCTCATGCTCCGTGCAGTTCTACACTTTCACATATCATCATACCAAACCCTCACCTCCCCAATCCAAAACTAGCATCTCACCATGTCGTCCTCTCCATCAACCACGTCCCAAATTCCGGCTGCTTTGACAAACCTTTTCGAAGCTATCGAATCATCCTTCCCCTCCACCACACTCGGCCAAGACAAATGGTACATCGTGGTACTCGCCTGCCTCGTTTCAGGCAATCATCCCGGACAAGCAGCCGATCTCTACAAATACCTCATCCTTCGCCCTGAGTTTTCTACACCAGACCAAAGAAAAGCTCTTGTCCGCCGCCTTCGCGAATGCCTCATCAAACTCGTCATCATCGGTGGAGTCATCAAGCCCATCGAGGCGATCTTTTGCATCGCCAATATTGAAAGGCCGGAAGATCGAGATTACACTTTTTCGAGGTAAGAGATCAATCAAAGGCACATCAACCTTACGTCCGCTTTTCATCTCGCTCATAAGAATCCTCGCACTAACAAAATTCCTCCGAAAGAGAAAACTGGTCCTCTGGTCCCGAAAACGAAAAACGCGGCCGAGCCTGGCTCGATGCAATCTACAAGCACAACCACGCCAAAACCGAAAACCTCCTCTCATGCCACAAAGACTTTGATTGGCTTTCACGAGAAATCACCTACGGGTTATTTCTCTCTGATCATGAGATTCTAGGACCAGTGAGTAACATGCCAACATGACCCCACTCAATCGGTCGACTGACCAATTATTTTCCAGGTCGAAACAGAACTCATAGTCCTCTCTGGCATCGCCATGCAGAATCTGCCTCGCGAAATGGGCTGGCATCTACGAGGGACAAGGCGAATCGGCGTCAGTGCAGAAGATGTGGAGAAGATACATCAGTGCATCGAAAAGGTCGGGGAGTACTGCGGATTGCCACTGGATCGACTCCCACGAGTCAAGGATATCGAGCATGAAGTGGCATTTGACTGATGAATCGGGAGGGAGGGCAAGTTGGGTGAATGCTCTGCGTGACTGAGGTGCCATAGTATGCTACCCATTGGCAGCATTCTCGCTACTGCTGAAACACGCACGAGGTGGTTCACGGCCATGAGAAAGTCACCGTAATAGAACGGTCAAGGGGGAGCGCTTTGCGCAATGTACCATGCGCGGCCTTTATAAGACGTTGGCCATCACGTCCACTCATTACATGTTCTCTCACGCATTGACCATTCGTGCGTATCACGATTCGTAGCAAGAGGAGATTCGCTTTCTTCGAAGCTGAGAAGGTGAAGACTGCATGTCCAACGAGCCTCCCTCAGTGCTATCACAGCTGTTCCTGGTTGTGAGCAGACCAGAACTACTCACCTGTGGTTCGCCGTATGTGTAGACGTCAGCTGTAGCGTGACTTTGCGAATCTGGTCGGCGCTTGATGCACAGCCTGTTCAGCTTCGAAGTCTCCCAGCGCCCTACACTCACACAGGTCGAGCTTGCGCTGTGCGACAATTGATCAGACGTCATCATCCTGCAAGTAATCAGACTGCTGCCTCATCCTCGCAGCCATTCGATGCTGAGCCCTAGTCTGCACGCCAGACGCCGAAGGTCTGGGTGATCCATCATGGAACAGCAATGCGCTTCGGTCACCGGCGAGGCTCGAACTAGTGCGTGTACCAGAACTCGACACACCAGGTGGCTCAGCATGCCTGTGCGCTCTGTTCACGAAAGTCTCAATCCGATCATTGCTTTGACCCGCACTTGCGTGTCTTTGACCAGAATCACTTTCGCCAGCAGGAGACGAAGGCGTGGAGGACGTTCCGTCTATCGCAGACACGATTCTGTAGCGTGGTCCTGGAAAGTGCAAATCGCGAACGGCTTGTAGCCGCCGCGCAACCTCATCTGGTGGGTCCTCTCTTTGGATCGCTCGCTGAGCTGCAGCTTGCGTCGCGTCCAATACCGAATACTGCATTGCAAGTGCCATTTCTTCATCGGTCATGACAGGCGTGACCTGCCGCCCTGGAGGTAGAGCGGCTTTGGCCGACAGCTCACGTTCCTTTTCCAGATTGTCCCTGAGCCAATTCATCGTGTCGTTGAAGTATACACCAGCACGAGTAGAGCTGGAGACCTTGTCAAGAGTACGCCGGATCGACTTCAGCCGAGTGATGTTGTAGCTGAGCATATGTAGGCGTAAGCAGTAGCCTCCGCAGTGGTCCGACTTGCACTTTTCGCACGTCAACGATTGATCCACTTGCTTCAAGAAGACATCCTCCACTGCGGTTGCCTCTAGCCTTCGCTTAAGGCACTGTAGGAGAGTGTCATCAGCTAGGCGAAGCCATTGACCCAACCGAATGCATTTATTGTTGCACAACTTCTCCGAGCAGTATTCTCTCACGTCAAGGGCGGCGAAGACATGTGTGCACAGGTCGAAGATCGTGTTTGAGATACGATCCGTTACAGCGATGATGGCGTCCACTCCTGGCAAGGGCGTCATCTCGTTGATGCTCGGAATAGGCGCTGCCGGCGCCCGGCGGAACAAGTCAATGGGATGCTCGACCGTTCGTGTGTCGCTCGATGCCGGGGCAGGGCCCAGATGTACAGGAATACCGAGCTCTGCAAGGGTCGGGAGCTTGAAGACGGGAGAATTTACGTCAAATTCCGCAGATCTGCTTGACTGTCGCGGCGGTCCTTCGTTGTTGTCCACGATGCCACAGGATTTGTTCGGCTCTAAATGACTTTCGATTGCGTTCTCAAGCAGAGATCGAAGATGTTGACATGCAGTTGCAAAGGCCAGCATAGCACTGTGAAACAGCATGGAACCTGCGCCACAAGCGCGTGAGCGTTCTTCGTGCTCACGCAATGCTAGAGATGTTCGATTCGCCGCTCGGAGATCGCGCATGAAGTTGGAGGTGATGGTCGTTTCAATGTTGTCTAGGTCTAGTGTCCCGTTGTCACGATTTCGATTGGCGCCGTACGGAGAGATATATTTGTCGATGGCTGAGATAGAGTCATATGATGGCGGAAGTCCCCGCCGGTCCTTCTCCCGCTGCTCTGCCTCCTCGATATCTAGTCGGCGCAAGTCGTCCAGATCACTTTCGAAGGTCTTAGCTACGGCATTGGCGTGTTCCATGACGGTGTGCATGTTTTGGACTTGCAGATAGGCCGAATGCGAGCGATCGACGGCATGCTGCTTCTCCTTGAGAGCTTGTGCTAGAGCTTGTTGATGCCGTGTCCGCTCGCTCTCCAGTTCGCTGCGATGCTGCTCTTTCAATGTTTCGGTTTGCTTTTCGTGATCGACTCGGAGGAACGCGACCAAGCGGTGTAGGCCAATCTTCTCCTTCTCGTGGTCGCGAGTGGCGCGCTGCTGAGCCATGATGTGCAGGAAAAGCAGATCCTGTCGCAACTCGGATTCTTTCCGGTGATGTGAGGTCTGCGCATGCAGTAGTTCTTGCCGCAGGGCTGCAATCTGGGCGTCTTTGACGACGAGATTGTCCTCGGCGTTACGGAATGCCTGCGACTAGTCAGACTGGATGCCAGATGGCAAACAGCACACGTACCTTATTGAGCAGACGGGCATCCTCTTCGCTCTGCCAGGCATCCTCATATCTGCTGACACTAAGTCGACGTCTTTTCCCAGCTCGGACGTCGATGTCAGGCGTGATGCTGCTCCCGCTCGCGATCGGCGCCTGCGCATACTGCTCAACTTCTCTCGTCGACAGCTCGGCATAACTCATACGTTCTTTGCCGTGCTTTGCTTTGGCGTGTAGGGAGCTTTTGAGGTATTTCTCGGTGGGGCTCAGCAGTGGGACGCTGGTGGTCAGGTTGGCAGTGGGAGCGTGGGTGTGAGTACGAGAAGGCGGCGAGGGCTTCATGGCGACGCTCTGGCGCCGAGGCGGAGGGTCATGAGTTGACACGGCAGGAAAGACTGTGACGGGTCGTTGGTGCCTCGACGTGGACTTGGTGGTCATGGCGGGTCTCGCGTGCGCTTGCAGAGAAGCTTATGTAGCGATGGAAGTGCTCGAAGTCCGGCGTGGATGCATGCGTGGGTGGTGAATCACAGAGGTGCAGTCATGTCGGCAGCGCTTTCAACATCCACCGCATCGTCGCTGACCGCGGCGTGGACGAGCAGCAGGAGTGAAAGTGAGAGCTGCAGCTCAAGTCGAGACGCAAGTGACGATGCATGCGATGTGGGCCCCATGTCATGTCATGCCCGTCGATCACTTTCGCTCCTGGCGGGGATACGCGACGTGTGCACTCACACGCGTCGGACCACTGACATCGCTCAACAACACCCGTCTCGAGATGCTGGCAACATGGCTCTAGCGAAAGACCGACGCATCGACTTCATCACCGAGCAAGCGCTGGCAGATCTCGTTGCAGAGTATCCAGAACACGTCCCGGCCAGAGCAGCCAACTATGAAGAAGCGCGTTATGTGTCAATTCCCCAAGCCGTATCGGATCGAAGACGAGATGGCAAGCCTGCACTGGAGCAGAGTGATGTACTCGCGCTCGTCGATTGGAAGTTGTCTCATGGCACCTTTCGCCCGAAATTGAAGCAACTCGTGCAGTCAAATCCCCCGGATCTGGTTCACACCACCACAACCTCTGCATTCGCAAAATACGATGGCAAAGCAGAGAGCGCAAAATCATGCTTGACCGACCTGTGTGTTTTGAAAGGCATCGGCCCCGCGACTGCAAGCTTGCTACTGAGTGTAGCTTTCCCCGATTCCGCGCCCTTCTTTTCTGACGAGCTGTTTCGTTGGACTTTTTGGGAGCAGGGCAAGGGCAAAGGTTGGGACAGGCCAATCAAATACACGCCAAAAGAGTATCTGCAATTGTTCGAGAAGGTCCAGCAACTCCGCCAGCAACATGACTGGTCAGCTGTGACCATGGAGAAAGCTGCATATGTCCTTGGCAGGCAAGCACTGCACAAGAACGCCCACGATAGCAAGGAAGAAGTCGAGGAGCCCAAGGAATCTGCGCGAGATGATGCAAAATCTAAGAAGCGCCCAATTCTTGAGCCGAACGATCGTATTTCGCAACCGGCGAAGAGGACCAAAAATGCCGTTCCCAAAGACCAATCTGCGAATGACAAGGCGGTCAAGTCATCCGTACCGTCGGTCGGTATACGCTGCTCAGCACGAATCAGAGGAAATACATCATGAGCAGAGACGGGATCGAAAGGACTCAGCCCTGCAAGTTTACTTCTTCAGGTTTTGTCAGAATTAAAGGCAAGCCTCGATATAGGCGGCGCCGTCCTCGACGCGGCCGCTGTCACGGTTAGCCTCAGCCTACGGCCTTTGGAGCTGCACTTGCTATACCACGAGCAAGAATTCCCTTTGACCTGTATGTGCATGATGACGAGCATGAAAATCACGGTATGTCGGTCGATGCAGACTGGGGGAACCTATCCACGATCTTGCACATGGCAATCGTTAGTCTGGTTCAAGCTCAGATACCACTCGGCGAAAGACTTGATGTCGCCACATTGGCTTCCGTCGAAGTGCTACGCGAGTCTTGCTGACGAGGAAGCTTCGACCCACCGAACTCGGCTGAGCTACCTCTTGTCTATCTCAGCTTCGTGGACAATTCACGACCCGCCTCACAAATCATCGCCAGTCACTACATTGTTGTCATCGATTGTCAAGCATCAGGAGTCTTCATGGCTACGCGCACGCTCGCATCATGGGCCATTAACCTCCAACCATCTTCAGTTCCTGACTCGGTGAAGCGTGCAGCGATCCGCTCATTGTACAATTACCTTGGCTGCGCCATTGGTGGCACAAATCATGTAACAGTCACCAAGACGAGACACGCCCTCGCAGAGTTCTTCGGTAAACCAACAAGCACAGTATACGGCAACCATGGCGCTCTTCGGATCGACGCTCAACACGCTGCATTGCTCAATGGCATCGCCTCTCACGTCCACGACTACGATGACACGCACCTCTCGGCTATCATTCACCCCACGGGACCAGTTGCTTCCGCCGTTCTCGCATACGCCGAATCGTCTTCCATTCCTGGGCCCGATCTCATCACTGCTCTGATTACTGGTATCGAAGCTTCATGCAAATTGGGCCTCTCGGTGTGGCCTTCTCACTACGACGTAGGATGGCACATCACATCCACGACTGGCTCAATCGGTGCAGCCGTAGCTGTTGCGAAGCTGATGCACCTGGACGAGACACAATTTACGCATGCGATCGGCATTGCAGCAACGCAAGCGACAGGCCTCCGTGAGATGTTTGGCTCGGACACGAAGAGCTTCCATGTTGGACGTGCTGCGCAAAATGGTCTGCTTGCTGCCCAGCTGGCGAAGAAAGGCTTCACATCGAGCGAAGTTGCACTGGAAGCCAAACGGGGCTGGGCAAATGTTGTGCTTGGCTCTTCGGAGCGCGAACCAGAGCTCAATAAATACTGTAGCACAAGCACACCACAAGGACTAGGACAGACGTGGGAGATCAAGAGAAATGCCTTCAAGCCGTTCCCGTGCGGAATAGTGTGCCATCCCGCGATTGATGGCGCTATTCGTTTGCACCAAAGGCTTAATGATGGAGCTATTCGGTTAGAAAATGTTGCACGGATCGAGCTCCTGGTTCATCCTTTAGTCATCGAACTTACATCTAAACGTAAGCCGAAGGACGGTTTGGAGGGCAAATTTTCTGTCTCCCACGGCGCAGCAGTCGGCTTCATCTATGGGAAAGCTGGCCCAGCACAATATGCGGACAATGTGGTCACGGATGCTACTGTAATTGATCTTCGAGACAGAATCGATGCCCACATTGATCATGGCCTACGCGCTGATGAAGCTGACATCACTGTAACGATGAAGGATGGCGATGTCCTGCATGAACATATCGACTATGCTGTGGGATCTCTCGAGAAACCAATGACGGATCAACAGTTGACGGCAAAGTTCTTGGACCAGTGTTCTTTGGTGCTTGGGGAGCAAGATGCAGAGAGGGTGAGCAGTTTGGCTTGGAGGATCGAGAGAGCGGATGATGTAGCTGCAGTGCTCCGTGACCTGTAATCAACTGGTCTTCTTGGTCTTTACTTGCTACAGATGAATTGCACATTAAAGCCCGGCATTGAGGTCATTTTCTCTCTGTATCAGTATCGAAGGCTGTGCAGCCTTGTTTCACGACTCCATTGTCAATGCATCCGCCAAGACCGCCATGATCCTTCCTGCCCTTGCACCTCCACTCTTCGTTGCCACAACACAACACTTGCCCAACTTGTTTCCTACTCCGGCCCGCCAACAATGCGAAGCTTGTATCATCTCAAGCATCGCTCCAATGCCACGATACGATGATCATGAAGAAGAACAGCACGAAGAACTCGAACGCCTCGTTGACAACGACTCCGCCCAACCTCTCCTCGACGACGATAACCATCCGGCGTCTTCCTCGCCTACCGACCTTCTCGACCTAGAGAGTTTGATAGCCCGCTACAATCTTTCTGACCATCGTGATGACTTCTTCGAAGCAGTCACCACCTTGTCACAAGACTCCGTACCTTCCAACAAGAACAAATTCCATCTTCCCGTTCCCCTCACCCTCATCATCCTCGTCGTTGCCCTCGGCGCTGCATCTCAGGGCTGGACTCAGACGGGTATCAATGGCGCAAACCTCTACTTCCCTCGCCTCTTCGGCATCGGTTCAGACTCTCCCCGCGACACGCTCATTCTCGGAATCATCAATGCTGGAATTTATCTCAGCAATGCCATCTTTGGATCTTTCCTCGTCGCGCCCGTAAATGATCGATTCGGACGACGAGGCGCTATCTTCATCGGAAGCGTCATTTCATTCGTCGCGAATACCGCAGGGAGTGTCGCACAATCTTGGCTGGTGCTTCTCATCTGTAGATTGATTCTCGGGGTTGGGCTAGCGCTGGTCTCGAGCTCGGCGAACGTCTATGCAGCGGAATGTGCGCCAAAGGAGATCCGAGGTGGCCTAGGAGTGGTTTGGCAAATGTTTTGCGCGTTTGGAATTTTTGTCGGGTTTGCGGTCAACTGGTGGGTTGATCAGAGCCCAGAGGCTTTTGGGCCGATGAGGTGGAGAGTTATGTTGGCCGCGGCTGCGCTACCAAGTCTGCCACTGATGGGCTTGGTGTGGTTCTGCCCTGAGAGTCCGGCGTGGTTCGTCAAGCATGGGGAGAGGTACGAAAAGGCGTTTGATTCGTTGTGCAGAATCAAGCACAAGAAGGTGGAAGCGGCGAGGGAATTACTTATGGTCTTCCAGCAGAATGAGCAGAGTTCCAAGGTGGAGGAGAATCCGCATCGTTCATTAAGCAGGAGCCTCATGGAACTATTCAGCGTTCCTCGAATTCGGCGTGCGACTGTGGCCGCCTATACCGCCATGCTTGCTCAGCAGGCATGCGGTATCAACATCATCGCCTTCTTTTCAAGCAATATCTTCGTGCGAGCGAATTTCTCTCCTTACGCCGCAGAATTGGCTTCCACAATATTTGGTCTCTGCAATTTCCTGGGTGCCTTCCCGGCCGTCTGGACAATGGACTCTCTCGGACGACGCTCCTTGATGCTTTACACTCTTCCGCCAATGGCTCTGACACTAGCCATCGCCGCTATCGGTTTCTCCCTCGCAGACGCGCAAAGAAAAGTGAGCTTCTACCTCACGACATCGATGATATACCTCTTCTGCCTTCTATACAGTCCCGGCATGGGACCAGCGCCCACAGCGTACTCGGCGGAAGTCTTCCCATTGAGCCACCGAGAACTGGCGTCCAGCAGCGCTGTGGCCGTCACGAACTTCTTCGCGGCTGTCTTATCGTTGACCTTCCCATATTTACTTGCCAAGCTGGGTACTGCGGGAAGCTTTCTTCTTTACGCCGTACTGAACGTCGTGGCGTGGGTACTGGTCTTTTTGCTAGTTCCAGAGACGAAAAAGCAAAGTCTAGAGGGGCTCGATGAGGTATTCTCAGTCCCTACGAGACGATTCGCGAAGTACCAAATAAAGAGATACTTGTTGAGGCAAGATGTGAAGAAGCCTGGTCTCGCGGGCGTTGGGTTGGTTGAGCGATAGGGAGGAACTGAAAACAGTAATACCAAGATTTCAAAACGTCGAGTCAGATATGAAGCAGACACATGCAGCATGAACGAAGCAGGACGTAAGGTTATCCTGCCATAGAATTCACATCTTACTACGGTAATTCACTGGCATCAAGGTCTGGTCTCCAAGTAACGATCCCAAATTGTTTACTTCTCCGGTGCCGTAATCTGCACACCCCGATACTCCTCTGTCCGTCCCACCTTTCCCCAAGGTGCAAAGGCATTCTTCACATCCTTCAATGGAGCCCTCAAGTCTGGGAAATGCCTGACCAGCACATCCCTCATATCATTATCCTGCACCCAATCGATCCCCTCTTTCGTATAAATCTCATGTTTGAAGTCACTTGCGATAAAGCGATCGCTCTTCAATCTACGGCTAGCCATAAGGATAAAGACTCGGAAAGCCGTGTCAGAAAATCCGAAACCCTTGGGAAGTGGTTCGCACAGGCATCCGATAAGGAGATCGACCTTTTCGATATCGCCATCGTAGACTTGAGACAGTTCGGTAGCGAGGGTAGCGTTGCCGCCTGTCAGTGCGGAGAAAGATTTTGGCACTGGCATGTGGAAGAGGCGGCGAAATTGGCAGTAGCGAGGTACTCCACGTTCCCGGTCACGGAGGACATCGACGCAGCCCATGTCGAGGTGCTCGCCATCGGGCTTCTTGAGATCGCGGAGGAAAGACGGCATGTTGTGCGCGGTGATGGCGCCGGGGAAGTTGATGCCAAAGGAGTAGAAGGCGTCGGCAAAGTTGAGGTTTTGTGGACCTTCGAAAACAGAGCGAGCATTCTCAAAGGCGATGTCTTGGATGGGGATGTTGGAAGTGTGTTCTCCAGTACGGAGTTTGAAGAAGGCAACATCATCGGGAATGAGGCTGTGGAGGCGGTAGACCGAGACAAACTCCTCGGTCAGACAGTAAGGGGTCTTGCCAGAGTCGGCGCCGGATTCAGGGATGCCGGTGAAGGCTTCGCTTTTGCCGAAGTTGGAGAAGAGTTTTGACCTGCGCGTGTTAGTTGGCATAACTCTCACATGAAGTGAGCCATACGACTCACCAAGATGGGCCAAGGAGGCCACTCCAGTTCGCGTTCATACCAATGTCAAGAGTAGGGTGGGGAAGAATGGCAGGTGTCCACTCAATGGTATGGATCTTCGCCATAAGAGCGCAATTGATCAGACGAGCGACATCGAAGATCTCATCGCCGCTCCAACTGGGGTTCTTGGTCTTCAGCATGCTACAGATAGCATTGTGCTCGAGAGCGAACAGAGTGTGCAGGAGCTCCAGACCAAGCCACCAATTTTCCTTGAAGCCAGTCTTCGGAATGCCATCATGTCCTCGAGGCAAGAAGTGCTCTCCCTCGATGCGATCCACGTCCAGAGTGCCATCCTGATGCTTGCCACGTAGCTTGCGAGTGGCCTCTTCAGTGGAGCCATAGATCTGCGAGGCATCCCACCAATGAGTGTTCTCGTTCTTGTACGCAGGGTACTTCTGGTCCTCCTCGTCAAGTGGTTCATCCTGCACGGTCTTGGCGACCTTCATAGGATTCTCTGGCCAAGGATCGTCGGCCTTGAGAGGGATGTGATGGAACTTGGTCTTGGAATTGGTGTGCTGCGCCCAGTCGTGAACCTGAAACTGAATCCACGCGGCGGCGAGCAAGTTGACGATGGTGGCAGGCTTGAATTCGGTACGTTGCAACAGCTTGGCGCTGACAAGTCTTGGATCGGGGGTCATGAGGTCGTGGTCACTTGGAGGTGCAGTATACTGGCGAGGGACATTTCGCCCGAAGCGCATAGCTGCGCAGCCCATCTTTGGTCTTTCGAGATCGTTGTGAAGGCCATCGCTGTTCCGCGCACAGATAAACTTTGTGTCCACAATCGGATCACTCTTCGTCGTGCCCTGGAAATCTTCGGTTGGGTAGGTATCATATAAGTTCTTCTCTCGCAACTCATCTCGCAAGGCTAGCAAGTTGAGCGCACCGATTAACGGGGGTAGTTTGTGCCATGCAATGATGGCATTCACAGCCTTGAACAGAGCGACCAGCACTCGTTGACCAAATGTATAAACCATGGTGATGGCTAGAGGACAAGGAGGATACGATGCCAGATGTGGGAGAGGGCCTACCGCTCTATCTATACACAATTGAGATGGATGCGCAGCCATGAGCTGACCGCGCCATGCTGTAGCTCCTGCGCCTGCGGAAGTGTCTCGAGTGCATGGGCTTCAGCCTGGCAATCTAGAACAGTATGCGCTCACCGTGTTTGGAAGGGCTCAGCTGATGGAGACCGCGGTGGCGCACAGCTCGAGGAACTTGCATTGCATTAGCGAAGCGCTTGGCGTTACTCCTCGTGCTTCCCACGTTGTGAGGCTGAAGACTATTTTGGAATATATGGAGTGAAGTTCCACAAGCCGCCGTCAGCCACAAATTGGGGGCTTTCGGATTGGCCGACGGCTTGCATGGAGCTGGAACGACTTGCAGCCATGTACTGTAGCTGACTGAATAGTCTCAGAAACGCGGTGCATTTCCCCCTCCCGTCTCCAATGCGTAGATTGGCTCTTGTCGATAGCATGTGGAGGTAGTTATGCGCCGCTACGAGCTGAGCTTGGACAGACCCGTTCCATGACAAGCTGGCTGAGACCATCATCGTATGCTGTGTGTTCTAGCCAGCCAGTCGTAGACGGCCGAATGTCCGGCATGCGTGCATACTGTCTTGATTACACAGTTGAGGCATGTGTTGTGTTGCTAGCATGCTTGAGCTTCAGCGCGTCTTTCATCTTCTGCTGTGCAAAAAGGTCATTCGATCCGGATACATGCGAGTGCGCGTTGTCTCCAGATATGGGACGTGGCTGGCACAATCCCTACTCGAAAGTGTGGTCGGTGTTTGCCTGCACTGATCTCTGACGCACTTGGCCGTATCAGCGTCAAATAGGCAGGTGTTACTCCAGTAAAGCCGACACAGCCATGCTGGTGTCCAGGTCCGCATGCGCTAAAGGAGAGACGTGTCGGGCGTCGACATTGCGCCATGAAGTTTTCATCCTGGGAGCTCCTCGTCGTGGCCATCTCCAGCGAGCCTCTTTACGAATTCGACATAGCCCACCCTCCTGCCCTTCGACAGGCTGACCATATCCTGCAACACACCAAATGCTAAGCCGGCCTTTGCGCCCATTTTGGCCGTCCTGGCTGCCGTAGGTACAGGAAATCTGTTCCACGCGCTGAACATTCCTGCGATACCCAAACCAGCCAACATGGAACTGAAGCAGTCCCTCGAATCTCTCACGATCTCTTCTTCCTCATGCTCTTCATCGTCTAAGCTCAATGCAGCACTCGCCAATCTCATCTCTCGCGCTCCGCTCTTCCACTCTCCGCCCCAGAACCTGCCCCACATCCTTCTCCCTGCCGCTCTGCCACGATCAACGCCTTCTTCTAGTAGGAAGAACAACCCGGTCCACGCTCCAAATTTGAGACTCTGCCTCGTACCTTCCTTGATTCCGCCAAGCATCATATTGTAGTTCTTGGACTTGTGGTACAGGAACCAGCCTTGCTGTGTCGTAGGTAAGCGGTGAGCATTTTCGGCGCGGAAGCGGAAGTTTGTGTCTTGAGAGCCTTTGGCAAGACCGAGGAGCAGCCCTGTCACGGAGGCGATGGTGATGGAGAGAGGGAGGCGAGAATACAGCGGAAGAGAGAGGCGTTCGGCATCATTGCGGAGCTGGATGGGCGTGCGAGGTTGCTCTAGTTGCGACTGAGGTTCTGGCATGGAGTGCGGGATGGGAAGCACCGGGAGGGCATCGATCGGCGGCGAGGGCGGCGGAGGAGGTGGTGTTTGCAGAGCAGCAGCCGGTGGCGCAGCCTCTTCACTGCGTTTCCACCACATCCTGACAGACAGCTTGGCTCCTTCCAGCACTTGGTCGGAAGCTGGTCTTGGTGGATGGATAGAGAGGTGTGCGTGAAGCTGCGGAGTTGGGGAAGACACCTCCGAGCGCACGGACCAGCCATGCACGTCGATGACTTTGAGAAGTGCTGTGTGCTTCCCTCTCGCATCGCCACTTCTGACTGTGCATCCATTGTAGAATGCTGGGAAGTCGGCATGGCGCCATCCGCCCGGCAAAAACGAATGCCTACGTGTGCTGGAGCTGTAGAGCCCAAGCACAGCAACTACAACGACGGCCTCGAAGAGGCAAGCACACTGCGGCGACCGCTGAGAAGCCGGACGAGGAGCTGCACGATGGCAGGCAGTCGCAAGACAAGAGTCAGGAGCGAGAAGACAAGCGCCCCAAGGACCAGATCCGCGCTCGACAACGAGCATCGGAATCTGTCGATGAGCGGTTAACACTGAGCCAACAACGTTATGATACACTCAAGGCACAATTCGAGCGACTGCAAGAGCGCAAGAGACATAAAGCATTGGCGCAACAGAGCAAACCCGTCGCCCGTGCTCGACAGCAAGCATCGAAACCTGTCGACAAGTGGTTGACACTCAGCCAACGACGCAATGAAGTGTCCAAGGCACAACTAGAGCGACTGCAAGAGCGCAAGAGAGATGGCGCATTGGCGCAACAGAGCGGATCCGTCTTCCGCGCTCCGAACAATGCTGACCGGTCACATCCCGCTCTCCGGGCCATTGACGTCGACAAGTTGTTCAGAGCAGATCCGAGCGATGATGGTGGAGGGAAAGGTGAAGAGGAGAACTTGAGTTCGGTTTCATGGCGTAAGAAATACAGCTCTGCAGAAGGCCGCGCCTCAAAGCCTACGTTGTCTCATCGTCCATTGCATATCACGGGATCCAGCTCTAGTGAGCTCGATTTCTTGTCGGCTGTTTCGCAGCAGCGTGCGCGACACGCAGCGTCGCGACCAACTCAGCCTGTTAGCTATGAGTCGACTTTCAATCACTTGTTGCAGTCGAGACCTTTTCCTGCAAAGAGTGCTTTCGCATCGCCGCCTCCAGGAACTCAAACACAAGGTATGCGCACGTTCCACTCGCTGCGTCGAATCAACCAGCACGCTGTCGCGCATGAACAGCACGATGACATGGGGACCGATTTGGCACAGGAAGGCGCTACAGAAAAGGCGGGTGGCATCCGGGCCCAGCTGCGCCAATGGCAAGAACTGCACGGCCATGAAGAAGATATCATGCCCGAGCTGCCCCAAGAAGATTTACCATACGACGAAGAGTCACCATACAATAGCTTGACCCGACTTCCCAGTGAAAGGAGCATGAACCAGCAAGCACAGCGGGCAGAAGAAGAACAAGGCCGCGCCGCGTTTATGGAGCAACTCGGAAAAGAAGGGTTCGAAGGGACATCGAAAGAGCAGAGTCGTTTTATGCAGCCAGGGGATCTGGTGGAGCTGACATTTTCCATGTCCGAAAGGGAAAGCACAATGGCAATATACATCCAGCGAGTTGCCCAAGGCCTTGGTCAGTATCTGACCTTGAATGGACGATGGACCCATGTGCACGATGCCGCTGTACCGTACAGTGTGTCCGGATGGATTGACCCGAAGGAGCTGGAGCCTCTGATGAAGCACCTCCCCAAGCCAGAGACGGCTCTCGACCTCGAGCAGCTGCGAGTCCAGGCTTACACTGAAGACCTTGATGTTCCCCGAGAAATTACCGGCCCCTTGATTGCTCGCCTGCAGGTCTTCTCTGATGAAGTGCGGGAGATCTATCGCCGCAATGCCAGTGCTTTGGACGATGCTCATAATGTTCTTGCTCACGAAACAGATCTGCGGTATGGCTCGCTGGTGTCAGCTGCTACCGCCCTTCTCAAGACTCCGGCCGACAAATTGCCATTGCCCGCACTGTTCACCGTTCGCAAGGCCTTGGCCAACGGCGGCTTCGCTTTCAACATCGATCGCCGTTCTCATCGCTTGACAGGTTACATGCAGATCCGCAGTAAGCAGCAAGTCCGAATGGTGGAGAAAGTGCGTGACTGGATCAGAGAATGGCAAGATGACCTGGCACTGCGAGCAAGCATGGATGAAAATCGACGTGGGAGGCACAAGCCGTTGAAGGGCGCTCAAATCTTGTACGGCTTCATCGACAAGTCTCGTACAATCGTTGCCAAGCAGCGACAAAATCGAGAACCAGTGCCCGAGGCGGGCAACGTTGGTCCTAGCAAGACGCGGCTGCCCATTACATCGACTAGTGAAAGCTTCAAAGTGGAGACAGAGCAGCTTTTCACCGAGCACGAAGCGGAAATTGTCAAGTTTATTGAAGGCTGGTGTTGCAGTCAATTGTACGCCGGATTGCCGCGTCTATTGAGCTTGCCGCCACTCATACTAAACGCTCTTGACTTGTACTCGGGTCTGGAGCTCGGGCAACACATTGGCTTTCTGTTTCTGCAGGAGCTGGGTGCCATCATGCCTCACGAGAACCGTGTTCGTTTCGACCAGCATCTGCTTCTGCCGAGCTCACAGCACAGCAAACCACTTCAAAACCTGATGTCGACCCTGCTGACTATGAGATCCAATCACAACCTTCGTGACTCTTTGTCAGATCTTCGGCATGACTGGAAAGCTCTGCCCGTCTATTGCATCGATGATGCCAGCGCACAGGAGATTGACGATGGAATATCAATCGAAGACGCAGGAGTGGATTCGCAGGGAAGGCAGCAGCAATGGCTCCACGTGCATATTGCCAACCCAACGGCATTCTTCTCTCGAGACCATCCTCTCGCAAAGATGGCACGTCACATGGGGGAGACAATTTACATGCCGGAGCGCGCCTACATGATGCTGCCGCGATGGGCTACCAAATCTCACTTCAGTTTGGCACCGGACAGACCGTGCTTGACGTTCAGTGCGAAGCTTAACTCGGACGGCGAGACACTCGATCACAAAGTCACTGCAGGCATTATCAGAAACGTTCTGCGCGTCACTTACGATGAACTCGAGAGTCAAGTGTTCGGCAAAGACCCGGAAGCAGAAGAGCGACTCATCCTCACCGTCGGGGGCATGCCGCCTCCAGATCGCAACCCTCCAAGTAACGCTTCTTCTCTCACGGAGCAGAACCGTAATGATTTACAGCGAATCATGGATCTTGCTCAAGCGCGATCTGCCATTCGTAAACGTGCTGGTGGTATCTTCTTCGAGCTAGCACAACCAGAAATGGCTGTATGGCAGAGTACACGTGGGACCGGACTAGCGTGGGATCACCCTTACCGAAGTGGGTCCAGGACTGTATATGGCGATCCAGTCATCCAGCTCCAGACTCAGCGAATGAAAAATTGGTTCACGGCTTCTCGGAGTCAAGCTCAAGTACTCGTGAGCGAGTCCATGTTGCTTTGTTCAGAAATCGCGGCCATATACTGTGCACAGCGCCAAATTCCAGCAATTTATCGAGGGACCACGTCGATCAGCGCAAATGCCGAGCACCCAAAGAAGGAACGGTGGGAGGAGCTCCTCGCGCAGGGAAAGCAACTCCCAATGCATCTGGGTATTCCCTATCTGCAGTCTATGGGATACACTGTGCTCCGCACGAGACCGCTCAAGCACGATTATCTTGGTATGGATCATTACGCTAAAGTCACGTCTCCTTTGCGCAGATACGGTGATATGATTCTGCACTGGCAAATCGAAGCTGCAATACGTTGGGAAGCTACCACTGGTCAAAGTCTCATTGTCCCGCCTGACGACAAGACTCAACACGACCGCCGCTTCCTTCCTTTCAGTAACCAGATTCTCGAAACTATCATGTTGGGTCTTCAACCTCGCGAGAACATGATCACGAGGGCCAAGCGCTACTCCAACAGCCATTGGGCTTCTATGCTCCTTTTCCGCATGCATCACTTCAAAGAAGGTGGATCTGGCCCTCTTCCCGACCGCTCTTCTCCTGAAACCTTTCCGGGTAGTCTCCCGCCCGGTCAAGGCGGTCTGCCGTTCAAGACTTTGAATTGTTTCGTTCAATCTCGTCCTGAGTTGGATGGTTACCATAGAGTGCATGCTACTTCTATGGAGCTGAATTTGTCGGTGGAGATGAGTAGACCAACTGATGTAGACACTGGGCTGCCTGAGGTCATGCAGGGAGATATTTGGGAGGCGGAAATCGAGTGGGTAGATATCTATTACCGGAGGATTATGGTTAAGCCTCTGAGGTTGGTGGCCAGGGAGGGCTTGTGAGTAGGCAGTGCAATGCATTTCCTGCATGTGACGTCCATTATGGCACGAAGGCAACTGTAAAGCTGTCGACTCTCTTCTCCATGAAATTTTCCTCGTCCCTGCCTATTGTTAGATGTGGCCTCCCGACCCAACGAAAATGAGGTCTTGCTTTTGGCGAAACTTGGGGAGCACTGTTGGGTAAGACTACTTTGCTCCCGAATGCATGTCTCATCATTGCAGGCTCCTCGAGATTACAGCATGCCTGAACACGTCCGGAACCCCATTACAGAAACAAAGTCACCCTAATCATTGCAAACCCATCCCGAACATACTCTTCACAACCCCATCTCACACATTTCCTTCTCCACCAACGGACCTCCCCGTAATTGAAAGATCTCACCCCACTCATCTCTGCAATAATCGAAGAAATTACACTGTCCAAGCGCACACGTATAATACAGCGCTCTCGGAACTTTCGTCTTCTCTCCACAGACTTGCAAACGGCTCAGCTGAAAACCACCGCACCAGCATTCTGGGTTTGCTATATGGATCCCTCGCATATCGCCGAAACAGACGAATCGATTGCACATCGGTTAAGTGTAGTATGGACGTCCTGCGTTTCCGTTTGGATTTTCTGCTTCTACGAATTGTTTCTGTGTGTATTCGCTGCAGTTGCCGCTGGGACAGGGTGGTGGATTGAGTAGGGCAGGATGCGGGTCGCGAGGATGCGTGATGATGTTTGTATCGGTTTGCCCATATTTGATGTGCGGATCGCGAGGATTCATGATGGCATTTGTGTCGATTTCCTCATACTTAATGTGCGGATGGCGGAGATTCCAGATAGCAGTTGTATCCTCTTCCTCACATTTGATGTGCGGATGGCGAGGATCCATGATGGCATTTGTATCGTTTTCCTTACATTTGATGGTGGAATGTCTTGACGATGCGCTCTCGTTGACGAGTTCCGACGAGAAAGCACTCATATTTGTGTCTTGAGAATAGGGATGAATCCGCTGGCGGGGTCTAGGACAGCTGTGGTTGCGATGTCTAGCCAGCCGAGGGGTACCGATAGCCTTTTGTTTCCAACCCATGCAACTTTCGGAGCCCTGTCTACCATGGGTCGTACTCTGGTTATTAGGTGCTTACGGGTAGGCGGAAAGGGCACTTCGCAAATCGCAACACGAACGTGAAAGTTCAAAATACCAGAGATCGCGATCATGTCGCGATGCACTGGTATATAATTTTGTCATCAAACAACAGAGCTACTTAACTAGATTGACTTACAGCCTGCTCTGGATCTTCTCTGGAGTATCTCCAAGAGCATACTGCACGGAAGCCTTGTAACTCCTAACCTTCTCTGACTCCTGCATTGAAGGTGTCTTGGCCGCAGTCGCTGGGTTGTATGTCCACGCTGTGCCCTTAATGGCTTCCGCATCGGTCAGTTTCTTGTTGGGCTTTCCATCAGCACGCTTGTAGACATTTACGACAACGCATCCACCGAGACCGAGATTGTGTTGGAGGGCTGCCCTCGTATCGACATGTCGGGTGTTGGCCCAGCCACGAAGCTGCCATGTGAGCTCTGCGCATTGTGCGAGGCCTGTGGCGCCAAGTGGATGTCCTTTTGAGATAAGACCGCCAGATGGGTTGATGACTGGACCTTTGCCGCCGAATGTGATATCTCCATTTCGAACCATTTCATGAGCTTTGCCTTCCTCGCAGAACCCCAATCCTTGAATGAGAGCCATTTGGTTCGCCGAGAAACAATCGTGAAGTTCGCAAACCCCGATGTCTTTTGCGGTAATACCGGCTTCCTCGTAGGCCATTCTCGAAGCTCTCTTGGTCATGCCGTAACCAACGAGGTCCATGGCGCTTCTGGAGAAGAGAGTATCGTCATCCGTCTGCAGCTGCTGTCCGGCCATCAAGATGGCTTGCTCCCAAAGATGTGGTCTCTTCTCCTTGATGAAACGTTCTGACACAACAACGGCGGCTCCTGCACCGTCGGATGTTGGACTGCATTGCAGCTTTGTAAGTGGGAAGTGAATCATTGTGCTGTTCTTGATCTCGTCCAGTGTGTACTCTTGTCGGAACTGTGCGTATGGGTTATTGACCGAGTGCTTGTGGCTAATGCGGCCAATCTCAGCAAAGTCATCAGCTGTCGCGCCGTACCTGCCACAAGTCAGTCGTTGTTTCCAGCACTGCGTAGCTGAGCTGAACCTACAGCTTCATGTACTCTCTTCCAGCATTGGCAAAGTATTGTGCGTTTCGCGGGCTGTCGTGCGCCCCGTACTCCTCCTCCATTACCTGAGCACTCAGTTGCATTGGTTCAGGGCGATCCTGGAATCCGAGCTTGATTGAGCCCGGCTGCATCTGTTCAAATCCAACGACCAAGACGCAGTCTGCGGCGCCTGATCGCACCATGGTCCTTGCCATGTGAAGTCCTGTCGAGCCAGTGGCGCAGGCATTGTTGGTGTTGTAGATGGGAATGCCAGTCATGCCGAATTGGTAGAAGACGCGCTGTGCTGAGCAGGTGGGGCCAATGCAGAAGCATCCGACTCCCAAATCAACGTCGTCGTAGTTGATTTGCGCGTCCAACATGGCCTTGACGCCGGCCTCGAAGCCCATCTCGACATATGAGCGGGTCTGTCTTGGCTTGATGAACTGAGTGAGACCCACGCCGAGCACGTAGGCGTTTTGCTGGGGCTTCTTGATCTCCATGGTGGCGGTGTATGAGGATGTGGTATCTGTGGTCCTTTGTCTCGCAATCTGAGCTGACAGGCGATGTTATGTGCTGGCTAGAAAATGTGTCGCCAACACTGACAAGTAGAGTAGGGGACGAGCTCCCCTCGGCTGAGCTCCGCACGGGAACTTTGTTGCATGGCCGAGGTTGATGAACTTTGTGCGACGTTCTGTGTCGATTTCTCATCAATTGTGAGCACTAGTCCTCGTCGGTAACGACCCGTCCGACGTCAGGCGCAGCATGATTTGTGCTGCTCGACGCTTGCCACGGTTCTGCACAGTGCAGTTCTGAGGAAATAACAAGGAAATAACCGGTGTCAAATTATCGCGGTAGTCTTGAGCACAGCAACACCAACACGTGTGTCAGCTTACGCGCCTCCCCACAATCCCCAGAAATGCCAAGGGCGGCTCTGGCCGTGACTACGTTCGTTCCTGCTTCTGCATCTGGGCCATAATATATGAACTGTCTTGGGACGCCAGTAGCATAGCGGACGACATGTGGTGACTTTGAGCATCGAGTATCAGCAACGATACCAAAATTTGATATCCTCATTCCAGCAAATCTTTCCTCGAGCCAATCGTTAAACACATCTTTCTATGACAAGAGGAACAGATGCCCGGTGTGAAATAGTAGGTCATGGAGTCAAAGGCTATCAACGCCGATGCTGTCGACAACACTCAGTGAATGGGAGGAAGGACAGATGTCTGACCTAAGAGCACTGCAACAATGCTGAAGGAAAAGGGGCTATTTTCGAGCATCGATAGGCGTAGTGCATGTAGGTCACATGCATCAGTGCCATTCATGCAAGTTGATACTCGTAAGCATCAAACCGCTACTGGCCACGAGACCTGGCTCCGCTCTTGCTCTCTTCCAAGTGTTGCGAGCGCAAAGATGGCTGGCAGATGAGACTCCTGCAGACACCCCTTAGCGTCCTGTACTCAAGGCACTCATAGCGCCTATGATTGAGATGGAAGCAGCCGCCAGAATGGAACTGAATGCACCTCGTGCACTAGCCGCCCACAGTTTGGCAATGGGTTGTGCTGGATATGGCTGGACAGATCAGCGAGCGCAGGTGGCAAGATACCTGTCTGATACATCCAGCCATGATGAAGCGGAGTTGAGCTGAGGCGGCAGTTGGGAAAGGTCATCGATGGAAAAGTTGGCCACTACACGCAAGAGAGTCTGCACGAATGCTCCAGTCTGACGAGGTCCTGGAGAGCGAGCCATCGCAACTCGCTTGACATTCTTGACCATGCATACACGGCGGCTGTTGGCGTACCGTTGTTGATGCATATGCAGATCGGGAAGTAGTCGACCATCTGTAGTCAACCACTTACAGATAGGAACATCGCTTGCTCTGCAAATCTTTGGCCAACGTCTATACAGTAGTCTGAGACTCATGTAGACAGCCACTAGAGGACCAGAGCTTGTTGGCAAGTCAAATGCATTCGCCAATGGCGGCAGCTAGGCCTGCCACGTTCGCATCTCGCGGAAAGCGGGATTGCTCATCCGGTGAGGTGACAGATTCTCGAGCGATGCAGAATTTGAGATCCATTTGTGGATACGACTCATGGTCACGCGGACATGCACTGGCGTGCCATAGTATACAGCGAATGCGGTCTCTTGCTGATAGAAGGGTCCTGCGGTGGCTCGGGAGTCTGGAATCGAGGCGGGACAGCAACGGCAAACGGCATCTGCAAGGCGACAGCCCCGTCAATGCATCGCTCGCTAGCATACATGTATTTTGAGGGTCCGTACTTCTGTCATCTGAGGGCGGTGAGATGGAATCGCGTTGGGTAAGTGCACATACGATGATACGAAACATGCTTGAAGTGAGGTGGAGGCGGATGTAACTGAGGCAAGGTCTTGGCATTGGAAGATTCCCGAAGGAAGGTGGCGCGGGGCAGGCAAGCAACGTCGTGACGTACAATAGCACACTTCGTCCTTCGTCTGCCACCGTCGACAACGACTCTACGACTGTTCATCAACACACCATGGCCACCTTTATCGCGCGGCGACCGTTTGCCCTCGCGTCGGCGCTTGCCAAAGAGCTGCCCGCCCCTCGAACCGCATTCCGCTCCTTCCAGACGGCGGCGAAGCCTCAATACCAGCAACCGCTGACCAAGCAATTCACGCCGCTCCAGCAAAGCGTCATCCGCTCCGCCTTCCAGCAGTCCTCCCGCCGTACCTACCAGACCTCCGCGCCCGCCAACCCTCTCGCACAAGGCAACCTCACACAGCGCCTGATCTATGGCGGTGCCATCTTCGGCGGAACTCTCCTGGCTATCAATCTGGTCTTCAACCGCGAAACCCGTGAAGATGGCGGCATGCCACCATATGAGCGCGCATACCTCAATGAGACCTTCCTCCACACCGGCTTGGGTATCGGCATCATCGGTGTTGCTGCCCGCGCGCTGCACATGAATGGCTGGAGTTATCGCTTGATGAGCGCCAATCCTTGGTTGGTGCTCGGTGTTGGACTCGTGGGATCAATTGGTACAATGATGGGATGCTACGCCACCAGCCCGGATAACTACGTCGTCAAATACGCTCTATGGGGAGGCTTCAACTTGACCCAAGCTGCTCTGCTCTCGCCCATGCTCTTCTTCGCTCCTGGCATTCTCGCCCGCGCTGGTCTCTACACTGTCGGTATGATGGGCTCCATTGCCTTCGTTGGAGCTACTGCCAAGCAAGAGAAGTACCTGTACATCGGTGGTCCTCTGCTTGCCGGTGTCGCTATCGTCGCTCTCTCCGGTCTGGCTCCCCTCGTCCTTCCAGCTACCGCCACCCGCGCCCTGATGTGGACGGAGAACCTCTGGCTGTACGGCGGTCTGGCCGTCTTTGGTGGCTTCACCCTTTACGACACGCAAAAGATTCTCGCGCACGCACGCATGGCTGAGCAAGGCCGCTTCAGGAAAGATGCCGTGAACGAGTCCATTGCCCTGGAGCTCGACTTCATCAACATCTTTGTCCGCATGGTGCAAATTCTGGCCATGCAACAGGGAAGGAGAAAGTAGGCGAGCACTCTCTGAAGTGCGAAAGGAATCAACATAAAGACAGAATGTGATATTAGCGGCATGACCTGACGCGGCGTTTCTGGATATGAACGCCACAAAAAGACCTCTGTGGAGGACGGAAAGGATCTTTGTTTCCTGTGTATCAGTAATAGCTATCATGTACAGACAACCATAGTTTCTCAGCTCCAAGTGCACGACCCTGGAAGCGAGTTCCTCAAAGTGGAGAATTGTCATAGCTCCCATGCTCTGCAAACAGCCACGGGAACCACAGCATTGACGAAGTCCGTCGCCAAGTCCATTCGCAGTATCTAGAGATAGCAGAAGAATGATCTCTTCTACCCGGATCGCAGGCCCGTTTAACCCGGAATCCCGTCGTACTGAAGAACCACAGTTCGGCGAACCACGGTGAAGCAAGCGTGTGGCTGGGGAGCTGCACGTCAGCCAGCCCTGCTGCAGCTGTAGGTTCAAGTATGTACTGCTCCAGCTGTACCATGGGCACTTACATTGTGGCTTTGATGTGCTACCTGCTCTTTTGTAATATGGTTGCAGGATCTGAAGAAGTGGGCGGCAGGATTTGTAGACAAGGCGCCTTGGTTCAACGCCACATTTGTTCCGCTTATCAAAAATGTGCAGCGCGACGAGCACAAGAAAATCGTTCGGAGATGTCCTTGCGGTCTCGAATTCTTTGATCGTTTTGGGCCGGTGTCTTGTGGGAAATGCGCAATGAGAAGGAGCCATGGCTATCTACCAAGTCGTTGATCGACCAACGCAGCCTCCTACCACTACGAATTGCCAGTTTCTGTTCGTAACTGGCCCTACGCTCTCAGAAACTAGCTTAAGACCGCATCATGCACGGCACACGGTACACCGGTGAATACCATCATCGTTAGGGAGAAATAGAATTCCAACCACTTTACACGAGATTTCCGCGGCATCCAACCCTCGCACGAGGTATGACCCTCCAAGCTCTGGCACCCTACTGGATGTCCGCATTCTGTTTCACTGCCGGCCGGCCACGGACCTCACTTGTCACATGGTTGAACTCTCCAGCCAACCAGTAGGTCGGCCCCCAACACTGACTGGGCAGCTTCTGGTACAGGACTAATCCATGTCTGCATATAAGCACGTAATATATGATTGCCACGCTGTCGCTAGCTCTTGCAGCAGCAGCATTAGTACGCACGCAATGTGCACGTGTCACTAATAATGACGAGTGTATCGATACATGCAATCGTTACTGCTGCAGAAATATGCCGCCAAGTGTTGGTCCTCCGATTCACGAGACTCCAGTGGTCAAAAGGGTTCGATTTTCGTCGACGCGGCTGTGGTTGAAGACTTGTCGATTTGCCGTTGAAGGGCGCCCGGATCGGTGGTTGTGTGGCTGAGTGATGTACTGAGACTGTGGTACGCTGGTACGGCTTGGCCGAAGGAGTACCATTCTTTTGTGCTTCTGCTTCCGTGCCTGCTGCCCCAGCACTTCGGACTACTATTTCATGTCCGGGCCCACAGCGCCGGCAAGCTGGAGCACCAAGCCATCCACTTCACACACAGTCAGTAACAGGGTGCACTACAGTGCATAGAGAGGGGTCCGCGATCGTCGAGCTCTGCGATAGCTCTCGAAGCTCGTTTCCTGACAGACTTCCCGTTATACGCTTTCTAGTGGTGTGCTGTGCCGTGCAGATTCGTGGCTCGCACGCAGTCTCGTTTCTTGTGACATGTTTCTTACCCTGCGTCAGAAGCAGTCACAGCCGATGACAGCTAAGAGGTGACTGGCTGGCCGGTTCCAGGTTTCACATTACGCACTGCTTGTGCAATCCTACAATGTGGAAAGTCTCCGAGGTCCGGAGGGTGTGGTCGGCTGCTGGGTGGGTGGGTGGAAACGGCTCAGGGCAATGGCAGAAACAAACAAAGTGCTGGAGCCGAGATCTGGTCTGACTACAAATACGTATTGTGTCTCCTGTGTGATGCCTTGGAATGGAACATTGGCCATGCGCAAGTACTTTTCATGGTCATCCTAGTGGGTGTCTGCAGAATGTTCTGCTCGAACCAACAAGTTGTTCGACGTTGGACACGAATGGCTTCTTCAAGCCTGTGTCCGATCATTCTCCTGCGCGTCCATTAGGAACCGGCTTCCCGATGGTCCCTTTGCAGAACGTATTCGGTGGCTGAGACCGCGTAGCCTCTTGTCTGCTCACTTTCCTGGCTGAGAGTTGTCGACAATGCTGGAGCTCTAGCGGGAGACCGCATAATGTTTCGGATGGACATGAGAACACAATTTGGTGGATGGTTTCCCAGAGTATTGCTGATGATGGCCAAATTGCAGCCAAGTCCGCCATGACTCCTTCCAGTGGGAGGGCGATAGATGACGCGCCAGAGGGAATTGCATGCCTCAGATTGGACCATCCAATATCTAGAGGATGCTCAATGCATCGTCATACCTCTCGCATTGCTGTTCTGCTGCATCGTCAAGTCTGGATCACAGATTCTCCAGCACAAAGCCTCGAACAATAGAGACCGCCTCTCGAGCTCTCCCAGCACCTCACTCGCTCAGTCTTGTTGGAACGCTAACGGCTGGCCACACGTGCATGCGTCCGCGCGCAGCCACGCACCGCGCTTGTTTCAGCTATACATACCTATCACGATTCCTTTTGATGACCAGAAAAGTCTGTTGATCAACCGAGTGCCAATTTCACCAAATTGCCATAGCTCGTGCATCGTTCGCACTCGCGTGCGCCGCACGTTGTGCTGCCGCCGATAGGTCTGAAATGAATGCAGGCGATGAAAGTCAACCTCGTGCAGCGAATGCCTCCTCTCCATTCGAGAGAGCTAGCAGACGGGCATTAGTGGATGTCTGCGTTTTGTTTCAGTTCTTGGGAAATTGAGTGAGGATCTGTCGGTCGTATGGTCGTGCAGTTGTCAGTGCGGCGGGGTGGATGTGAAGTATGTGATGGGCGGTGTGCGGTGCGCGAGCAAGTGCAATCGACGTGCAAGAGCGACATGCACTGCATGGGACGGCAATCGCCAGTGCTTCCAGCGGTGCTTTCCTTCCACTCTTGTGTTTTGTAACACAATACATGTATCGACATATCGCAAAGACCAGCATGACGTTTTTAATACGCACCCACAGTCAACCTGCTGCTCTGATCTGATCTTTCCAAGCCAGCTTCGACCGACAGCCGGCCACCGACATCTGTGCCATTTGAATAATTTTTGGGAGGCTTCAAAGCCATGCGCGGAAGTTCAGCGTAAGTTTATGAGGCACTCATATGCTTCGCACTTCAAAGTGAATGCCGTGCTGCTAGCGCTCTAGCTTGTGGCGCTTGCTGAAAAGCAAGACAGTCAGTTGTCGAGCTTGCGCGGACGCCAACGGCTGTCATGTTCTTGCGCAACTGCCGGTAGTCTAAGCACTCGAGTGTCGACGTTTGCGAGTCGCAAGACCGAGCAAATGCTGAATCAAGGTCAAGCCGGTGAAGTTTGGCAGGGAACCTGGTCGGACTCAGCATCCTTGGTGGTACTTTTTGTCTTGCGTTGAACCACTTGCACTATCCGGGCTCGTGCCATTGCTGGATGCACAATTTTATGACTGGCTGGTGGCAGCTTCGTGAGTGGCGGACGCCAGCGGCTGTCCTTGGAATGCTTGACTGCGAGCCCAAATAGGGCAATCCGTACGGAGCAGCTTTCCAGTCTCCCTAGGTTCAGCACAATCGTCACGGAACGTGCGAGATGGCCAATGCTCTGTTCGAAATGCGCAGCGACGAGCTGTGACTTGCTGAGACAAGTCGTCAACTAGTTCATGTCGCAGGGTGGCGTCTTACTTGTGGGCTACTGGAAGTTACATTGATTGCCCTGCTACACTAGTGAGCTGTCACTATATGCCCGGCAGACGAGGCATCAGAGGCGTGGGAGAGACGTGCAACGTTTGTTGTGCGTTGATGCATTCGCCTAACAAGTTCTGTCCTGCCTGCACAAGAGACACATGTCGGCAGTCGCCTTGTCTCAAGCTTTGCCAGGCCAAAAGCGCTGACATTGCATAGGTCAGCACTCTTTGGCATCATAGCATCACGCCCAGTGTCGCCCGAAAAAGCCACGTCTTCGCCGTCGGCCAACACTCAAGATAAACTCACCACGCGTGGTGCAACATTTCCAAGAGACACTCGTATCCAAATACCTGCGCTTCGTGCTATTCGTCCTCCGTGTACAGCACGCTCTCGCACGCTAGCGGGTGACCGCTTTTGCTCATATATCTGGTAATCTAAAGCGAAGTCTGACCAGCTCAAGCAATATGGAAGACCCCGGCATAGGGCAGCAGCATATATGACCAAGGCTATGCTGCCCGAAGATTGATGAAATACGAACCTCGCAAGTCTGGTAGCATAGATGAATATGAAGTCAGTACCAGAGATCCCGGCCTCCAAAACAGGAATCTGTTGCGCCACGAAGAATAGCCTCAGGCAGGTGAGAAAAAGTCTTGCAAGAGCTTTCGGTTTCTTTGGACTGCTGCTTCTCGAGCACCACGGAGTCTAGCGGAAGGACGCATTTTGCACCCGGGATGGTAGACTAATGTCTCCGAAGACATGGTATGGGCAATATAGCGGCATCGTGGAGATTGCATGCGGTGCATGGCAGACCATGGGCGATGCAAACACGCTGCGGACCTCCCACGGTACGAAAGCTCATGGCCCCCATAAGCGCGACGTCAGCGGCGATGCCTCCGTGGCCGGTGTTTGGTCATGATGCCTGCTAGCCGGAAGAAAGTTACCCGATGCCATGGTTACATCGCTGTCAGCGGAAGGCCTCACCACGACCTCGATGGTTGTACTGAGCTGCAGCGAAAAGATACTCAGGAGATTTCCGTCTTTCTCAGCGGATGAGGCTTGAGTGACGTTGGTGCGAGCGAGCAGCTTGATCGACACCTTGCTGACGAGGGAGAAGAGACCGGGTACGGAGTCGGAGAAATTCACCTCGGCATTACTGTGGTTGGCCGAGTCACCCGATTCTGTGGATGTACCGGTAATCACGGCTCAATTTATGCCACATCTCAGGCCCGAAGTTGCGTTGACTGCAATGGGCAAGCCACTGGATCACGATTTCTCGACGTCTGGTCATCATCAGCTGACAGCGACGAGGTGCAGACGGGATAGCGCTGATCAGCGACCCAAGAACTGCCTTCCTGCAGGCTCGCTAGACGCAGCCTGATGACCGCCTGGTCCGCCAACAATCCGCACATCTTGGAAGCAGCAGATCATGCACGATACGGGACGATTGACAAGCTCTGCATGTACAGGCCCATGCAGCGCGCCGTCGTGGCGAGCGCCAGCGCACAGGTTACCGGGACCCGCCTGGCGAGAACACTGAAGATTCCAACCCAAACAGGCACCTGAAGTTGCATTTGAGTGCGGCGCTTGCAGAGTCCCCTGGTCTGCCTCGTGTCTCCCGCCACGGCAACGATGGTCATTTGTTACCTTCCCTTGTCCCAAATGCGGTCTTTAGCAAGCGTCGAGCCTCGGTCTTGCGAATGAAATGGCCCACCGAGTCAATAACGCTGCTTGGACGCGATGGATCTGCTGGGAATGCTTGCGCTTAGCGCGGGAGATATATGCGCTGGCTCTGGACTTCACTTCTACTTCGCTACCAGAATTCTGCGTATCTGCGTCCACCCGCTGGCCTCGCGAGAAGATGGACGAATGCGAGGCGATGCCTCCGAGGCACCTGTGGTTCGTGCGATCTCTCTTCAGGCATCTACTCTTTCCCCGGCTTCTTTGCTGCGCGTACTTGGCAGCAGGACCGATTTGCCAGACTCGGTGCCACGTCGGCGGTGGAGCAGGTCCAGGTCCGGCCCATTTTGTGCAGTTCAGACCATCTATGCTGAATATCCAATGTCACCTTTGGTGGTTTGAAGTTTGCCAAAAAGCCCTCTTCCTTGTTCAAAAGGCGACGAGCAGAATGGAGACGATTTCACTGTGATGAGCGCCCACATCCCTTCCGTACTGACCTTCATCTCGAAATTGCTGGCAGTATTTTACCCCTCCTCTTATGTTTCCTGTCCTATGCAGATGTCAGAACCCGACTCAACTTTTTCTTACACTGCAGTCATGATACTGGCACAGCAGATCCCCGGGTCACGGCGAGGTTTTGCTCGGCGGCAGTTCTGAGGCCTTGCCCATACTTTTTCCCAAAGGACCGCACTATGCTCATCATTAGGCATAGGCTACAACGCGTGGTCAAGAGCCCACGTGTGGGCATGGTGCCGCCCTTCCACGTCCGTCGACAGCAGAGCTCACGCAAAGCGCGGAGCAACTCTTTCGCAATTTGTTCAAATGGGCAGTCATGCCTTAGGGGTAACTCACTCACATGGTTCATGATCTTTCCTGGAAGTACATCGTTGTGATACTCTTACCACAATCTCAGGGACTCCGAATGACAGATCCCCTCTGCTTCAAAGGGGCCCGGTGACAGCCCACTGACCTCCGAGCAGCCCTCATATTACGACTATTGGGGCGACTGGTGTTCGCGCGCATCTTCATCAATCAGCGCTTCATCGTCGCCTAACGATGGGTCTACGCCGCGAAGTCCTTGATGTCGCGCGGACAATGCTCTGTCGCAGGCATCCGGGTCACGTAAATGAGACAGTGTCTGGCGAGAGCGACTACGACAAAGCAAATTTTCATGCGGCGGGCTTCTGTCTCTGCCATTTGGTCTCAAATGGTCTTGACTTTGAACTTCAAGATGTTATAATAGTTTGTAGCAGGAATCCCTCTGCTCTCGCACTAACAACACCAACGCAAGTTCATACATACCTGTTCTCCTCTTGCTCACAGACTTCCAATCATGGCACCAACCAAGCGGTCATCCAGGGGCAATAACCTCACCACTTCGCGGGCAAGACGTCGCAAACACGAGCACGTACATGTCGTGCGCAAAGCACAGGTACAATGTACAACTCGTCAATTGAAAAGATACAAACACAGCATTGTGGATCTTGCCAGGGAGACCGTAAAGCCTCTGAGTAAGCTTCGCTTGCAAAAAGACCTTGGCCCTGGCAAAAAGCTTTTCGAATGGATGCGCTCACTCGAGATTCAACTTTGGTTCCACAAACATCGCAGGCAGTCTGAAAGAAACATTCGTCGAGCCTGGGCGGCAGAGAGTGGTGGCTTGCCTTTCCCACAGCCGATGCCCAAGAAGGACCTTCCAAGCACAGAGTTCATGCAGGAGGGTATCGAGCTCATCAGCGACACCTTCTTCTTCGGCGCCTTGCAACACTGTTCCTTCACCTGGAAAGCCGGCCTGAGAGCGAGAGAAGGAATGCTTGGCCAAGCAAAAGAGCCGCTGAACTACTCTCTCAGCTGGCACGAAATTGAAATCGACCCAAAAGACGCACATGAGCACGACGAGACCCCGGACCATGTGACGAGTGTGATTGACACATTGCTCCACGAGTGCATTCACGCTTTCCTTTCAATCTACTCCTGTCGCAATGGCACCAAAGAGACTGAGGCGGCGCGACGACGTGGAAAGCTCAGCCGTAAGCATCACTGCAGGAGGCAGAGAACCGGCAAGTCATGCCCGGACAAGAAATGCCAGGCGCAGTGGGAGAGAGCTTCCGGACCAAATGGCCACGGCACGGCTTGGTTAAGTATTGCTACGCATATTGGACAAATCGTCCAAAGAGACATTTGGCACAGTGCCGAGCTCAAATGGAAGTATCTAATGCGGAACGATTTTGTGGAGACGGGAGTGGTGCTGAGGAAGAAGGATATCACCAAATTCTCTGTTAACACGAGGGCGACAGTCGAAGCCTTTTTGCATCGTGCCTTTCAGGTACAGAGCAAGATCAAAGTCTTTGATAGGGAGCAAAAAAGAAGACTGGGCAGGCGTGAGGAGGAAGGAAGGGAGGCTCGGGAGGAGGTGTATCAAGAATTCCGACGCAGGGCATTTGTGGAGGAAAAGTCAACGCCAGTCGCTGAGTTGAGATTGGTTATTGGCGAATGAGGAATGGGGACTGGGCTGGAAAACTTCAGTTGAGCTTCTTCAGAGGGCAAGACATGGGCCGTTTTCGGCTGGGCCATTTAGCTAGGGCGCGGCGAGGCACGATGGCTCGAAAGGATCTGTGTCTCTTTCACATCTGTCACATGTGAAATAATGAATCTTGTTTATAGTCATAACTTTGTATTTTGTACTTGTGTAGATGTCCTGGATTCACTTCCTCGGATGCCGGCCGCTGATTGGTATATACTTCATCAAATCTTCCTTCGTGTCGAAACTGCCGTGCCTGGAGTACGTCTGGCTCGCGATGAATATGGGGCTTACGTCGGGTTCATTTCGTCAGACATCATCCTGGAGGACCAGACGCTAATATCCTGTTGTTAGTAAAGTGAGGGTAGCCGCCTTATTTCCGGCGCACGCGACTGACCTTGTGCATGTAAATGATTCCATCCCATGTACAGAGAAGAGAAAGAGAGTCTTCAATATGTGCATATGTGTGCAGGTCAAGATTACTGCCTCCGTCATGCACACAGGCAAGATCGTGCGTTACTCTTCACTATCCTGTCGGGTGAACACAGCGTTATTAGCTGCATGCCCAGCTTCTGCCCGCGCTTTTGATATGCAACATATATTGCTTGCATAGATTGCTTTGGAAGTATTTGTGATGGCGAGCGTGGAAGTCGCACACGTGGCCTACTCTCAATGAGAGGCATGTTGGTGATGGTGTCGCGGACTGCGTTTCTCCTATTGTTCTTGATGTCTATGTGGGTTTAAGCAGGATATGAGAATGACCGCCTCCTTTACCGTGGTAGTCAATTCTGTTGTGCTCGGTCCGCTCATACTTTTCTCGGTTGCTGAAGTGTGCCAAACACAGCCATTCTTGTCTTCTCTTCCAGGAGAGATCACCAGCTTTGCGTGTCTCAATTTCTCTGGCCTCATTGTGAACGTCTCAACACTTTGACGTCAGTCGCACTTCCGAGGAGATGCCCTTCGATGGGCAGGTGCACGCCTGACTCGCGGCATCTAGACCTGCTTAGGTCCTTCCGCACCCGACACCAAGTCTTGAGGATAGTACCTGGCGGATGCGACCTCCAATGATTAGTAGTTCCAGCGAGCGGGTTCCCCCAGAGAGTGCATTGCAGGCTTGCCAAAACGCGTTGTGGCGTATTCGCCAGCACCAGACTGTCGGTCTTCTCGCCGTGGTAACGGAAAAACCGGTGGTGCTTTTTCGTCAAGTACTTCCCGGTCTGCGGATCTTGACCAATATTCGGCAGGTAAAATCACGTCAACGGCATACTGGCACGTCGTGCCTAGGCTGTGCAATGCTTGAGCAATATGTAGACCTCTTCGGTTCGGCTCGATATGGCCAGCAGCTCATGAGGCTCCGCGCGTCTAGACCGATATGTGTCTGATTGTGAAGATCCCATGCGACGCGGACCAGCGGGCCGTGTGCTTTCCAGCAATGAGAAGCTAGGATCGGACGCAGATCGCACATTTCTTGGTAGCTTTCCGATCCTAGCAAGTAATGTGCACTGCCCTACGTGTAAGCCTGCGTGCATCTGGTTGTATTGCTCGTATCGTATGCCTGTCTCGTCGTTTCGCTCGACAACATCCCGAACAACTTCTTCTTGTGGACCTGAAAGTCGGTCGGTACCGGACGGACGACTGCTAGATATACCCTGTAGACCGGTGCGCTGCTGCAGCGATACCGATCACAAGGCTAGGCCGGAGATCGCTTCCCACCCGACTACACGCGGTCGAGAACATTGCAGTAGCAGGCCGCTAGGGATTGCTTTGGCGAACCTTGTTGACTCCTCCCCATCAATCAACAGAGTGTGAGGGATTTGCCCTGCGTCCACAGGTCTGCATCATTGCAACGGGAGAGCTCGATACAGGCCGTGCAATGGGAAGCTAGGTGGTTTAGGCGTCCGAGGTAGCATGCGAGAAGGGCTGAAGCGCCGGTCCGGCTTGGAAGACCGCTCATGATGTTTCGACAATTCGGAAAAGCAAGCCAACACCTGACTCGATACGTGTTGGCCGGAGTTTTCTCCAGCTCAGCGCAGGAACTGCCGTCTATGCCATAGTCGTATAAGACATGCGTAGGGTCCCGCAATGCCCATACCAACGTATGTGCTCCTGCACTTTTGCCATTCGTCTCGGCATCGGATAGGCAAACCACCGCCGCAAGTGTTGCATTGCGTACCAAGGCATCAGAGCGGAGTATGCAAGCACTCAACCGACCACACACAGCAGTGCTGAGCCAGGGACCGGAGAGCATGACGCCACCAGAAGGATCGAACCAGGCCCGAGCTTTGCCTGAGGAAGGGTTCTTTCGACTCGTGAGCCTCGACACAGACAGTGCGGACGACATCGAGCTATACAATCGCATGAAGGTAAAGTGAATGCATGGCTACCTTCAACAGAGAGCTGACACCGGATAGATCGAAGCTGCAGCCGGCCTGCAGCGCTTGTCTCGCTCAGTCGGCAACGAGGATCCAAGTGAAGAAGCTTTTCGAGCAGAGATCCTCTTAATCTACCAGGATGCCAGCAGCCAGACCAAGTCGGTCTACGATCGAGGTGCGTTGCGAGTCGACGGCGCTATGACGGACAATTGGGTGATTCGTTGGCTCCTGTGGCAGGCCATGCATCAGCCCAACGGGAGGTAGTCCAGATGGTGAAAGAAGCAGCTTGCATCTTGCTAAGCAGGGATCTTGAAGCGGGCATTAATGTGGATGGGGGCGCCCGAATAAAATAAGACCGACCCGAATAATGATAATGAACGCCCTCGTTATGGCGAAGAACGAAGCCTTCGCCAGTTTGTTTTCACGTCTGTCCTTGTTGGTCTCTGAACCATGCATTCCCAGGTCCGCTGGTCTTATTGATGCCGAGGCTCGCTTTCCAGAAGTTGCTCGATGTGTTTCCAGGTATTGATGGGTGTTTGTTCTCATCCGGGCAGACTCCGTCCTGAACAGCGATATCGGTAGCGACGGGCTCATGTGCGGCACGGCAGAACGTAGGAGGGTGAGACTGCATGGCTGTCGGACATTTCTCATGCCGTATTGCCCAGTGTCCACACTTCTCCCACGTTATCAAATTTGCAACGCACATGCTGCAAGTTATATGGCCAAGTCTTGTGGTGTGCAAACCATAGTATATTTGCATATGTGGCGCAATAATAAATATTCGGGCAGGGAACAGCTTCTTAATAAGTTCCAATGCCTCGTGTCTCTTAGTTCGTGGTGTGTTTCACAATCTGTACAATCATCCCGCGTCTCAGCGCTCTCGAGGCCACTAAATACCATAGTTGCAGGTGCGAGCTGAGCGAAGAGGCCATTCCAAATCCGATAAAGTGTGCTAGCGGCTCTGATCCTGCTTGTCAATGATCGCCTGGCCCTCGAGGCGAGCAATATTACATCCGCGATATAACTCCAGCAGTTCGGTTGATGCACGAAAGGGCGCCTGAAATGGGGCAATGATTGGGCACCTTTGCAAGCACAGCGCGTAGATAGCGCTTGATAGTCTTCGCAAATGCCAGTAGACGAAGCCACGAGTAACGCTGGAAAGTGGGACACCGAGCTTGAGCTCCAGCTTCTTCCAACCAGAAAGATGCGATCCCAGACTTGAATGCAAGCCACAAATAAGGTAAACGATGATCCGGTGCCTGCTAAGTCGGGACCCTGCAGAACCCTATGTGTTCCTCGGACTGACATAATGAACCCTTTAGATCCTCAGGCATTACGGTGCCAGAGAACTGCGGTCTCATTAAGCACCAACGTGTCGGGCTCGCCAACTCTGGTCATTGGCAGTATGATCGGTGTTATGACTCCGAGATGTTCCGATGTTCGACAGAGGAGTTAGAAAGGCATCAAGTACCTCCTTGTCAAGTACTCTCATCACTTCAAGCAAGACAGACTACATTCCAGGTGATCCATGACGCATCCACAGCACGACTTAGAGCGCAAGAAAGGAAGTCATTGATTCAGTGGCGGATACCAAACCATCTAGATTCAGATGTCTAGACAGCGACATGATGTAGCTGCTCAATGATCAGCACCATGGCTTAAGCTTGACAAAGCTCGTTGGGTTCCGGATCAGATGTAAGTTCGACGCTTCTCCAGCCATACGACAAGACAGGTCGTCCACATGTCCTAATCAAGAATTTTCCCCCGTGCATACTCCATAGCCTTGGAGCTGGGCATCAAGTCCAGACCGCTGCCGGAAGATAGACCACTTCGAATTGTTTCAAGATGGCGGATACACGTCCGAGGGGCACTGCCCGAGCAGAAACCGATAGATTCCCGTACCGGCCCGGACCAAGAGGATGCCCGGCCGCCGGCTGAGGCGCACTGTTTGGGTCGCAATGCAAAGCAATGTCTGCAGCGGGAGTCCAGTCGTCCAATGAGCTCAAGTGCTTATGAGGACATTCACGTTTTCTCAAGCCAATCATGAGATGGTGCAACGAGATGCCCAATCATAAAGTGTGGCCGACGGCCCAATCAAGTCAACACGAACAACTTTGCTGACAGCTCGTGAAGTCGATCTCTCGGCTGTATTAGGAAAGCGCTATGGCTGGAACGTCGTCGCGTTTCGGGATCGCTAGGCAGCAGATGGCAGTCGTCATCGTGGAGCAACTTTTTTGAGCCAATTTCTCAATGGAGTCATGGAAGGCAACGAATCATCCACTGGACGAATGTCGTAAGCCGAAAGATCGATGGCAGCAGCAGGCGGGCGATAGAATCTTGCAATAGCATGCACTACGCCGCACCACTTGGTCACCAAGATCAACAAGTGCAGCAGCCAGATGCTCACGATCGAACTCAGGCTGATCATGCCTGGAGCACAAGGGGCCAATACTTGCGCCCGACGGGTGAAAGGGACCATCTTGCTCTCATACGCACCAAACGCAGACTCATGTCCTCGTGGATTGTTGGCGATCTCGCGGGCGAGAATGTATGCCCCGACGAAGGCGACCGTCGTTCCCATCCCTGATGACGGGCAAGGGCAAGACGCAGCATCACCCACGAGAGCCACACGATCTCGAGTAAATGCCTTCAGTTTGACCTGAGCGATCTCTTGCGTGTGGAAGTGCTCAGCGACCTTGAGCCCATCTAGAAGTCTGGCTTCTTGCCAGCCAATTCCACGGAGATGAGTCGCCCAAAAAGTCTTCTGCTCGGCAAGGCTGGCGCTTGCCAAATGGCTGGGCTCGAAAGCGAGGCCTGAAATCCATAACGACACTCCTGTTGTTCCGCTTGTCTCTGGTCGTAGCAGAAGCATTCTTTTCCGCGGGGCGACATACCATCTGGCCCACTCACCATCTCCGGAAATGCGTGAAATGCTAAACCAGACGACCCATTGACCCAGCCGCTGAATCGCTTTAGCAGAGACGTCGTGGCCAAAAGCGAGCCTTCTCGTTGTGCTGGCCCAGCCATCAGCTCCGATCACTACATCGAAGTGCCTAGTGTGCCCGCTGTTGGTGAAAGTGACATCGATGCCCGAATGGCTCGAAGACAGGGTCTCAATACTCTCGCCGAAGATGTACTCGACGTTCGACCTCGTGGCCTCCCAGAGCAAGGAAACCAGTTCCCCGCGCACAATCTCGATGCCACCGGTGAAACCTGATCCATCTGCAACGGGGAATTCGACGCTGCACTGCCCTTGCGCGTCAATCATTCGAAGGCCAGCCTCTCCAGTCGCTCTCTCGCAAGCCGCCCGCTCGAGGCCCATGCGACGAAGGATGGCAAGGCCATGCCCTCGCACGTCCACGGCTTGACCTTCCTTCCGCAAGGCGTTGGATCGCTCGACTACTGTAACGCGCGCACCGGCTTGGGCCAAGAAGAATGCAGCGACGATACCCGCGATCCCGGCGCCGTTGATGAGGATGTTGAGAGCTGGCTCCATCTCGTCTCGAGCGACGTGCAAGATGTGTGCTGTCGATCTTTGGTGTGCTTGAGTTCTTGCGGATTTCGTGCTATGGAAACATGGTTGGGATTGAGATGCTCGCTAACAGGGATGCTGTGCATCCGCGGAGCTTTGACTGTCAACATTCCGTCATCTTGATAGCGGTCATTGGCAAGAGCGACTTCTGGGGATGAAGCCATCTCGTGAGCGGTAGCAGGTGACAACGAAGCCTTTCCTGCCTGCGGATGCCTGGCTGTGAGCGCGGGCAAACGACTCGGAAAGTTCAAGTGAGTCGGCCACTGTGCTTCGCCAAATGAGGTGAAGTTGGGAAACAGATGAGCCGGAGCCTGCGGTCAGGCACTTGTGCCCAGAAGAGCATGACTGCTGGAGAAGAAGGGGTAAGGGATCGCCGAGCAAGAGAGAAGTACGTGTTGCGCAGCGACAGAGAGCAGTTGAAGTGGTGAAGCAGAACAGAGCAGAGTGTGTAGCCAGATGCGCCTACTGCCAAGACTGCAATTTTGCCACCCTGTCGACAGGGAATTCACAGGTCTCATCCGGACTTTCCATGAACACGAGACGACGTATATCACAGGCGAAACCTCCCCGCTGATACTGTTGCAGCTTCACTTCGCATACTCAATCAGATCACAGGTGGGAACAAAGCTGCGCGAATCTCCCCGTTCGATGGCTTGCTCGGAACAGCCTTGTTTCTGGGCGCATCGTACACCTCAGCAGAACCCGCCTCAGCCGCCGCAGTTCAAAGGAGACTGAGGGACTTCACGAACCAACGCCAACAGTATCTTGAGTGTTGGGGTTGGGTTGAGCTTGGGATGTCTGCCTCCATCTCCATTTTCTTGCTGTGCATCTCGACAGGCGCCAGCTAACAACGGAGCTACAGGGCTTGAACCTCAGCCTTGCGATCTGCCATGGCGACTGAAACAGATCGATTTCAAGAAGAACAAGAACATGATGAATGTGTTAATGCAAAGACTCAGACGTCATTCTGCTCGCCACTATCTCTGCTTGGCCGAAGAATCCCTGTAGCATCATGCAGCTGCCATAGCGAGCAACACAGGCGACGAGATATTTGCCGTGCTCTACCGATGTTTGGGACGACAGGCCAATCGAACTTATCAGTACAGATTGACCATGTCGATGCTGGAAACTGATTGGGGTGCGAATCATCTGCTGACGCGCACCTTCTGCCTCAAAAATGAAGCGCCTTCGTACTGTTCTTCAATCATCTGGTTGACGTATAAATGCTGAAGGCCGCATCGCAATTTGAGACTTGAGATTCACTCGCTGCTTTCCATTGAATCGTCATTCTGACAACGGCCAGTGTTCGAATTCTCAGCTTCGACCACCGCAATGGAGAAAGATGAGGAGAGGAGGGACAATGCGCCAGAATGTGTCACAGATACTTTTCCTGAGGTTGGAGAAGTCAAGGACTATGTCACTCACGATGGCGATGCTGCACTGGATTTCTTACGCCAAGAGGCCGACGTTCGTCCTATGACAGCCGAAGATGAGAAAAGATTGGTTCGCAAGATCGACTGGATGATCATGCCCATCATGTGGGTGTGCTACTGTCTTCAGTACCTGGACAAGACATTGATCAATTATGCCAACGTCATGGGTCTCCAGGACGATACTGAAATGTCCAAAGACCAGTTCAGCAATCTCGCATTGATATTCTACGTCTCATATCTGGCGTTCGAATTCCCACATGCGTACGGAATGCAGAAGCTGCCGACTGCAAAATACCTTGGAGCCATGGTCTTTCTATGGGGCGTCGTCGTGACGGTGACAGCTGCGTGCAAGAACTATGGTGCTTTGGTGGCGACGAGAGTGCTTTTGGGAGTGTTCGAATCTGCAGTTGCTCCAAGCTTGATTTTGAATACCAGCATGTGGTACAAGAGGCACGAGCAGCCGCCTCGCGTTGGGCTGTGGTATCTCGGTGAGGCTTTCGCATGCGACCCACTAGAGCGCATTGCTAATTTGTTGACTGCGTACAGGTGTTGGAAGCGGGACTATCATCGGCAGCCTCGTGTCGTTCGGGTTCCAGCATGTTACTAGCAGGACGTTCTACTCTTGGCAAATTATGTTCTTGGTATGTTGATCCCACACAATCATACGCACCAACGTGTACTGACCTGTCTCAAGACTGTCGGCCTTGTCACTTGCACCGCAGGCATTGTGGCATACTTCTTTCTCCCAGACAACCCCATGTCGTCACGTTTGACGTACGAAGATAAGGTGTGGGCGATTCGACGCCTGCGTGAAAATCAAACCGGCATCGAGAACACCCACTTCAAACCTGCACAAGTGATCGAGTGTTTCCTCGATCCTCAGACTTGGCTCATCTGCCTTGCGACAATCGCATCAAATGTACCTAATGGAGCTGTCTCGAGCTTCCAGGCCACAATTATTAGGAATTTCGGCTTCGACAGCAAGACGACCGCTCTCCTTCAAATCCCATCCGGTGTGATCTCAATGATTGCTATTATCATTTCGACACAGCTTGCCGGCAGGTACAACCAGCGTGGCCTACAGATCATCGCACTCGTGCTGGTGGGTGGTGTGCTCGGCGGTGCTCTCATGGCATTCCTGCCAGAAAATCACAAAGCTGGCACGCTGATCGGCAATTATCTCACCAATGTAATTGGAGCGTCGTTGCCTTCGATGTACTCCTTGGTCGCAGCCAATTACGCCGGACACACCAAAAAGGTAAGCAGACTCTTATACGTCTTTTCACGGACATGAACTCACTGAAATCAGGTCACGATGAATGCCCTTCTACTGATATCGTTCTGCTTGGTAAGGTCATTTTCGCTCAGATAGCATCAATCACCTTCTGATGACCACGCTTCTAGGGCAATATCTTCGGGCCCATGTCCTTCACTGGACAAAGCGCGCCAGATTATATCCCAGCGAAAATCACCATCATCGCCACCTGCGCGGGGACGTGTGTGTTCGTCGTTTGCCTCCAGGCGTACTATGTCATGGAGAACAAGAGACGCGATAAACTGGCAGCTGAAGCCGCGGATCGAGATGAGGACGAAGCAGCGTTCATGGACAGGACTGATCGCCAGAATCAAGGCTTCAGGTATCAGTTGTAAGATGTGCATGGCACGTAGTCTGGAGAGTCCGAAACGCCCTCAAAACTGCATGCGGACCTTCAGTTTGTCGCCTTCCACAATCTCGTCTTTTCTGGCCATGAGCTCTTCCATGTCCCATGGGCAGCTGATGTACCTTCCGCCAAGCCACTCCCTTCGTTCCGAGGCCAGCCAAGCGATAGTATCGCCTGCGATTTCTTGTTTATGCGGCAACTTGTTACGCAACTCCCCAGGCTCGTTGATAGTCATCTGAGTTTTGATCGCTCCTGGGTTGACGCAGAAGGTAAGTAGGCCGTCATCACCGTGTTCCAGGTTCAGTGCTTCTGTCCAGCGGAGTACGGCAAGTTTCGATGATCTATAGCTGGCACCGCCTTTTCGCACGCTCAGCGCTCCAGAAGATGATACATTGATCATAGTACATAGACCGCCATGGTCTTTGCGGGTGCGAATCTGCATTGGTAGGAATGCACGAGTCATATTGAACAGTCCATGAACATTGACCTCCCACGTCCTCCAGTATACATCTGGGTCCGCGTCCAACACCGACCCATATGGCTCTTGGTGGGCAGCATTGTTGACAAGAATATCCAGCCGATCATTGAAGGCTTCGGAAAGTGTCTTTTGGAACACCGATACGCTCTCCTTTTGAGAGATGTCGACATGGCCGCTGAGCACGAGTGGTTCCGGACGACCTGCTTCCACAGCAGCAGCCTTGAGTTGGGAGACAAGTTGATCAGAGACTCCGTGAAGGTCTATCACAGCAATGGCAGAAGCACCGGCCCGTGCAAAGGCCTTAGCGGTTGCATAGCCTACGCCATCCTCCCAGGCCGCTCCAGTAATAAGCACGTGAGCTCCAGAAAGGTCTTGTGATAGTGGCGAGATGTATGGATAGCTTGTAGCATGGGTTCGGGCGGTGAAGTCGCGCCGTGCGGCAGGAGGGTTACTTGTAGACATTGTAGGCGTAATTGTTGCTCTCGTAGCTACAGACCAACAAGCAGCAATGTTCTGTACTCGTGACGTCGCGACACATGACAATACCTTACTCGTAATTGTGCCGGGACAGCGCCCGTTCCTGCCCGAGCGATTAGTGAACTCACATTGCCTCCACTTCACGTTTCATGCCGTCCTGTTGCAGGAATAGGGCCACTGTACTCAAGGATCACCCAAGAGCTTCGTGACGAAGCCTTCAGAACCTCAGAGCAACCGGCTGGCCGTATGCCGCAGCCATCCTTTCACAGCATCTACGCAGCTTTCTGTCTCTACTGTCCGCGCATCTGAGTCGCTGCCACGCGCAGTCATCGAGTTATCCGCCCCTTTTCTTCTCCCGAGCGGAAAATACCTGCGCGCGGGGCTCCATCTCTTCACAAATTCAACGATGCTCGTCAATGACCAAGACACCGTTGCACTGGGATCAGTGGACTTCGTCTGCGGACTTCTCTGCAATGAGGATCAAGAGCTAGAGCGACCATTCTGCTTCGTGCCGATGCTGAGGTAGCATGGATCTGTCGAATCAGACGTCGATACTGAGATTGTACATGAGTGAGCGCAGGCGAGCGTTGGTAGATGTGCTGGGCATTGTTGTTGTTCAGGACGAAGGGCTCGCGGCATACGGCATCTAGAGCCGTCAAATATTGATTAACACTGACTGCGTCCTGATCAGCGTGACAGCCAAGCGAATCGAGAGGAAGACGCGTGCTTTCCACTTCTTCTGAACAAAACAACAACAATCACAAACACCTCCTTTAGTCTACCGAAATCGACGTGGCAAATCGGCGAGGTGGGGTCGGTGATATTCATCGTCCACTTTGCTCGTCAAGACCGATCTGATACCAGTACGCGAAGACGCGATAGCACGGCGATGGGACAATGTTCTGATCACGACATCGGAGTACGATTGGAACGAGCGTCACCTGTTGCTCTAGAGTTGTCGAATCCAGCCTGAGAGAGGCTACCGCGATCATGCGTTTACAGGTGCCACGACAACGCGAAATCCATTACCACGCCATCGACCATTTGCCTCCAAGCTGCCACGATAAGAACAGTTAGCCTTGAGCTTACCACTTGAGAAACAGCCACCTCGTAAGACACGACGTACACGCCCTGGCGCTTTCATGTCCTCGCGACCATCATTCGCGTTACACGGGAACTTGTACGAAGGCTCCGACATATTCTCGGCCCAGAGTGTGGAGCACCATTCCCATACATTACCTGCCATGTCATGACATTGGAAAGGTGAAGCTCCGCCAGCAAAGACACCGACTGCGCAGGGCTGGTTCAGTCCTAGCTCTTCCGAATTACAGGCGTCAGCTTTCCAGCCTGCGCCCCAAGGATACACATTGCGTCCAGTCGCGACGATTTCGAGATCTCCTTTTGCTGCAAGTTCCCACTCAGGTTCTGTTGGCAGGCGCACTCTTTGATCAGTCGCAATTCTGCCCGATTGATGCCAGACTTTGGTCAACCACTCACAGTACGCGACTGCATCGTACCATGTCAGATCGGTCGCTGGGACGTTCTGTCTTGCTGCATCATTCTGTTCCGGGCTGGACCAGTTCCGAGCAGTCTCTTGAATAAACTTCTTGTACTCTCTCACTGTGATGGGGTATCTCCCAATAGCAAATGGTCTGACAACTACTTCATGAACTGGCTCTGAATTGGGATGCTCTGGTGAGCCCATGGTCAATCTCGAAAGGGGAACAAACTGCAGAGCCACCAAGTCGCGAGGGTCCTCAAGCCGCGATAATGCAACACTCGCAGCAAGGCGGTCGGGCAGCTCCATTTTTCCCTCTTCCAGTACTGCCAAATTGAGATGCAGAACCCTCTCTCGGAGATCAACATTGGGTAAGTCATGCTCCGCCAGGAGAAGTGCAGCGCGCTGCGCATGCAGTCCAGGACTCCTCAGCAATGATGACGCCAACTTGTCAAGCTCTTCGGGATCCCTTCTCCGCGCAATGACGCTACCGACAATCTCACTTGCTTGTCTAGAGTCGCTGCTGAGGATAGCTGCCGTCGCCTGAGGATCTTGGATGGCAAGGTAGCGAGCAGCGAGCAGACTGCGCGTTTTGCTGATAGCATATAATGCAGGAGTTTCGGAGCCGACGATGTGCTTAACCGGGCTCCGCGAAAGCCCCAATCGCTCAAGAACATTGCCCAAAGCTGCTTGCTGAAGTTCCTGCGCCTGAGTACCGTACTTGACGACTGCCGCCAACCAAGCATCGATTGTCGCTTCTGCCGATTCACCAAGATAACTAGCTTGCAACGCAAGTGCAAAGACCAAGTGATTCGCCGCTGCCAGACCTGTTGGAACATTTGTTCGATCGTAACTCAGATGCAAATGCTTTTGGCAGAATGACCTCCGCTGTGCCAGCAACAACGGCGATAGATTATGCTTTGCAACATGGATTGGCAAATCCAGACTAGCCAGTGACTTTGCATCGCCCAGCATCACCACGCGATTCTCTTCCCCGGCCGCGGACACAACTAGGGAGATCACGTCGGCGATCAAACGCTCTGTATTGCTTCCAGCATGATCTACATCATCTAGGACAATCAAAAGCCCTCTCGAAGCATGCTGTGAGACATGCTCCAGGAGTTGTGGTACCTTCTCCTCGACTATCTTCTCGAAATCGCCTGCATCCGCGATTGGAAAATAGCATGGGAGCAATGCAGGCCTTTCCCACACTTCTGGATGTGCATCGCCAGACTCATTGCGAATCAACGGCAATTCTTGCTCCGAGACCAAGGGAGCCTCAGCCACAAATCGATGACACAGGACTTTCGCAAATGTCGTCTTACCGCTGCCGCTTTCCCCAGTGAGCAACAGGAATTTGTTATCTCGCACCAATTCAAGAGCGGAATAGTGGACAGGTGCATCCTTATTGTCGCCAGTCTTTCCCTTCCTGAGGCCTTTTGCTGCCTTGTCTTCGTGCGTGAAAGTCGAGAGTAGTGGGATATAACCTGTGACTAAGTCCAGCACCTCGCCGCTAGGAAGAACAAGCAATGGCTCGTGTCCGAAACGCTTTGCTTTCTGGAGAAGATGTGCAGCAATATCCATGTTGAATGCCTCCGCGAGAACAAAACGTATTGTTTTGCATCGATAGTCAAGATGAACAAGAGAACCGTTTGTACGAGGTGGCGAACCATCGGTCGTCTATACTTGTAAATAGATGCCGCCAGCGAAATCAGTCTAATGGATGAACACCGGCTGTGGCGTTGCACGCGGCTGGGTATACCTTGCAATCATCGCTAGTATGGCGAATAGCACCAAGTGGACACTCGGGCAAGATACATGGCGGATTTCGGCATTCCAATGCAAGTGTTCAAAAAATTCGTGGTCCTCAATGGGATGAATAGATTGCTACTGTGTCGCTGTATTACGAGATCTGCTGGCAGTCTAGCAATTCTGCGTTGACTATACCGGCCATGTGCAGCCCGGTGTCTAGCCGGCATGCAGTGGAGCCCGAGCAAGTGCATTATCATCCACTTCATAGTTATACACGAGCTTTCCGTTCATGCAAATACTTATGTGCCGTGACGAATCCGATCGCCAGCCCACCAAAAAGGATCAGGATCTGGTAACCGTATTTGTACCTCGGGGCATCGTAAGTAGGGAATAGCACAACTATGTTCTGTCAGTAACATGCCACTGCAAATCGTGAAGTTCGACTTACGAGGAACCCAAAGCACCCAAGCATAAGAGAAGAAGTTCGCAACAGCCACAAGAAGCTGTCTCAGATTCGGATCGCCAGCATTGAGTTTAGAAGCCCAGGCCTAGAACTTACTGTCAGCGCACGACATGAATAAATCTGTATAGCGGGGTGACACGTACAATGAGCACCGGCGTAGTAGCACTTCCAGCATAAGAAATGTAGTACGCGAACATCAAAGCCGCCTTGGGAATATTCCAAACAGACAGCAAAATGTTGGACAAGATCATGACGCCGAGCAGACTGACGATGAGCCAGTAGAATTTTCCAGTGCGATCGGCCAGCATGCCCCAAGCAAGCGTAACGACTATTGCTAGAGCATTCCCTCCAGTAGGCAAGTAGTTGATTTTGTCGACGCTGTAGCCCTCGGCTTTGAGCCACAGGTTGAAGTAGCTTGTGGCAGTATGGCAGGCGGCGATCATGCTAGGCACGTTTGTGTCAGCGACTGTTTCTGTGACCGCGTATGCGTCCTGTCACTTACACGTAAGACCAAACGAACACCCAAAGCTGCCATGTTGCCAGTATTCGCTTGATCTCTTGCCACGTCAACTTCAGTGGCGCCTGGTGACCGAATTTCTCGACACGCTCAATGCCATATCGAATGTGCTGGGAATTGTAAGCACAACACTTTTGTGCAGGGGACGCTGCTGGCGGACATACCTCTGCAGACCAATAGAACGCCCTTGTGGTATGTGGCTTGTCCGGCAGCAGGATGAAACCCGCAACAGCGATGGGAATGGAAATGACACCGTCCATGACGAACAACCATCTCCAACCCGCTAGACCATGGCGGCCATTCATGCCATTATACAAACCAGCTTGCAAATAGCCACTGAACATGCTCGCTATCGATTCCACTTCCAGCAAAATTGCGGTACGCTTTGCGAGTTCTTGAGGTCCGTACCATGACCCGAGGATCGCAACATAGCCTGGAAACGCGCACGATTCGAAGAGTCCTGTGAAGAAGCGAAGTGCGTACATCTTTGCAGATCAGCTCGTGATCAGTCTTAGGGTTTCGACGCTCTGCTGTACTCACAGTCTCGATGTTTTTGGCGAACCCCATACCGGTGACCAATGCAGACCATGCGACTTCACAGGAGGGTATGAGAATCGATGGTCGGACGAAGCGAAGCTGAAACATCTGCGCTGGAACGCTGCCGATGATGATGCCCAGCGCAAACCAGGTGTTCAGCCAATTTCGCTCGTTGCCATACAGGTGAAGGTCTTCTTTCATGCCGCTGACGAACGCATTGCCTATTTCGATCACGTTAATCGTTGTGATATCCTTTGGATCCCATTGAACTCACTGTAGTTCGTCTGGTCGAGACTGGCGGATGTCAGCATATCTCAAAGACCGCTTACCAAATCACTCACTACTTAATGAAGTATCCCAAGCACACGATAGGACTAGATAGATAACATAATTAGCCTGCCTGCACGAGACTGCCTCTCGAAGATGTCTACGCACAAGAGTCCAAGATCTAGTCGTCGCACATAACGACGATATTCCTCTTCGCCATCGGCTGAGTCCCATACGAAGGACAAAACTCTTCGCCACAGAGGCGAGGCTGATTTTTGCCCGGAGACTTGATTCACTTCGATCGAAACGGCGTCCTTGGGACTGTCATCGTAGGGGTTACTCAGAGCGGCGTTACCCATGCTCGTGCGGCCGACCTGGTTTCTGGGGGCTTCTTCATCCATATCGACTGGGCTTCAGCAAGCGCGCATACAGATGCGACTGTTTGATGAGAATGTATTACACGATGAAGACTATACCTGTCTCTGGAACCCTGCAAGGCCAGCATCGTGTTGAGCATGGTGCCCACGTGGAATCGTGGAAGCGAAGTGGATCTGCTTCGTTGAGCTTGTCGCTGCTTGCCCGCGAACGGCCTGCTGAATGCGTATTGCGTGCTCTTGGCCTTGCCGAAGGAGTACATCCGCGTGTGATAAGGCGAGGCAAGCATGAAGCCGAAGATCACCAAGCGACAAGCGCCATGGTATCATTCTGGCCCACAATATCGAGGCTCATCGTAGTATCTCGCGTGAAGCATCCTCCATCACTGTGACCCATATCCCTGGCACACGGCCTTGCTGCAGAGTGTGATCGGCTCTGAGACGTGAAGAAGCTCCAAGCAGAAGGAGAAGTTGAGAGGAAGTCGCACAGTCGCACTCCCAAACCAGACCAGAATCTGCGCAGTACTTCTCAGCACGTTCTGCCCGACGCAACAATGCCAACCACGACCAAGTCACTCCGCATCGCATTGGAAAATGTTGACTTCCGCCTGCCAACACAGGTCACAGACGACAACAGCGTCCTCGCACTCAAATCACTAGTCTTCGAGCCACTCATCACATGGCGCCCCCATGGCGAGTTCAAGCCAGGCCTCTTCGCGTCGTGGACAGCATCACCCGATGCCCGAATCTGGAGCTTCCACATTCGTGACGGTACAACATACCACGATGGCGTGCCATGTACAGCAGAGAAAGTCGTAGAGTACATCAAGGGCTTACTTGATTCCACGGACTACTTTGGGATGAAATGGAGCTACGCCAGGTATTTCGCCACGACAACATTCTCCGCAGCAGACGAAAGGACAGTGCGAGTGGAAAGTACCGCGCCTTTTGGCGACTTGCCCCAGATCTTCAAGGATTTCTGGCCCTGTCGGATCAACGTTGATGGGAAGCCCATCCTTGGAACAGGACCATATCGGGTAGCAGAATTCTCAAGGCAGAACGGACGAGGCCACGCCGTTCTCGAACTGATCGATGCATCTACCAAGACACATCTCCCCACAACGATCACGGCGATACATGAGCCCTCCGCTTCAAAGCGACTCGCGCTCCTGCGTGATGGCAGCGTTGATCTCGCCCTCAATCTCGAACGAATTTCCGATCGCAGCTTACTCGACTTCCAGCCACCGTTGCTCTGGGGCCGACAAACCAGCACGCTTTCCGTAATCTACTACCTCAACAACTTCACTGGTCTCTTCTCTCACCCCTCCGCTCGCTTGACGGCCAATCTCGCCATCTCCAAAACGGATTTGAACCAAGATGTCTACCATGGCCTTGCCACGGCCGCTGCGACAGCGGTGAGCCCCTTCCATCTCGGATTCCGCGAAGCAAACTTGTCCCCAATTCCCTACGACGCCGCACTCGCACGCTCTCTCCTATCATCACTCAAGCTTTCAGACCTACCTGAAGACCAGAAAGTGCCCACAAGCATTACCCTACGTACCCCAACTTATATGCCGGAACATGCGGAGAAGATATCCGCATTCATTGCCTCGTCGCTTGAGGCTGTAGGATTTCCACCCATAGAAGTCAAAGTGGAGTACAATCGCCCTGAGTATGCGCGATCCATCGGATTGAACAAAGATCTTGGAGATCTGGCACTATTTGACTCAACTCCGAATACGACGTTCCGGGTCTTGGATGACAAAGTGTCGCAGAGGAAGAGTGAAGAGAAGACGTGGTGGATGGGGTACCGTGATGAGGAGTTTGAGAGACTTTTTGAAGATGCGAGGAACCTAGGAGTGGATGTGCAAATCGCTGATGACAAGGGTGAAAATGGTAAGGGGAGAGCGGATCTGTATGCGAAGTGTTTGAAAAGGCTACAGGATAATCCGCCGTGGGTATATGTAGCGCATCCGGATGTTGTATGGGCTGCGAGAGAAGGTGTCGATGTTGATATCGGGCCGACTGGTGTTCTCAAGATCAAGTAAAGTGAAATATCAAGTTGCAAGTAAGTACACGGTAGGACAGCTGGAGGAGTACAGTAGAGGAGTGCACAGGCCGCCAAGATTGGACAAGGAGCGGAAGAGTGGAGCCGTGTGGGGGAGAAGTGAAACTCCTCCATCTTGAGACTTTCTCTGGAATGTCGTCGCGTTGCTCACCATAACAGCCATCGATTTGAGATCTATCGACAATGACCCTTCCGCGTAGGCTCGTTCGATGTACTGCCGACGCAATGTTCGCCTGGCCCGCCTGAGAGCCAATCGTGTCCCGCGCGAATGACATCGGCTGTCCAATGGCACAGATGACATCACCCGGATGAATGAAGCAGCTGAGGTTGATGGGGAAGGTAAAATGGAGCGGCAAAGACGATGCGGCGGCAGCTGCGATTTCAAACAATGCTCCGCCGTTATCTCCTAAGACCGTTTACAAAAGCTCCTACATTTCCCACCCCACTCACGTCAGCTCAACGATACAATTTCCACACCACACCACACGCAGATATGAGAGTCCTACTTACCGGAGGCAGCGGCTTCATTGCCGCCCACGTTCTCGATCACCTCCTCGAACGCGGCCACTCCGTCGTCACCACCGTCCGCTCGCAGCAAAAAGCAGACAAGATCAAGGAAGCACATCCCAAGTATGGCAAGGACAAGCTCGATTTCGCACTCGTCGAAGACATTGCACAAGAGGGAGCCTTTGACAAGGCCGTCGTGTCAGAGCCGCCATTTGAGGCAGTCATCCATACAGCCAGTCCCTTCCACTTCAATGTCACCGATGTGCAGAAAGAGTTGCTCGATCCTGCAGTGATTGGCACAACAGGGATCTTGAAGAGCATCAAGAAGAGTGCACCGAGCGTCAAGCGTGTGGTCATCACCAGCTCCTTCGCCTCCATTATTGACCCTCAGAAGGGTGCACGGCCAGGACACACATACAGCGAGAAGGACTGGAATCCCATCACGCAACAAGAGGCGGTCGAGAACCCAGCTGCGGGCTATCGTGCCTCCAAGACCTTCGCTGAGAAGGCAGCCTGGGACTTTGTCGAGAAAGAGAAGCCAAATTTTACCCTCTCGACCATGTGTCCACCTCTGGTCCTGGGCCCAATCGTGCACTACCTCAACTCGCTTGACGCCCTCAACACATCAAACCAGCGAATCCGCGATTGCATGCTCGGCAAGTGGAAAGATGAGATTCCTGCAACGGGAATCTTCATCTGGGTGGACGTGAGAGACCTCGCACTCAGCCACGTGCTCGCAGCAGAGAAGGCAGAGGCAGCCAATAAGCGATTCTTCATCACGAGCGGACACTTCTGCAATAAGAGGATCGCGGAAGTACTCGCGAAAAAATATCCCCAGTTCAAGGATCAGCCGACCGAGAAGACGCCCGGTGGTGGAATGCCGGAGGAAGGCATTTATGACATTGACACGAGCAATGTGGACACTGTGCTTAAGGGCTGGAAGCAGGTCGATTTTGATCAGAGTATCACGGATACCGTGAAGAGCTTGCAGGCTGTTGGTGGTTAGCTGAAATAGATGGTATACATGTAGCCTTCTGTATCATTATGACCTTATCCGGCCTCATGCGTGGCTGCGTTGAATCCTGGAGGTAGCTATCAAGCTCAAAGACGTGGCGCGCTCTCTACGACGCTTCTTCCGTCGCAGCAAGAGCCTTTCTCACACGGGCTAGGAGGTCTTCCGAATCCTCGATTCCTACACTGATCCTCACCAGGTACTCAATAACACCATACTTGGCCGCCCACTCAAGCTCCCTGGCATGCGCGAGCAGAGTGTAAGCGCAAGACAGGGTGAAGTTCGTGCCCAGAGACGGGCCCTTGGCTACTTCTAACGCATCGTAGAATGCCATCGCAGATGCAGGTTTATCGAAGACGATCGAGAGCAGAAATCCGTAGCCGCCTCCTTCCCTCCGGTGACGGTCGTAGTATGGTTGAGACGGACTGCCCTTGGGATAATACACCTGTTCCACTTTTGGATGCTTCTCCAACAGCTCAACGACAAGCTCGGAATTAGCGTTGGCTTTTTCAACTCTTTCGGCAAAGTCCACACTGTTGCGCTCCATGATCACTGCATCAGGCGGGAAATACGTGTCAAGGTACACCGCGTCCAACGTCGTTTTGAACTGGGAGTAGTACTTGGACTTTGGATTCAGAGCGAGACTCCCGCCCATTGCATTGCAGGCGCCACTGAACATTTTCGTTAAGCTGGTGCACACGATGTCTGTATGAGCGATCAGATCGAGATTTACAGCAGTGCCAACGGTGTCATCCAAGACGACTGCGAACCCATACTCGCGCGATAACTTCCAGATTCTGATCAGATCCGGTGATGCCAGTAATGGGTTGCCTGGGAATTCGAGGTACAGTGCCTCGTACCGCATTGGATCTGCCTCGAGGTCCGCTTCGAGTTGGTCCAGGTCAGCGTCCGAGGCGTTGTAAAGTGTGCACTGGAAACCATGGACTTTGGACAAGACCTTGAAGGTGTCGACGTACAAGAACCTGGGACATGGCTCAGTTCACTTGGCAGCATATGCGCCAAAGATTGCAGAACTCACCCAAACACGGCCACACCGGGCCTTTGCTCTCGATTTCCAGACACGAGATTTGCAGAATAAGCAATGGCCGACATACCGGTATGAAACAGCCAGACATCATTACTATAGACTGTTTGCTTCTCAGAACAGACTAGATCAGCTATGCGTGTGCGGAGCTTGGTCTTTGCTTTCACTGTCGCCATCGTTATTGGCATGTCGACATCAGGCTTGTGGCTGGCTTTTGTCCATATTGCAGTGGAAAACCAATGTGAAGCACATCGGCTGGAAATTCCATAGCCGGTATGTTGCCACAGTGCTTTGGGCTCTCCTTGTGAGGAAGATCCCCTGAAGATTATTGCGAATATCTCGGAAGTGCCGTCTCCACCTCCTCCAGCATAGGATTCGAGTGGGTTTATATCACCAGAGAAGTTGATCACAAAGGCACCGAGAGTATCATCTTTGGTTGTCTTCTGGAGATGTTCCAGACATACCATCGCCATGGCTTTTCCGGGGACAAGTAAAGCATCGAGATCGTCAATGTTCTCGACATTTGCTAGGACGTTCGCGAATTCAGATTTCGAGATGTGCCTCACGACTTGCTGGGCCAAGACGCGGACTATTCGTGGCACAAAGAACCTTGGGTAGCCAGTGTTGAGTTTCTCCAAGACTTTCTCATCGCGGTATGCCCAGCCCACGGTATCTTGCCATAGTGGGAGTGATACGCTTACTCCCTATGATCCTGAACTCAGCACCAGTTTGTAAGAGAAGTGAGCGTTCTTACGTGTGGATCGCCGGGAGGAAGAGAGCTTCCTAACTCTATCTGCATTGTGCTATACTCTCCGCTCTAGTATCCTTGGTGAAGCGTTCATGGGACAAAGGATTGAAGGAAGCAATCTCTCCGCAAGGTCTAGAACGACCAAAGGATGGCCACATGGTTGTAACATGGAGGTGACTTTCACCACTTGATCGGATCTCCGGGCGACTGTGTTTCCTAGCTGCAGTACCGAGAGGTGGCATGACGTGGAAGGCACAAACTGTGAGACGATTAGCAATGGTGCTACTGCAGGCGCGAGAAGCATCTTCTCATAGGCGGTGATCTAAGGAAGTTTGACAATTAATCCTTACTTATGGTCTTCAGCGAGCTCGAGGAGCAAACAAAAACTATTAGCTCCAATGCTCTGTTGTATCGTACCTCCTACATCCTACCACATAGAGTACCTATTCGACTTGTGTCTTTGTGAATATCCAGACCTCTTGGCGGTGTACATCAATTGGCAAAAGAGTGGGCTAATGCAACATTCGGAACCGGAAGCAGGGAGCTACTGCCGGAGCTACCAAACAAGCAATTGAAGATCACCTTTTTGTGTTTACCTAAATTGGTGTGTTATTTGGCAGCACATACAATCCGGTTCGCTGATAGGTCGACTGTATTGTCATAACTTGCTGAGCAAAGGGTGTTTCGTTCGCTGTGGCGTGGTCGGAGGTATTGGGACTTTATCTATATTTTGCCCTGTACTCAGTGTACGCACTTTGAGTGCAAGCTTGCTTACTTTCCCTGAGAACGCTTAGCCAGACAAGAGTACTTCTGTTGAGCTTTTCATGCGGATGTCAGTACGGCGAAGCTGAAACGGCAGAATTGACAAGAGAGAACATGAAGTTGATCATGAATGCCAGCTCGAGCGAATGAGCGAGCGAGGCAATGTATTTCGTTTCATACACAAATGCATCTGTCAACCATTACGGCCCATCCATCAAGACTTCTCAACGTGAGCGACAGTGATGTCAGCACCCTTCTGCGACGAAGTCGAGTTGATGCGGTTGCCCTCTTGCGACTCCTCATCGATAGCCTTTCCAACGTCGACCTTGCCAAACAGGTCGTCCATCTTCTCCAATGAGATACCCTTGGTTTCTGGGATGAAGAACCACGTGAAAACGAACATGGTGAAACAGAAAGATCCGTAGATGAAGTATGCTCCATATCCACCTTTGCCGACAGTGGCGATCATGTTTGGTGTAGCACGGGCAACGACGAAGTTGAAGAGCCATTGGGTCGCAGCTGCGATGGAGACGTTAAGAGCTCGGAGTCTGGCGGTTGGGATTTCAGAAACGTAGATCCAGCAGACTGGTCCCCAACCGAATTGGAAGAAGACGGCGAAGAGGTAGATGGCGACAATGGCGACGTAACCTGCTGGAGGGACTGGAACACCCTTCTGTGGGGGCTCGACGCGCACGTAGATGCCGATGTAGTACATGCAGAGCCCTTGGGCGATGGAAGTCCAGAGCAAACTCTTGCGACGACCGAGAGAGTCGGCTGCGAGGAGGAGGAAGAGCGCGCATCCGACCATCTTCAAGACACCGTAGATACCAGTTGCGAAGAGCGAGGATTCGGTACCGGTCAAGCCCAAGTTGGAGAAGATCTGAGGAGCGTAGTAGTTGATGGCGTTGGTTCCTATGCAGCTGTTAGCAGCCTGCTCATTTCGATGAAGCACGCGGACTTGACCTACCAGTCATCTGTTGGCATATCATCAATCCAATACTGATGAGAGTTCGCTTCCTGTTGCCTGGAATGGTGAACATTTCCTTCAAGAGATCCAGGGCACCAGAGCCAGCGATCAGTCGTCTCTCGTACGCAAGTTGGTCAGACATCTCTTGGAGCTCCTCCTGGACGTATGGGTGGGTTGCTGGGAGGTTTCGAATGCGGGAGAGAACCTTTGAGGCATCGTCCCAGCGGTCCTTGCGTGCGAGCCATCGGGGCGTCTCGGAGCTGATGAACATGCCGAAGAAGAGGATAACAGCAGGAAGAGCCTGGAGAGCAAGCGGCACCACGTACTGAATCGTGCCGGAGGAGTGAAGCAGAGATCCGTAGTTGATCCAGAAGGCAATGCAGACTAGTGGTGTCAGTACGTTTCCAGATGTCCGTATGAGGCCGGACTACTCACCTCCAGTGACAATGAAGAACTGGTACATGCCCGTCAAGGCACCTCTGATGGCTCGCGGCGCGTTCTCAGATGTATAAAGAGGTGTGATCATACTGGCAGCTCCAACACCGACACCTGCGATGAAACGTCCAATGTACATGACTGGGAAGTGTCCGGCTGCGGCTGCTTGCATGACGGATCCGACAATGGCGAAGAAAGCAGCGATCATCATGGCGATACGTCGGCCAAGCCTATCAGCAGCCCATCCTGCAACGAGAGCGCCGGCGAAGCAACCTGCTTGCAGTGTGGAGACGATGTTTGCTTCGAGGTTGGCGGAAAGGGTGGGGTTCTCGGACGCCAAAGGCAAGCCGTACTTTTGTCGGAATGGGTCGAGCTTCAGGACACCACCTGAACAAAATCAGTCAGCGCCTGTGGGAGGAGGTTGTTCAGAGATTGTTCGAATACGTACCGATGATACCAGTGTCCATTCCGAACAAGAAACCACCAAAGCATGCCTGCCGTATGTCAGTCGCCGCAACGGATCTGCTCGTAGACAAATCAACTCACACTTGCGCACACCACGAACACCCTCCAGTTGTAAATCTCCTTTGGGTCATTCTTCATCGACTCATTGCGACTATCACAAACATTAGCTCAATGTACCACATAGTCTGGAACAGTATCCTCACATAATCTTCTCGAGGATACCCATGGTGGCGGTAGTCGCTCAGTATCAGAGTGAGTGTAACAGATACTCTCAAGCCCTCGAATGGAGCGAGACACTTGTGATGAAGATCCTTGAAGACAAAGAGCGGAGAGCTGGAGCTGCAAGATGTGAGCAGGTGAGCAGGCAGTTCTTTATCTACAAAGAGCTCTCTTACCACAAAGGCGGAAGATATCCCCCTGCCCTTGGCGGCGTTGGCCGGTGCAGTGAAGTCCGAATAGCCAAAGAGGCAATAGACGAGTGGCGTCAAACGCACTAGTCTGCCTGTTTCCGGCTCGCGTGCTGCGTCGAACACCGTCTAGACAGGATCTCACATGGGGAGGAGAAGCTTGTCTTGCATGCGAGCCAGTATGGACCAAGTTGTCGTGCCGAAGTGCAATGTGTTGCAGGTTGAGCACCTTAGCGATTCACGCGGAGTAGCCCCATCCGCGCTACGCCAGGATCAAAGGAACGATTGGGTGGCGCTTTGGGGGTCACTGTCCAAGGCCTGTCCAAGCGCTGAGGCGCACACCGTAGGACGCTTCCCCGCAATCTCAGTTCCGTGTGGAGGTGCGTGGAGGTGAGGGCTGGGGTACAGCCAAAGGATGCTATCATGTGCTCTGTGCCAAGCGAGATTTTCCATCAATGAAACGCCTGCACGCATCCGTGCACGAGACATGTTGACCCCCATACCTGTTGTCGCGTGGCGGGCACGAGGTGAACAATGTCCAGATCTAGATGCACGTGGATCGTGGAGGGCGCATCTGTCTATCTTATCTGTTTGTACTCATACAGCGTGTAGTGAATAACCAATCGCACATGAAATCTATGCCTTGCATGGTGTTAGTCGGACCATGAGCGGCTTCTTTTCCCACATGATGTACGTCTTTTGGTCGGCCCATCGCTTGCTCTCTTCGCACAGTGTCAAGTCAAAGTTGTAGAGCGTCTTGGTCAGTATCAATCGCATTTCGTGGTATCTGCTCAAGTGGTCAGTGATCTCCGTCTTCGTCACCCAGCAGAGGTTCGCCAAACTCACGCCATATTCTTGCCCAAGCAATTCCGCGGACCAGTAGAGAACGGCTGGAGCGCATGTTTTTTGTCCTCGGAATATTTTGCTCCCTCTGGATCGTTTGGTAGCCATCGCTCTGGCACGAATAGCTCAGGGTCACGGAAGTTGTTTCGATTGTTGAAAACAGCCACGTTCGATACGCGGACTTTGCTCTACACCTCGTTAGCTCGATCGACGTCCCGTACCTGCAGAAGGATCACATACTCCAGGTGGAACCTCATGGCCATCCACAACCACAGGTGCTCCCGGTAAGGCGACACGTGGCAGACCCTGCGGCACAGGAGAATACATACGCAGCCCTTCCTCCAGACAAGCATGAAGATACTCCAACGCCTGCAGTCTTTCCACTGTGATCTCTTCCTCGCTCGCGAAAGCGCTGCGGATCTCCTGGACCAATCTCTGCATCTTCGATGGGTTCGTCAAGAGTCGGAAAGTCACACCACTCAGCAGCGTTGCCGTGGTTTCTGTCCCAGCGATCATGAAAATTTCTGCATTCGCATACATTTCCTTCTTCGACAAACCACGACCTTCCTCCTTGCCGAGAACGAGTCCCCAAATATCTGGTCTGGCATCTTGCTTCTCAAGTCGTCGTTCCACGCGCACACGTGAGAAGTCTGCATGCAATTGCATCTGCTCCTTGATAGAGTTTGGCATGCAGTACTTCAGTAGAAACTCGTCCAAGGATGGCGCGAGCATTCTCATCGAATGTAGGATTACACCGAAATGCAACCCGCCAAAGATGGCAGCCACCCAAGGGTGATAGTCGGAGTTGTCCAACATACCCAGCGGCTCTCCGAATGTCAAGTCGCCCATGATGTCGAAGGTGGTGCAATTGTATAGTTTCACCATGTCGTATTTCTTGCTGGGATCTTGGCGTATCTTGCTGATCATTTTGTCAATGTGAGTGAGGAAAAGTGGTTCCTGGAGTTTTAACGATCGATCGGAAAAGGCGTGACTGAAGATCTTTCTCATCCGCGCATGATTGGCGTCGTCGGAGTTGACGATATCGCGTGTGGTCGTTCCCGGATTGGTGTAGAAGTCTTCGTCCTTTTGAAGAGACCCGTAGCCGGCCTTTTTGAACCCATACACATCTTTGTATGAGTCGGCGCTAGAAAAGGACAACTCATTCGGGGCCACGCGGACGACCTCCCCATATTCATCGTGGAGTTTGGTGATCCAAGCGACGAGGTCGCCTTTGAAGTTTTGGCGAACATAAGGTATCGAACTGGCCTTGCAGGCGACTGGGCCTGGAAACTTCGAGAGTGGGTGGAAGAACAGATTGTAGATGTATCCAAGGAGTGAATATGCGATTAGCAGTACGCACAATGCAAGCACCGCGCCGCTGATGCTCGTTGGCACCAATCGTATTGTATGGTTGTCAGTCATATTTTGTGTAGAATGATCTTACTCGTGAGCAGCAAGACAGGTCGACTTAGCTTATTATAATAACTACGTGACCTGGGCATAAGAGTGCGCATACGCCACTACCGGCAGATCTTGAACTTGGCATAGGAAGTTTAGGGCCAGGCCTACCACAGGGGCAATGGATTATACCAGTCGACCAGTTTCACCGGCACTGTGAGGTTCCGATGCCTGTGGACAAGCAGAAATGGACGACAGCATATGCACGCAACACACTTTCGGGACCATCGCGAGGAGAGTTGTACAGCTGCTTCTTCGATTTACCGGACACACATGACGATGTTCCGCGTCTGATGGGCCTGTTTCAGCTTAGCAAGTGCGAGCTTAGCAGCTGCGACCTCGTAACAAATGCGAGCTCTGCTGACTCGCCCAGAAACCACAGATGTTGTCTGGCGAAAGTGCGGGTAACTTGTTTTTGGTAGCATTCTCATCCAATGCCTTTGCGGCTCCGGTGGCTCATCACAGGCAGCAGCTTGGCAGTGTGCTTCACGATGTATACGACGAGAGGTCATCTCCGCGTCGAGTGCACAACGGAGACGGAGCAGGAATTGGAGACCGCTCCTCTCGCTGGGATCTGTGGCACTTGATGAGCACTCACATCTTGAGCAATGCCGAATAATGTGACCAGTCCCATCTGCGTCACACGGCTGTGTCTCCTACAGTCCTGCGGAAACGAAGCAGTTGTCTATCTCTTGCAGATGCATGCAGGTGCTTGCTGCGACTTGCTCTGTTTGTCGGGCGACTCGGCGACAGGCATCTCTTTTGCAGTATTCCTGCTAGGGAACGACAGGGCTTCGGCGGCGCGAGTCTCACGCCTGTCGCCATTCGATTGCACCACCTCGGACGGTGGTCGCTTCCACCCTCGTCGGCAACATGTAATGTCGAAGACAAGAACATCCGCTTCGCTATGGTACCGTCATCACACTCATCAGAATATCATGAACGCGACGGGCCCGCGAAGAGTCAGCAAACATGTGAGAGTTGGCCGAGGCCCGCCAACTGGAGAGCGAGCTCCTCACGTAGCCGAGGCCGTGGCTGTTACACGACTGTCAATAACAGAGACCTCAGCTGTCAGCAATCCATCTCCATTCGACTCTGTAGACTAGTAGTCATCCAGTCTTGACGTTTGCTCGCTTGCCCAAATACTGAATCATCGACATGGCAGCCTCACGAGTCTCGCAGATCGTGTCCCAGTTGAACCCTCTGGCCAGCCCAGTGGACAAGATGTAAGACTGAACAGTGGCGATAACAGTACCTAGACTAAAGCTCGACTACAGCACTCAAAAGAACCCCGACGATGTGGTCATTACACTTGCTCTCCGTACGCCTCTCACCAAAGCTGGTCGTGGTGCCATGAAAGACACAACCCTGGACGGCATGGTGTTCAAGCTGCTCGAGCAAGTAAATGCCCAGTCCAAGCTTGACCCCAAGCACGTGGAAGACATCTGTCTGGGTAACGTCCGTGAAGGTAGCGCTGCCTACTACGTGCGTGCTGCGGCCCTCGCCGCCGGCTATCCAAACACCTGTGCTGCGTCTGCAAGTGCTCGATTCTGCTCGTCTGGTCTTACCGCCACTCAACATATTGCCACCTCCATCCAAGCCGGCATCATCGACTGCGGCATTGCCATTGGAGCCGAGCTGCTCAGCGACAACAGGCCGCGCTTGGAGCGTCCCTTCGTTGATGAAATCATGGGCAACTCGGAAGCTCGTGATTGCATGATTCCTATGGGTGGGCTAATCTCGACTGTCACTCTTGGCGATATGTCAGCTAACATCTTTCACCAGGCGGCACATCGGAAATCGTCGCTAAGGAATTCAACGTTACCCGCGAGAAGCAAGACGAATACGCAGCCGAATCTTACCGCCGTGCTGAAGCTGCCGACAAAGCCGGACTTTTCCAAGACGAGCTGGTTCCCATTACCGTCATCAAGGACGGCAAGGAGACCAGAATCGAGAAGGATGAGATCCGCTACGGCACGACCTACGAGAAGATTGCCAAGCTTCCTGGCGCATTCAAGGACTACGGCGACCGCAGCACAGCAGGTAACAGCTCCCAAGTGACCGATGGCGCCGCAGCAGTCATTCTCATGCGCAGATCGAAAGCTCTCGAGCTCGGCCAGCCGATTCTGGCCAAGTATGTCGGAACTGCTCTCGCAGGTCTGCCACCAAGGATCATGGGAATTGGTCCATCTCTCGCGATCCCAAAGTTGCTGTCCAAGTATAACCTGGACTTGCACAAGGACATTGACCTAATTGAGATTAACGAGGCTTTTGCTTCAATGGCCGTGTACTGTCGCGACAAGCTAGAGCTGGACTGGAGCAAGATGAATCCTCGCGGTGGAGCCATCGCACTGGGACATCCATTCGGTATGACTGGTGTGCGACAAATTGTGACGATCTTGAGCGAGGCGAGGAGGCAGAAGAAGAAGGTCTGTTTGACGAGCATGTGTTTGGGTACCGGAATGGGTGAGTCTTATCCGATGCAGCGAGGTAGTGATTGTTTGACTGACTTCTTTCACCAGGCATGGCAGGATTGTTCGTGAACGAACAGCTTGATGGACCAGAGTCGAGTCCGACTGCTGAAGGCCGGAACGCAACTGCTCCAGGTATCATGAGATGATGATCAAGTACTAAGTTAGGGAAAGGAAAAGTTTAGCAGCCAAACATGCGGAAAGATAAATGTATGCCAGCTTTTGACCCCAATGTTTGAAGCGTCGTCTCCTGAGTGATGGCGGTTCCCCTCGAATCAAGCCAATATGCAGGATTAGGCACAGTATGCCAGTTGATGGGCTAGAGTGATGTGAAGTAATACAGGTTCAGGCTAGGAGGTATCGTCGAATTTAATGACTGAAGAAGCCGAGACCTGGCCATGACGGGGATGTGTGAGGCCATGTTTCCTGCCAAGACTCGTTCGACGGGGATGTTGCGAGACCCTGCATATGTCCTTACCCACCCGTGAACACGAGTTGCCAAACATAAGTCTCCTATCCATTCGCTACAGCTTGGGCGAGGCAGACAGGCAGCCCTCGAGATGCCACGGGACATGTCACCAGGACGATAATACCTCCTCTCTTTCCCGCCATGCGACTCCGCCATGTAGCGCAATCCAGTCTGCGGCGCATCACTCGCCGCTACCCATGGACCAAGCACATCTCGCTCTTCACCTCCGCCATCACGCTACTCTGGCTGTACTTCATCCACGCCGAAGAACGAGGCATCTCCCACTCACATATCAGAACATGTGACTGGCAGAACTGGGAGTCATGGCATCGCGATGCACAACCCCACCGATCCGTCTTCATCGCCGACCCGCAACTCGTCGACCCCCACACGTACCCAGGACGTCCGTGGCCGTTGTCGAGTCTGACCGAGTACTACACCGATTTGTACATGCGAAGGAATTTTAAGCTGATCAACCAAGTGCTGGATCCTGACAGCATTGTATTCCTCGGAGATCTCCTGGATGGAGGACGGGAGTGGAGCACGGAAAGAGCGAGGGGCTTGAACACCGATCAGAGACAGGTGCTGATCAACCTGCTGATATTGGATGAGAAGAAAAAGGAAGGACAGAGACTGCTGGGTGATGGGACAACGGACCTCAACCAATTTGTCGCAGGTGAAAATGGCCGCTGGAGCAAGTATAAGCAGCAGCAGTGGGATACCGAGTACGACCGCTTCGCGAGGATATTCCTGGCTGAGGACCAGCTATACCCGGGTGTGAATCGGAGCCTGCTGGCAGCATGGGAGCAGCCAGAAAGTCCTGTGAGCATTGAAAATGGCGCGAGAAATGTGACATGGGATGAGTATGCAACTGCGGGAGGCAAGAGCCGGATTTTGAAGACAAGTCTGCCTGGAAATCACGACTTGGGCTTTGGCAATGGAGTACAAGTGACTGTGAGGGACCGCTTCGAGAGTCACTTTGGAGAGTCCAACAGTATCTACGTGCTCGGGAACCACACTTTCGTGAGCCTGGACACTCCGTCATTGAGCGCATATGACGAGTTCGTTCCGGATGTTGGAGAAGTCAGTGAAGAGCGCCGGCAAAAGTACAGTCACTTATGGAAACCCGCGAACGAGTTTCTGGATGGCTTGGACAAGACAGGCCCTAAAGTTGTCGCAGAAGAGCTGGAGCGGATCTTCCCAGGCTCGCACCCTCCCAAGCTATGGTCACACGATATTGTCGAGCACAAGGACGATCGCGGCATTTTGGACAAGCTGAAGCCCGCTTCAGGACCTCACATGAAACGCGATGATGAAGAGTGGAAATTGGCCCCAACTGCGAAGAAGCCAACAGGGCCCCGGCTTCCAGTCGTTCTTCTGTCCCATGTCCCGCTCTACCGTAACCCCGACGTCGACTGCGGCAAGCTGCGAGAGAGGGGGAAAGCGATCCCGCTCTCTGCAGGCTATCAGTACCAAAATGTATTGACGCCAAGTCTGACGAGTATCGTTGGCAAGAAAGTCTCTGCAGCTGGCGACATTGTGCACATTTTCTCAGGAGACGACCACGATTACTGCGACGTTGATCATCGATTCAATGTGGGCCGGTACGACGATGCCACGAAAAAAGAACATGTTGTAATGCGAACTGTCCGCGAGGTGACAGTCAAAAGCTTCAGCTGGGCCATGGGTGTGCGCAAGCCAGCATTCTTGCTGGTGAGCTTGTGGAATCCTGTTGATGAAAAAGGCAAGCACGTCGGCGACTGTATGGGTGGCGTAGCCGAAGGATGCAAAACTGTCCAAACGGAACTGTGTCTGCTACCTGATCAGCTGAGCATCTTCATCAGCTATGCTCAGCTGCTGGGGTTGACTATCATAGTGCTCTTCGTGAGATCAGTCATTATTGGCATTCGGAACCTTCCCGAGCCCGAGGAGGACGACTCTGAGCTGGACATTAACACAGCTCGCGAGAAAATGGGGCTTCCCCGATACCTTCCTCGGGGAAAACCATACGGACGGAATGGTTCTATCAGTCCTCGAAAGGCTTCGCCGAAGCCCGACGAAAAGAAGGGCCGTGGTCGTGCAAGTTCAACGTCTACCGGTTCAGCCAACGGCAATAACATCGGCAATCAGCATCTCAGCGTGCAACGCTCCTACAATGCTCGTACAAGAACAGTGTCACCTGCGATGAAGTCTGGCTCCCTTACTCCAAATCATTCTGGCTATGTCTTGCCCGACCTCTACGAAGCCAACAGCAAGATGAACGGCAACGGCAGCTTGATTGACAAAGCTGGATACTATCCCAAAATGCGCTGGCGGGACCCGGACGAAGATGAAGAAAGCGACGAAGAGTCACACGTAGGGGGCCATTATGATGATTTGGACGACAGTCAAGCGAAAGGCGGGAAAGTCGGGCGAAGGAAGCCCAAATCAAAAGCACGCAGGGCGTTGGATGAATTTTTCAGAAGTCTCTTGTTAATTGCCGTTCCGGCTGCATTGTGGTATGGGTTTTTGATTAAGAATGGGTGATGTATATATTGCATGAACGGACTCCTTTCTTTCCTCAGGCCACATCGGACTGGCAATTGGTAAATTCATAGATGGTCTTGATGTGCTGAGCGCTCTTCAGGCGGCTTCTTCACCAACGAGGAGACACTGGGAAATCAGCGATGTGACACGCTTGTTGTCGACTGGCGGCATCCCTGTCCTATCAAGGTAGTGACTTCGCTTTTCTTTGGCATACGATCACTGGAAACTTCGCGACGAAGCTGTAGACCGGCCTGGCAACAAGGAGAGAATGCTGCGACAAGAAGCAGCAAACCACTTCCACAATGGCTCAGGCGCATCTAGGCGATCGCGCCTTTGACGACCAAAGCTAGGCTGATAGAGAAGGGTGCGAGACATTCCAGCACTGCGCAAACAAGCAATCTTCCAGCATCATGGCTCTTCAGGACTTAATTGACACTGCGGCTGTAGTTACTGAACATCAACACAGCAACTCACACTGCGCTTGCCATGGCGGATTACGATGCCGTGATTGGCGTTTCACTCGTTGCCATCCTCGTTGCGTCCCTCGTTCAATTTTACGTCGAAGCACAACATGCTGGACTCTGGCACAGGCTGGGGAAAAGCACACGGAAACGATTTGAACATGTGATCCACTTGTGGTCTTGGATGCGGAACCAGCGTGATCAGAACCATGGGCGCTTTCCCGGTGTCGAGTTGGCACCAAATAGAAGAGACCGCCGACAAGCAGTGGAGGATGGGACCCGCACCTTGAGAACTTGGCCATTACTGGGCGTTCATCTGAGCTTCATCTCCTGGTATTCAATCGCAATGTTCTTCGCATGGGCAGCTGTGAGCATACTCAGTGGAGTGCAGATGGGTCGATCCATATCAGAAAAAGACAACTTGAAGATCGACGCTGACATCGCAGGAACTGGAGTCCTGATCGGTCTCTTCACACCAGCCATGCTCACGGCGCTAAATCTTGTGCTCGGCCACTTCCATTCCCAAGATGGAGGGATTCTGGAGATCGGCGCAGCGCACTTTGCTAATCTCTCTTCACTTCTGATCAACACTCTGAAGGCTCTGTGGTGTGGTTCCATCGATCAATTGTCCGAGGAAGAAAGACTGATCGCTGCAATTTCCATCAATTTGTGCTGCACAAGCCTACGCATGAGCTTCTCGGACAAGACTGCTTTAGCGTCTCGGTCATTCATGGCTCTATCATCAGTGTCGCGCCTGTTCGGACTCATTTGCATGTTCATCCTTCTCGGCAGCATTGGACACGCATCAGCTGCGTTCTCGATCTCAACGTTGCATTGGTATGGGGCGATTCGGTCGCATGATGGCACTTACTGGAGCGTATGGGCTTTGCTCGCAACGAACTGCATGATCTGGATGTCTGACACACTTCTTGTTGCGTACAGGCACACACCTGGCTTTGACAAGGCGCACAAGGCGCAAGAGAGAAACACCTTCCATGCATTTCCGACATTGCGCACGACCGCTCTCTTAAAGCACGTCCAAAGCTTGCCGGTGCTCGTCATGGACATGTGGGCGATTATGGCATTGGCACAAGGCTCAGATCGTGGGAGCTTAGCAGACTGGGGTCAGAGCGCTGCGTTAGCCACAGCCCTGACAACAATAGCACACTGGGGCTATCGCGTGCTCTACGACATTCTCTGGAAGTCCTGGCACAACAATCGATGGCTGAACTTCAGCCGGCCGAGTCCTGGGGAGATTGATGCTCCATTGAATGACACAGGTTATTGGCCGCGCGAAGCAGCAACCAAGACCAAGCAGGAGCTGCAAGAAGAGCTCCTTGAAGCATGCCGAACCAACGACATTACATGGTTCGATGAGATCATGCAGCAGCTCGAAGACGAAGATATCAATTTCGTGGACCAAGAGACGAATAGGACTCCACTACTCATTGCCATCGAAAACGGGAGCCTGACTTTGATCAAGGAGCTGAAGGAGAATCATCAAGCCTCGTCAGCGTATCTTGATACTGAACCGGCCGTTGTGCGTGCTGTTGAGCTCGGAAGGCACAACATCTTGACTTACCTGATCTTCGACTCTACCTTCACTGAAGATCCATGTCAATTGTCTCGGAAAGGAACGTCTCCACTGCAGCTTGCATGCCAGAGTGGGCATTGGGCTGTGGTCGAGGTCCTACTCCGGCATCCAGCTGTGACGAAGGAACTCACGTTAGCGGGACGTCGTGGGCCTTTGTGGACAGCACTTACTCTCCCGCAGCGGGACGTTGCGATCAAGGTGTCTTCACTGCTCCTTTACAAGCTGGACCAATTGAATGACTCTAGTGTGTCCTTTGACGCCTTGGTAGACCTCATTCGCGATGGGAACTGTGCTGCGATCCAAAGTTACAGCGAGGTGGCAATATCGTCACAACCATTTCCTATGAATCGGAAGGACTCTAACGGATGGACGCTTTTACACTGGGCTGCATGGAAAGGCGACATGGGAATCTTGGAGGGGGTCTTGAGGCAGATGCCAGGCACCACTGACGCAACAATTGTCAATGAGCCCACGTGTGATGGCAGGACAGCGCTGCATGTTGCAGCACAGTATGCGCCCTCTGATCTTGCTTTGAGGCTGCTGGAATTGCCCACAATCGAGACGGGAATTCGAGACCATACTGGGCGGTCAGCACTACCGCTTGCTGCGCAGTTCGGAGCGCTACGCCTTGTGCAAGGACTGCGTAAATCCGGTGAGCGACCCTTGAACACCCTCATTTCCGAATATGTTCGCGACGGAGTCAAGTATTCATCGTACGGCCCAAAGCGGCCACACTTCGATCATGATATCGAAGGACGCACGCCACTGTCGTACGCCGTAGAGCAATTACATTTTGAGATCATGGACTTGCTCCTTGAAACTGGTGCTGATCCATTCATTGTGGACACCTCTCACAAGCTACCACTGGCGTATGCCTATGCAACGATCAGGACCAGGCATCCTTCTTCGCAATCGTGCCATCGGCATCTGCCCAGTGAGACATCATGGCCGGAGCCATCTGGCCGAACCACGACCGAAAATATTGTGGACGCTGAGTGGCGTAGCCTTGAGAGGTTCGTGAAACGGTGGATGCCTTCGAAGGAACGCTTCGATATCGACCAGTGGAAGACGGCATTGAAAGAGATAGCCGACCACGGCATGGTTCTCACCGGAGCCAAAACCAGTTTCATCGAATGGCTATGTTGCAATGGTATTCTTGATCCGACTACCAAAACAATGGCCGGCGTCGATGCAAAGCGCACTGCAAGTTGCTTTCTAGATTGTCTGTTATACTACGTGGCTGAGCATCGACTGCGAGGCTTGGCGGTTCCGCTCAATCACTTCAAGTGGAGCACTCACGGCGCCGACATGAGCTATCCTTTAGATGAGTTTGGAGGTCCTTGTGTGGCCATCTACGCTGCGAAGGCTATTGAGCTCGGGCACTTGCACCATGCCAAGTTCCTGGTGGGAGATGTTGGTATCGACATCAATACGCATGAAGGCTTGTTGCTCCATGCAGCCGTTCAAGGACAGCGCGTCGATGGCGTTGCCTGGGTCTTGAATTAGGAAGAGAAATGACCGCATTGGCCTCCAACGCAAGAAAACACCCAAGCAAAGCCAAAACGAAAATCTCCGAGTTGCTACTTGACAGAGGAGCTCGAGTAAGGCCCGACCACGGCCAGCTTCCTTTGTTCCGAGCCGCCCGGGTACATGATGCAGAGGAAGTGGCTAGGCTGTTGGAGCATGATAGCAGACCGGATCCATGCAATGATCGACATTCATTGAACTCTGTATTGGGTTTCACACTCGAAAAGATGAATGAGTCGAACTACAAAGCTTGTCAAGACACAATGAAGCTTCTCATGGAGCGTGGTGCTCGTTTCTCCAGAGAGGACCGCATATCACTGCCGCTCGACGCCGTTCAGTCGCTCCTCTTTGGGGCTGAGAAGCCATTTCTCAAAACTCTGATCAAATTTCACGCTCACATAAGAAGCGTGGATCCGGACTCATACGTGCTCAAAAGATTCGCCGAACATGGCGTACATCTGCTGCCGACTACGCAAGACATCAACTGGGACCCTGACTTCGAGGTGAGCTGGCAAGCTCCAGACGGAATGCCTGATGCAATACTCGCGCACGCAGTGGGGTCCTTGTGGCGATGGGTCCTTGAACAGAGTGGTGAGACCAAGGAGGAACACAAGCAGGCTTTCAGACAACAACTCGCATATCTCGATGCTACGACTGGGCATCAGCTCGTTGCCGCTGCTACCCCTTTACCGTTTTCTGGAGACGATGGTCTCGTTGTAGGATTAGATGATGACGTTCTCTGCGAATCAGCACTCGAGGCAGGGGCAGAAGTTGCAACATGGCCTCCAGATCCAGTCGAAAACATGCGATCGGCGCCGTCATAAGAAGCTCAAGGGCGTCAAGGGCGTCTCTGCACGGAGGAGGAAGGTAACTCAGAGCCATGATAAGGGTAGCGCCGGACCCATCGAAGCGGAATGTCAGATTTGGTAGCTACAGCTGTAGATCCGCAGGAAGGTTATGGGGACTGACGGTGTCTGCCGTAGGAGAGGCACCAGCTTCGCGAGAACATCCGGTTCAAATACAGCACATCTCAATGCCAAAGCATGTTCCATGCCAAGATATCCACTTCCAGATCATCACCTCCTCCTCCCAATAACCCCCTTCACAACACTACTCCCCTTCGTCCCCGGTTTCTTCACCGCACTCTTCCCAACAACTCCATTCCCACTTCCCACACCATTCTTCTTCCCCGCCGCAACACTCCTCTCCCTCTCCTCCTCCTCCTCCTTCGCCCTCCTCCGATCAACCTCAATTTGCAACTCCAACTCCGCCTTCTTACTATATTCAATTTCCCTCCTTCCCTTCCCACTACTATACCCCTTCTCCTTCACCGAATAAAACACTCCACCCAAGTCCGCCAACCAATGCGCATCGACCGCCGTCGCGACAGACATGTACTCCTTGCTCGTAAGAATAAGTTCATGGTACACGACATAGTCTGGCGGGTCACCAGAATTATACAACGCGGAGGTGGGATGTAAATTCATGGTGACGCTCGTTCGGAGATTGACGTATTCGCCCAGACCTTTGCGTTTGGCGGCTTGGTGGTAGTATCCAGAGCAAATACACTCTCTCACGACATCGAGATCGTAACCGCAAGTTGAGATGTCCATTTTGGAGGATTTCATGATATCGGTGATTTGCTGTTTGATTTCTTCGGCTCGACGTAGGGCTTTTGGGTGGAGGAAGTGTTTGACACACCAGCCGTCTTTGCGGCCGTTGAAGACCCACTGTTGGTAGACGGTGAGGAGGGTGAGGTGGTCGGAGTCGTGGACGAAGAATTTTTCTCGCGCGGCGTCGGCTTCTTCGAGGCGTTCTTTGGGGCGGTAGAAGACGGATGGGACGGAGAGCATCGAGACGATGGTGATCATTTCTTCGGCGCAGTTGTATGTGGTTGATGAGGTGATGACGAGTTTGGCAAGGGATGGGTCCATGGGGAAGGATGTCATGAGGCGACCGAGTTCGGTGAGCTCGCCCAGGTTTGTTAGTGCGCCTAGTGCCCAAAGATCGAAAAGAGAAGTCGTTATGGTGTCTTGAGGAGGCGGGTCCATGAAGTCGAAGTCTAGCAAATCTTTGACCCCAAGTGATTTGAGGAGTAGAACAGTGTTGGCCAGATTCGTTCGCTGGATCTCAGGTATCGTTGCCACGTACAGTTCTTCCTTGAAGGCACGCTCAGTATAGAGGTGGAATGCTCGTCCGGGTCCAGTTCTTCCAGCGCGACCGGCACGCTGCGAAGCATTTGCCTGACTGACAGGTGTGATCTGCAGAGTGTCCATGCCCATACGAGGGTTGTAGACCTTAAGCTTGCTGAAGCCACAATCCACGACATACATGATTCCATCCACTGTAAGTGAAGTTTCTGCGATGTTTGTGGCAACGATGACCTTGCGCACTCCTGGCGGAGCTCTGTCGAAGATCTTGGCTTGCAAGTCCGCAGGCATCTGCGAATAGATGGGCAGAATGCTCAATTTGGGAGGGTCGTTCAGCTGAGCAAGACGTTCTGCGACCAGCTCGCATGTAACTTCAATATCCTCCTGACCCGTCATGAAAACGAGAATGTCTCCCTGGCCTTGACTGACGTGGATGGCGAGAACCTGTCGCACGGCACTGTCGACATAGTCTTCGCAAGGCGACCGTGAGTACTGGATGTCGACTGGGAATGTTCGTCCGGGAATGAAGAATTCCGGTGCACCACCGTAAAATCGCGAGAAGCGTTCGGCGTTCATGGTGGCAGAAGTGACGATCAGCTTCAAATCTCGCCGTCGCGCGAGTACTTTCTTGATCAGCCCCATGAGCACATCCGTATTTAGGGCACGTTCGTGAGCTTCGTCCATGATGATACAGCTATACTGATCGAGATCAGGATTCGTGAGCGATTCTCTCAGCAAAACACCATCAGTCATGTACTTGATCATCGTATCTTTACTCGTGCAATCTTCGAATCGAATGGCGTAACCCACAGTGCCTCCCAGCGGCACCTCCATCTCCTCACTGACACGCTTTGCCACTGACATGGCAGCCACACGTCTGGGCTGGGTGCATCCAATCATGCCGCTCTTGGCATAGCCATCCTCGTACAGGAATTGGGTCAACTGCGTCGTCTTTCCCGATCCCGTCTGTCCGACCACAATGATGACCTGGTTGTCTCGAATGACGCGTAGTAGATCTTCTCGTACGGCAAACGCGGGCAGGTACTCTCTCTGCTCACGCAACGATTTTGTCCTTGAGAAATCCGACTGACCAGCGTCCTGCTTCTTCATGTGCTCTGCAAACTTGCTGCCTTTACTCTTGCCGTCTTCCTCACCCTCGCCGAGAGCAGGAGCGGCCGAATCGGTGTCTTCTTCCTTCACTCCCGTGACATTGCCAAGTGTCGTCCCGGCGGCACTCGTTGCTTCCTGCGCCTGCTTTTGCCGTTCTTTCTGCTGCCTCCTCTCCCTCACAACTTTGCTGCCCTTCTTCGCAAAGACAGCCATATCACTTTGCGGATCCTTTACAGCACTGATCGGCTCCAGCTGCTTGGTGAAGACAGTCTTTCCGTCCAGGAAGGGTGGCTTCAGATCGTGCACCAACAAGTGCACTCTCGTTTCCTCGTTTTCATCATCCAAACTGTTGAAATTGTCCCGCGTTTGGGCGACACTCGAGGCCAGCATGCGATTCGCTTCCCACGCATCATTGTCCTTTTGTCTCTGCAAGAACTTGGGGTTCACGCGACTTCGCACAGCCATTTTCTTCTCCAACAGCTCCCGCTCCCGCTCCTGGTCTGCCCATGTTGTGTCCTCGTTCCCGCCGAAGGGATTGTGGGTTTCGTCACCCAGCACAGCGCCATCCTCGCCGTAATTGTACCAATCGCGATCTAAGGCGGCCGCATCATCGTCGTTGACGCCTGCTTCGGGCCCATCAAACTCGGCTTGGTGGGGCTGCGAGGGCGTGCCATCACGATAGTTGCGCGGTGTTGCAGAGCCTCGATCTCGGGACTGCGAAGAGGGTCGATGCGAATCTTTGAGCTTGTCGTGCGGGCGGCGGAAATGCTGGGGTTGTGCGGCGAAGTGCTCGTTGTCGTCGTTGTGGTCGGTACGCTGTCGCTTGGCTCTGTGTTCATCGCCAGCCATGATGATGCGCTCTTTGCCGTGGCCTTTTTGCAGCGAAGATACTCACATGCGCTCAATCGCCAGCCTTCGCGCACGACACTTTTTTCCGCCGAATGCTAGTTAGCGCCGGTCCCTGCAGCTGGTACACACTGGAAGAAAGAAAGAGCAGTGGAGGTGGTGGTGGTGGTGCAGGGGTGGGACACAATTCTCGGCGCGACCAGCTGCTCTTCCCGCCACTCCACCACCGCGTCGTCTATACCGTCTCAATCACTGCCACAACATCGGCTTCATCTTCCCAGCGATATCGATTCCAAATCTCGAGACATGCAGCGCCATCTTCACAGCTTTCCCGGGCCGCAACGTGGCGCTGCACTTCCCCGCCCAGATCTCGGCCTTCATCTCGCCGGTGCGACGGTGCTACGCCTATCTGCCGCCCTTATCGACTTCTCCTGCTCCCTAACTATGGCTTCCACCTTCGACGCGGCGCATTAGTGCTGCGTCGCACATGCCATCTTGGCCGTCCATCGCCTCTCACCATCCGCCCGGAGCACGCTGCCCAGACGGTAAGGATCAGCATCGAGACCTGAAGCTCGCGTCGACATTGCCATCTAAGGAAGCAGGAGGCTGTCCTGCGACCTCACTTTCCCTTCGTTTTCCATTGATCCCCTGTCTGCTGTGCTATTGTTCTCGCCTCTTGGGCGTGAACTACTAATCTGATCATGGCATTGAAGTCTGAGAAGCAGGTCAATGTCTCGCCAGACGATTCGACCAACAACAGCCTTCACGCCGACGACTTGATCAATACTTCGGGCCACGTGCAAGAACTTGACCGCACGTGGAATTTTTGGTCCATTGCTGGTGAAGCTATCATCTCCGACAACGCCTGGGGCGCTGGATCAGGCTCCTTGGTCCTGGCGTGAGTATACCTGTTCCTTCCGAGTCCTGCTATGCTAAGTGACATAGTCTGTATAATGGTGGAGGACCGGGAGTGCTCTACGGGCTGATGGCGGCGACCTTCTTCTACGCCTTCATTTGCGCCGGGCTGTCGGAATTATCCAGTGCCATGCCGACGTCTGCCAACGTGTACCACTGGGCTTCTGTCACACCAGGACCCAAGTACGGCAGAATTTGTTCGTGGTTTGCCGGCTGGTGGAATTGTGTCGCTTGGATTTTCGGCTGCTCCTCCACCTCGCTCGCTGCTGCCAACGCTGTCATCGCCATGTACAATCTCTATCACCCTGAGTATGTCCTACAGCGATGGCATGTCTTCATCGCATTCTTGTTCATCATTTGGACCGACAATGCCATCATCATGTTCGGCCAAAAGTATCTCGCGAGATGCGCTACAGCGAGCGGTATCATTTGCGTCTTGTTCTTCCTGGTGTCCCTGTTGACAGTAGCCATTATGCCAAGTAGGACTGGGGCGGGATACGCAACGAACGCATTCGTCTGGACCGAGTTCCAAAATTTGACGGGATGGAGCAGCAATGGCCTTGTTTTCCTCATGGGCGTCCTCAATGGAGCGTACGCTGTCGGCACCCCGGATGCAGTCTGTCATTTGTGCGAGGAGTGTCCCCAGCCAAAGAAGAACATCCCAAGGGGCGTCTTCACCCAGCTCACCACAGCTTTCGTCATGGCATTTGCATTTTACACATCACTCGTAAGTTTTCGTGTCTTCTGCCTGGTATAATGCAACTTCTCACAAACTGAATCAGCTCTACGCCACCACCTCGCTCGACGATGTCTTTGGATCGACCATTGTATCACTACCGCTCGCCGAGATCTATCGTCAAGCAACGCGAAGCACGGCAGGAACCATGGCTCTTCTTTTCATCTTCTTCATCAACATCCTCCTCACTGTTCCGGGTGCCTGGATGGTCGCTGGCCGCATGCTGTGGACTCTCGGTCGAGACAACGCTTCACCCTTTCCCAGCTTCGTTGGCAAAGTGTCCCCTCGATATCGAAATCCGTTCAACGCCCAACTCCTCGTCACCATCGGCGGCACCATTCTTGGAGCAATCCACGTCGCCTCATCGACCGCCTTCAACGCCTTTGTGGCTTCTTTCACCATTTTCACCACCATGTCGTATCTCGCCGCCATCCTCCCTCATCTTCTCACTGGTCGCAAACATGTCAAGCCTGGACCATTCTGGATTCCTGGCATCTGGGCATATATCATCATGGGCGTCGCATGCGCTTATATCCTGGTCTTCAACATTATCTACATGTTCCCGTACACATATCCCGTAGCAAGTCTGGATCTCATGAACTGGACGAGCGTCATGTTCGCGGGCATCACGTTCTTGCTGACTGTAGGATACTTTTGGAAGAGTCGAACAGGATATGTCGGGCCAAGGGTGGTCATGGATGCAAGTGATGATATCATGAAAGGTGTGATCGGACTAGACCAGCAGATTCAGAGGGACCTTGCGAGGCACTCTTAAAGTGATCATCATGATGAGATAGAGACCATGGCAATGTCCAACGATTTTCACTTCCATCCCCTCTCTCCACTACGCGAGGGCTCGGGCTTCAAATTCGACGCTGCGGTCATGCAAATGGCATTCAGATTGAGCTGCTGAAGCAGCGTGAAACTGAATGCCGGCAGCAATCGTCGGAAAATCTTGACAAAGAAGGAGGCAAATCTGGGTGTAAAATGGACATGTGGACGCCGTGTTCGGGCTTCACATCCTCGCCTTCACATTATGAGGAGATGATCTTCAACTGAAGACCCAATAATTGCCAGGCGGAAGAACTGCACCTGTGAGAAGCCTTCACGATGCGCATACTGCTCTCTTACCAAATCCGGCGGTGACAATGGCACATTTGCGGGGCATTCCTTTATTGTTGTCATACAACAATGAAACAGCTCAACAACAAGATGGCAAGTTTGTCGGACACCGCCTGCGCACACGAACAACACCTTCTGCGACAGCATCGAGCTCGTTAGCAACAGTTGCAGAAAATGAACATCTTTCGCGTGGCGAGACAAGCAGCTGCTGCCGAATGGCATCGAGCTTTCGGCCGCGCAGCAAGACCATTGACGACCGCACACGTTCCAGCTCGACTACAGCGCCAAGCGGTCTCAACAAGCAGTCGCGCAAGCAGGTCGCAAAATTCTGGAAAGTCATCACCGAAACACCTCACACCCATTTCACGCATCTCCAAGTCGACCAGATTCACCCGCCCGCGGCCGTGTCAAAGCATCACAGGTTACATTACTCGCCTGCACCAACTCATTTACTGCTTCGACGAATTTCAAACCGCTGTCGAGGTCCGCGATGCTTTACAAGCTCGCTTGGAGGAGCTGGTCCCATCGGAAGCAGATAAGATTGAACGAGTCTCCAAAACTTCGTTTGCTGATCCAGACGGGAGGATTGGTGCAGCAATTTCACGCATGGAAAGAGTTGCGGGAGAGATACTGGTATCGCTAGAACCTGGAACTGAGGATGGAGGTGTGCCGACTTTGCCTGTGAAGTTAGTGAGGCAAGTGAGAGGATTTGGAGATGCTGTAAAGAGGAACGCGCTGGAGAAGGTGAGTACAGTCCGCCGTGAACAATTGCGATCTCACGTTGTCGCATCAGTCATTGCATTAGCGGTTTGACACGACTTTCTGATCATCTCATCAGGTCATTACATCCCTTCAACAAGCCAAGCGCGATCGACTACTTCATGACACTGACCCGGTCCGACACCGATACAAGCCTAGCGAAGCCCATGTTGCCGATCTCGAGCGGCAGAGAGCTGCACTGGAGAACGGGCAAGATATGCCTCATATACGAAGTGGTGAGATGTCAGCTGAATTGAAGGCCCTTTGCGAAAGTGGTGCGGAAGAGGCATTGAAAAGTGAAGTGATCCTGAGGCAGCTACGAGCTGTGCACGATCCGCCTGTTGTTGCGACTAATGAGAAGAACTATGTTGAGTGGAAAGAGCAGGGGCTGGAGCCAGCTGTGGTTGAGGGGAGTGAAGAGTTAAAGAAGAGGTGGACCGATGTTCAAACGGAGTTGGCAAACCGACAAGCGATTCGAATCGGTCTACTGGATAGATCCTACTCGATAGAAGAGCGCAGGAAAGTTCGGCAAGGTACAGGAAATCGGGGCATCACTGATATCGACTATTGGGATCAGAAGTGGGTGAAAGTAAGAGGCACCGCCTTCGAAAACTTGCAAAGTTAGTCGGATTGCGTGATCAAAGAACTCCTCAACCGTTGCTAACTCAAGATTACAGAAGCCGAAGAAGGATTCAAGGCCATACAGGATGAAGCTATGAGAGCTGGACTTGGGCCAGCAACGCTGGAAAACTTTGGTGAGGTAGACAGTCAGATTTTGATCTTCGATGAGCATGCAGAAGACGATGAGTCGGCGTCGGTACGTTCGTCTGCTTTCTCTGACCGGCTTGCGAAGCGTGACGCCTGGCAATGCTGGGTCATGCAAATACTGCCTACCATGGCCGAAAGCCGAATGACATCTGAGCAAGACAGCGACGAGATTTCTCCAAATTGGGATACGTCCTCGATAGACTTTGGCAATGGAAACAGTCTCACAGGCCAAGATGTGCGCGACGGCGCCTTTCCAACTGCAGCCAGAAAGGCGCATGTAAGTAAACGTTCATTCGAAGACTTTTGCACGACACGTACTAAGGAAAGACAGATCAAGAAATGGAAAGCACATTGTGAGGCACTTAGAAGCGACGCAGCTGCGGTTCGTGACCAGCGGAGATTCTTGGTATTGTAATCCTATCATTCAGGACCTCACGATGGAGTCTATCCTGGACAGGCTGCCGGTCTATCATCCAGGACCTCACGATGGAGTCTATCCTGGACAGGCTGCGGGTCTATCATCGCGTTTTATGAGTCCACAGCACCCATCCGCCACCTGGAGCTATTTCTACACACTCGAGTGCGCAACAGCATCGCTTACTCATCAATTCCCTCGTACTTCTCTCCGTTCGGACGCCCCTACTCCAGTATAGTCTGATCGAGGAAGTCGCTGCGCAGATTCTTGAAGCTCGAGGCCATCTTGGTGCCCTCAAGCTTAGCTGTCAAGCCAGTGTGGTCAGACTTAGAGCTCGCTGGTCCGCCATTGCCGCTGATCTTGCCACTCGCCTGGAGCTGGAAGCCCATCGCGGCAACTTCGTCTTCAGTCAGCGCCATCGTGTGGTGGTGTCCGCTGGAAATCTCTGGTACGTAGGTCGGATGAGGCATCAGCTGGTCTGAAGTGGCCGCGGCACCCTTCTTGTCGCTCACTCCGGCCTTGCCCTTGTCCAGCACCATGATACCTTCCTCTGGCACCAATTCTTCCACGTTCGGATAGACACATCGAGGTGTTGGGTGCATTTCCAGGTGCGGATCGCCGTCCACGTCTACAAAGAACAAGACCTTGGCTTTCTTGTCTTCCTCCGCTTGGGCAGCCAGGAAAGTCTGGACGGGTTCGCAAAGCTTCTCCCAGCCCAACTTCTTCTCACTGACTTGCTTGTCCGATAGAGCCCACTCAATATCCCAAGCCCGCTGCAGAGCTCCCAGAATCGCAGCCTTTTTCGCTTCGAAGAACTGATGGAAATACCGATCGAACCCGGACACTTGGTTCTGCTGCCCGTGACGGTTCGTCATCTCCCGATCAACGGCAACTTGACTCGAAGCTTCGTTGGCAGCCTCGCGTGTGAACTGGTCGTACTGGACGCTAGAGAGCTCCGCCGGACGGGGAGAAAACGGCGGCAGTCTCTCGCGGTAGTGTTTGAGGAAGCACTCGGTGCACTCCGTAAAGAGCTCCCAGCGAACGATGCGCCCGAGCTCGTCTTCGAGGCAGGCAGAGACGTGGACTCTGATGCTCATATCGCAGGTGCAGCATCCAATCTCCCGAGAAGTCGTTCTCTCTTCGACTTCGAGTCCGGCGACCAGTGCACCATTGGCGAGCAGAGCGCGGGCTTTGTAAACATCATCACCGCGGCGCCATTGTTGTTAGTGGTATGTATATGCAAAAGGCGAGTTGAGTACATGCAAGTCCGGATTGAGCACGACCCGATCGAAATACTCGACTGGATATTTTGATTGCTTGGAGGCGCCGACAGTGGCGAGCTGTGGCGGAGCCATCGTTGATGGTTCTGGTGTGCCCGAGATACGCGGATGCAAGTGGCGGCGACGAGAAGCAGTTGGATGCTTCTTGCATGTTCAAGACTCAGCTTCGTCCGATCTGTGCTATCGACGCAATGGCGGGCAGTGTTTGCCAAGGCTGTCGCCGGTCCCTCCCGGCACCCGAATCCGAAGTGAAGTGAATGTGCACAGCTTTGGCCATGCAGGGATCAAGACTCTCGTGGCAGTACACTACAGTGCAGGCCATGATGCCTAGTACTCTCAGTCTGACAATCGCATTTTAATCGAGTTTCCGACCTGTTCTTCGATTTGACCTCTTCTCACAATGAGGCTCAATTATTTTGCTCCTTGATGGTTGCATCGACATGAGAGACATCTCTTTACAACACTGAAATGGGACAGACTGTCTCAACTTCAATGCACCATCATTTCACCTCCCTTCGCGGATCCTGTGCCCCTGTGTCCATATACAAAGACGAGAAAGTGCTAGTATGAAACGACAAAAGGTGCGTGAGACTTATTCGTAGTTGTGGGAATAAAGGGGCCAACATACGTAGGACTAACGTGTCTGTCTGCAACAACATCGTTCTTGTCCTTATCGTCACGCAAAGCTAGCTCTGATGGGCCAGAACAATTGCCAAGTTCCAGAGCTCGCAAGTCCAAGTTGCTGCAAATTGCAAAGGTAGAAAGTGTTACAAAATGACGGATCGCAAGTTCAAAAGGTGTAGCATTCCATGCAAACTCCTGACGCGTGAGAGAAGCAATGCTGGAAGTTGACAGCACCGCACAATGCAAGTACATCTCATTCTCATACGCCCATGAATGCGTAACACCGAATGTTCCGTTCCCATACGTGGGTATCTCTTGATTGTATCCAAATTTCCACATGCAAAAGGTGACATCCCACAACCGAGCCACCTGGCAACAATGCGAACCCGCGTGATGCTGATCATGCACAAGCTAAAACGTCATCTTGACCTCCCTCTCCTTCCCAAAATCTGGGTCATCCGCGTCCGCGCCGCCGCCCCATGGATTATAGTCTGGACTTGTCACCATCTCCTCTTCAGCAAAGTTTCGACTCGAAGGGAACGGGCTGGTCACGCTCCTCATATTCTGTCTTTCTAGCGGAGGTCCGAATTTAGCTCTCGTCTGCCCCCAAGCAGTTTCGGGTCGTTGTGGTTCGGGTGTCGCATGCCGCGAGATACCAGAAGCAGGAGGCATTACAACAGGCACGGACGCTGACGCATTGTGTGAAGCGCTTCTTGAGAGATCGGATGTGTGGGATCGATCGGGTGATCCGAAAGTCATGGAAACGCCGTGCTCGTAATTGTCGTCTTTATGTGTGCCGTTGGGGAACACCTCTCTTGTTTTGACTGTTGTCGTCCCATCGTGGGATTGCGACTGCGTAGGTGCCAATGATGGTCTCGTCGCGCTACTAGGTGTATTTCCACCGCTCGAGTTGTCATGCTTGCTTAAATCGACCTTGAGAGCAGGCAGTGTTGACTGCAGCTCTCGTACGCTGAGATGCTTCTTGATCTCTTCAATATCACCCGGCTGCTGTACAGCTAACGCGAGTGCCTCGCGGCGGATGGCTTCCACATCGAACATAACATTGGTGTTCTCTTCGGCCAGCTTCTGGGCCTCCTTTTCATCACCCTCCAGAACTTTCATGTTTCGTTCATCATAAGTTTCCCATGCCTTCTTCTGAACTTTCTTCCTTACAAAGAAAGATTTGAAACCCTTCTTCTCAGGCTGTTCCTCGAGCTGTCTTCGTGCTTCCTCAATCTCGTTAATCAGTTCTCGCTGTCTTTTCTCATGGTTGTCGGGGTCCGGATCCTCGATTTCCGAATACTCAAGCGAGTCTACCATCCAACCAACCTTGTCCAGCAAAGTAGGCATCATCGCACGGTAAGCCATGTGCCCTGGCACGTCTTCCGTGACGTCGATGTTCTCAATTCCAGTAATATCTACCTTGCCAAGTCCGGCGATTCGCATCACGCCGCCACCAGTGGCGCGGAAAAGGTATCCAAGAATCCAATCGTTAGTGGCATATCCATTGACGAATCGGCCTGGCACGACCGATTTCGCTTTGACCCAATCTTCTTTCTTGACCACGACCGGCGCGCCGAACATGTAGACGTTTTGTACTAGACCAATCCCGCCGCGACGTGCAAGTTCTTTGAGACAGGCATACACGACACGAGCGCCGAGTGAGAAGCCAACAAGAGTGATTGGTCGGACGCCAAGATTGCGTTCGATGATGGAGTCCGCCATAATCAGGCCTGCTGAATCTGCACGGGCACAGGATACGCTCCATGGGTTGTCAATGAGATAGGAAATCTTGGCCAGGATCAGAGGAGTAGACAGTCCTGCCATTAGCGTGGTCAGAAATGTGGCTCCGAGAATCTGCTGAATAGTCTGCGTCAATGCCTCGGTGCCCAGAATTTGCATGGTTGCACCGGTACTTTGCAGCATTTCCGGCTCCCAGTTGACTGAGTAAATATCTCCCATGATAGGGTCGACAGTGGAGAAAGGCAGTCGGACATCGTCGACAGAACCAGTCATCCAGCCTGCGACTGTGACAATGAGGTTGACACGCTTGTTGTTGTATAATGGCTTGTATTCGAACGTCTTGACCGCCCCCGTACGTCTGCCACTTGTTCCGAACCCGATCTTGCCACCGATGAGCGTACCAGTGGTGCCAATCAGTGCCGCTGCGCCTGTCCCGCCGAGGAAGGTACCAGTCCCGGTGACGCCGACCGCGGTGAAGCCAGCAGCGAGACCGGCACCAATGACTGGGGCCAGGAGACCGGCGCTGAGACCAATGACCAGTCCACCGCCAACGGTACACAAACCCATGACCACCATACGCTTCTTCTTCGCTGCCTTGGCACGCGCCTCGATGTGGTCATCTTCGTTCCAATTCTCCTTTTCTGCTTCTTCCTGCATCTCCAATGCGTCCGTGACCCGCTTCTCGAAACGACAAATCTCTTGCCATGGAACAGAAAGTGCGACCCCGACTCGTTCAAGCAGGACTCTGGCGCGTGCATCGTATGTGCTGTCCGAGATGAGAAGCAGGAAGAGGTCGCAGAGTACCGTCCATCGAATGTCGATGTCTAAATTCTTCGCATCTTCATAGTCGTCGGGGTTTTCGATTGTTAGCTGGTCCGCAGTGTGCTCTTCATATGCCGGAGGTGGGGTCTCTGGATCCTGAGGCAGCGGCGTGCCCGGTTTCGAGGACGGGCGCGAGGTGTGAGCAGTCGATGCTGGCCTTCCCCCAATACTGGATGGTCTGGGTGAAGCCATTGACGGGCGAGCAGAAGTGACCTCGGAGTTGGAGCCGGAAGCTGCCGTAGGATTCTTCACTCTTGCATTCGCCATCAATGCAGGTGTGAGGTCGCTCGGAAGAACTCCATGTTCCGACAACTGCTCCACCATGATTTGCTCCCTCGCGTCGATCTCCATATGGGCGTACAACTTGATCATGACCTTCTGCGTCCACATCTTCAATGCCTCGGCTGCAAGCTCCACCAACTTCTTCGTGTTCTTCATTCGTTCCAGCTGATCGAAATCCTTTTGCATCTGAGCCAGAGACAGTCGGACAACTCCAACGTAGGCCACTCGCTGTCCCTCTGTCAACAGCTCCTTTGTAGCTTGCAGCTGCCCCATGGCGTCCATTGCCTGGCCTTCGTCTTCTTCCAGCAGAGCATTGCTGCGGCCGTACTCTTTGAATAGATACGCAGTGTTGTCATCCATAGAAGTTGCACTCTGAGCATCTTCATCCATTTGTACGCGAGTGTATCCTTTACCGGCGCCACCAAGCGTGCTATAGGCGACCGTCTCATCTTCCACCTCATCGACGCCCTTGGCAAGCACTTTGCCCCAGTCATCATAGATGCGGTGAGTGGCGATGGCGGGCATGTCTTGCCATTCGTCTTCCTTCTCCTCCTTGACCTCATCGACGTCGTCTCTAGCGACGACTTGCTGGTGCGAGAACTCGCCAATCGTGCTGACGGAGGCCTTGGCGGCATGTTTCCTCACCGCAGTGGGGCTGCCTGGAGTCCGAAAACTCACAGGCGAAGTGGACGTGGTTTGAGCAGAGGACTGGGTGTCCGTGTGCTCCGGACGCTTGCCATCGACACTGGTGCGTGGTGTCACGGGACTCTCTTTCTGCTCTTTCTCACTCTTGCTCGCCTCTTTCGCAGCATCGTTCGATTCTGACTTGGCGGCTCCCGACTCGGCTCTCTTCCTATTCAGCTCCCCCTCCGTCTCCTCGACGACCTTTTGTTTGATCTGCTCGGGACTATCCAGCTCGTTGAGCGAGTAATTTCTCCTCCGCGGTGGCCTGATGGGAAGTCCAAACTCGTCGGCGGCCGGGGGTTCTGCCTTGGGCTCATCAGGCTTCTCGCTGCCCTTGGTGTGCACGCGCTTCAATTCCGTCACCTGGTCATCCTCCTCTGCTGCTGTTGCTGCTGCCGTATCCGCTACAGGCTTTCGGGGTTGATCGGCGGGGGATTCATTGTCAGGCATGCTGACGCCGGCATGCTCTGTCTATGCCATACGATGGCGTATTGCTGTGGGTGATATGTACTGTTGCGTAAGAGGCTGGTGAGCGAGGGAGTAATCCTAAATGTCGCGACTCGTATGTCGCCGAGCGTTGACACGAGGCCAAACAAAGGCAATGTCCGTCTATTGGGATGATGCGGTGTTGCGCCTTCTCCACATGCACATCTCACGGACCGACAAGGGCCTCGTAGACCCCTGCGGCCATTTGACGGAGCTCACGCTAAAGCTAACCGAAATAAGCTTAAATTTGACGCAGCAGCCAACGCGCATCTCAAACCTTTTTGACGCGGCGGCCGTCGCAACTCTGCACCACCTTCATCACCATTCATACGGACACTACTGCTGCCACCAAGATGAAGGGAAAACGCAGCAAAACCTACCGGAAATTGATGCAAAAGTACCAGCTCACCTTCGACTTCCGCGAACCCTACCAAGTCCTGCTCGACGCCGATCTCATCAAAGATGCTGCGCGATTCAAAATGTCACTGGGCAAGATGCTCGAATCCACCCTGCACGGAGAGATCAAACCCATGATCACCCAGTGCTGTATCCGACATCTCTACACTTCACCCGACGATCCACTGAAAGCATCGTGCATCGAAGTCGCAAAGCAGGCCGAGAGGCGAAGATGTGGGCACCACGAACTGCCTGAGCCACTAAGCGCCTTAGAATGCATTAACAGTGTGGTGGATCCGAAGGGAAGTGGCTTCAACAAGCACCGCTACGTGGTGGCCAGTCAGGACGACCAGTTGCGGAGAAAGATGAGGACCATCGTAGGAGTGCCGCTGGTGTACATCAAGAGAAGCGTGATGATCCTCGAGCCGATGGCCGATGTGAGCGAGGGCGTGAGGGAGAAGGAAGAGAAGGCGAAAGTAAAGGCTGGCTTGAGTGGGAGAAGAAGTGCAGGGAATCCCACTCCCGGCGAGAAGAGGAAGAGGGAGGAAGACGACGAGGACAGTGAGGCAGACGGAGCGCGAGGGACAGAGGCTGCACAGAAGAAAAAGCAAAAGCGAAAGGGACCGAAAGGCCCAAACCCACTGTCTGTCAAGAAATCAAAGAAAGATGCACAGCCAAACCTATCCCAAAAGCAGGACAGCGATGAGAAAACAATATTACAGAAGATGGTGAAAACCGATCCTCAGGCAGCGGAGAAAGTGGGCATGCACATCGCAGCAGACGGGAACTCAGAAGCTCCCAAAAAGCGCAAACGCAAGAGAAAGCCCAAGGATGCTGTAGATCATGGCGGCGTAGCATTAGGAACGATGGACGCCGGCAATGATAGTGACTGAAGAAGTCGTACGAAGTGCTCTCATGCACCTAACTCCCTGGCGGGCCACGTCGCTCACACGAGCATACCGAGAACAGCCACACGCTTCATTCGGTATCCACTCCGACAAGAGATAGCCCGATTCGTCTTCGGCAGTCGAAGTGAGAATTTCCCGCGCGGATGCCAGATGTTCCAGGGATGCTGGCCAACTGGTAGCGCGAGTGAAGTGCAATCGCGGCCATTGCCCAAGCCATCAGTAAACGTCGCACAGAAGCTATAATATGCATGCGGTCGAAGCTGCAAAGTACTTGCAGCCATCGAACTGTTGTGCACTCTTGCGGCAGGCCAGCCTCACCCGAGACCGATGAATCCCATTCGAAGCTCGAACAAGAGCTCAGTCAACAAATTTATGCTGCAGCACACTTGTGACAGCATTGCAGACCTACCTCCTAGCTATGTATAGTGTATGGCCAAGGCGACTCGGATGCCAGACCCGGTCTTAAGCTGGTGCCACCACGACGCCCCGAGAAAGTGGTGGACGTTGATCATTGCCTATTGACGACAATGCGCGGGGGGTTTCGTCGATGTTCCTTCGGTCCAACGTGCACTTTTACCGCTCCACGAAATCGTTATCCTGGGATCGCCAGATGCTTGCCATATTCGAATCTGAAGACGACCGTCGCGTTGTGCTCAGTACACTCCCGATGCAAGCCTGACTTGCTCGTACCACTCCCCCTCCTTCGTGACCTTTGCCCAGCTCTTCCATTGCTTTCCAGCAGTTCTCTCTTTTTCTTTGTTCGCAATATACTATCAATATGGCCGGGCACGACAGTAGGCTCCCTGCAGGCTACACATGGCGTTCTTCAACATGGTTCATCATGGCGTGCATCGCAACTGCACTTTTTCTCGGTATCATGAACTGTAAGATTGAAATGATACACGACACTGCTCACAAATGCTACAGACAATTTTCTCTACAGCTACATTATCCCAATCCTACCAGTCATGCTTGAAAAGCGGCTCCACGTCGACGAATCGGAAACGCAGTCTGCTACGTCCCTTGTTCTCTCCGTCCACGCCTCTGTTGCAATGGTGACGGGTCCATTCGTCGGACACTTCGCAGATTTGATCCCCAGTCGGAAGCTCTCGCTACTCGTCGCCCTCGGAGTGCAGTTGGTCGGGACGATCATCATCATAGCATCGTTGTCGGGTAAGAAAAGCAGTGTACAACTTGCGAAGCAATAACTTGTCTTACCAGATATCTGCAGTGCCGGTCCTCGTCATCGGACGATCAATCCAAGCCATTGGTGGCAACGCAGCGTGGATAGTCGGGTTAGCCACCCTGGCAGAGACTGTTGGGAAAGAGAATACGGGCAAGGCTCTGGGGGCAGTCTCCTCGTTCTTTACTTCGGGCACTATGTTCGGATCGATGACTTCTGGATTCTTGCTACACTATGTTGGATACTGGGCTACATGGGCCGTAGCGATTGCTTCACTTACTGTTGACATGGTCATGCGGGCCGTCATGATTGAGAACAAGAAGGGAAGCGTCGATCAACGTACAGCTCTCGACACCTCTCCGGGTGATATGGAAGCTGCACAGCCGAACAACGCTGCAGAAGAGGAAGTCAACGAGCGAAGGGCTCTCCTCAGATCCAACGCTTCCTCCGACACAGAATACCAATCGTTCCTCATGCCTCAAACGCCAAACGCCGGCGACAACGATGACGACCGGAACTTGTTCAACTCCACTCAGAACTCCCGCCCCGACTTCCCCTCATCGTCTCCTTCGTCACCTCCACCAAGACAAGCACCCATTCCTTCCGCTCCACGCACCCCAGAAAATCTCTACAGATTCATTCTTACCAATCCTCGCGCCCTCACGGCGCTAGCAGCCCACGCCACTTCCGCCATCATAACCACCAGCATCGACACTACGCTTCCTCTCCACGCTCAACGAACCTTCGACTGGAACTCCGCGCAGATCAGTCTCATGTTCCTCCTCCTACAGCTTCCATCTTTGATTCTGGCAACTTTCATGGGAATGCTCAAAGACCGAATCGGTGCAAAACATCTCACCAGCTTCGGCTTCCTAGCCCAATCCGCATCTCTTTGGGTTCTAGGTGCTGCAACACAGGATAGTGAGGTCGGAGGAATGGCGGATGTGGTTTTTGGAAAAGAGACGAGAGAGAAGTACGCGGAGAAAATCACTTTGGTGGCTTTGGTAGCGATGGGAATCTTCAGGGCGTTTACGAGTGGAAGTGCGCTTTTGGAAATTACGAGTAAGTTGACCTTCTCATGATTTTGCCGTGAATATCTCGCTGACACTGTGGCCCGCGGAGATGTTATGAAATCTTTCCAGCCACCAATTATCAACCCTCCCGCTTCTTCATCCTCACCTCCCGAAGCTGGTAATACGGGCGATAAGGCAACAACGAAGAAGCCCAACAACAAAATGTCTTCTGCGTTTTCTGTCACGAACTTCACCTGGAACCTGGGCATGCTCCTCGGACCCATCATTTCGGGTGTTTTGGTGGAGAAAGTGGGATATTACTATATGAACACGGGCATAGGTACGTCGCTCGGGTTCCCTTAATTTTCTATCAAGGGCGTAAATATGCAAGTTGGTAAAGTTAATGACTGACACTGAATTCACACAGGTGGGATATCCACTGTCGTTGGAATATTGTCTGGTGTTTTCATGGGAGGAACGAAGCAAAATTAGTATCATGGATCAAAAATATGCATTATTTGGAGCGTCTATCGTTTTCGTTGCGAGAAAGCGGCATCTAGCGGGGCTATTGAGGTTTCGCGGTGAACTGAAAAGTGTTGGGAAAATTTATGCACAAGGAACAAAACAAATACTGCTGCAAATGAGAATTGAGCTGATTCCCGAGTATGCAAATTATTTACGTTGGCCCATGACCCGAGAACTCAGGAACAGAAAATGTAGCACACCCCCAGAGCACTACTTTACTTTTGTCGTATCGCTAATCTTACAATTCATCATGTTCTTCCGCAGCATCACGCTTCTTGCCCGCTTCCTCCCCTTGCTTCATGATCTTCTCATACTCCTCGTCGCTCACTTCCTCCATTTCGAACTCCATCCCCTCTGGCATCTGCGCCTTCAATTGCTCCTTCATCTTCTTCACTGCGTCTGACTCTGGTTCAACGTTATCTGGATCCGGCGCAGTCTCCTTCATTCTGACTTGATCCGGGTCCTCAATAACAACAGGTTCTGCAGGAAGTTCCGAAGCATCAACGACGAGACCTTCGGGAAGCTTCTTCTTCGGCGAATCACCCATGCGGATAGCATCGATCCAGTCCTCGATCTTGGATTGGTGGAAGTCGGCAACGGTGTAATGGCGGACCCAGTCTCGCTTACCGTTGATAGCGATGATTTCGACCTTGTCCGAGGCGAGGTCCAGCTTGCTTCGTAAAGCAGGATTCTGAGCGTTGGCATGCGGGATCTGGTAGAAGGGGAAGAGTTTGCGTCCTTCGTATTTCTGTTGGATCTCGTTGAGGCTCTTGATGGCAAGGGTCGTGCCCTCTGATGATGTGTCTTCTGGGAGCAGAGCCAGCACACATGTCCCTGCCTTGTCGTTAAGGCATTTGTGCTGAAGTGCCAGAGGATCGGCGAGTGATGCGATAGGTGTAGCTTCTGACTTAGGCGCGGCTGCTTTAGGGGTTGGCTTCGTCTCAGGTGTAGCAGTCTCGCCGGCTTCGCTCTCGGATGACTTCTGTGATGCAGACGACTTGGCAAACTTCGATGAAGAGCTGGCGTCCTTCTTCTTGTCGGAGCTGGTGGACTTCGTCTTCTTTTCCGACTTGGGTGGGTCTGGATTCGGCGTTGCGGCTTGCGACAGGAACTTGACAATCTTGTCTTTCTTCATCTCGCCATTGTATGTGACTGGATCCTTGCCATCTCCTGGTAGTAAGACAAGAGTAGGAAACTTCTCGACTTCGAAAGTCCCCACCGCTTCGGTCTCCTTGTCGCGGATCTGAGCCACATCTAGCCCACCAAGGAAGTCGACCGCCACAGCTTTGAGCGTCGGACTCACTGGGCCTTTGTTGGTGAAAAGAATCGCTTTTGGACCCGTGCCTTCTGCCACCCACGCCGCATAGTCATCATCCTTCAGCCTCTTCACGTGGTTCGGAATCTGTTCAATCACAGCATCCACAATCGCTTTTGCGCTTCGAGCGCCTTGGTAATCTTGAATGATTGGTCTGCCCGGCTTCTTGCCTGGTTTTGCAATCTTCAAAGTCGGGAAACCTTGAACGCCCATTTGGCTGCATAGCTGCTTGTTCGGTTCTTCATCGCAGTTCACGGCCACGACTTTGGCCAGACCTGAAAGAGATTTGGCCGCTTTTTCGTACGCAGGTTTGAGATTTTGGCAATGTCCACACCATGGAGCGTAGAACTCGACGATGCTCGTGTGATTCGACTTGTTGACTATGTTGTTGAAAGACTTGCCATCAGCTTGGATTACTGGTGATGATTTGTCGTAGAAGGCGTTAGTGGCGGGTAGCAACAATGACGCTGCCGCTAGGGCGAGAGGAAGTGAGTTGACCATGGTTCTAGGCAATGTGTTGTGAACTGTGTAGGATTATCAGTTCACAATTGAGTTTTCATGTTCCAAAGAAGAGGTGTTCGTGTGTTCGTGTTCGATCCTGTCAAGGACAACTGTTCGAAGTCGACTGCCATTTCCATGAGGCTGGATCGAAGCTTCCCCCGCAGCTTTGATGCAGGGGCCACCTGCTATTTCTGGGATCGCCTTGCACGTGGCATTGCCGAACGCCGCTGTCACAATCGCATATGCTGTCATTCACTCTTTCACATGCTATTTAGCTTGTGTTGATCCGGCCAGAGTATACTCAGAGTACTCTTCGGCTGAATACGAGGACACCGACCGGACTGCGCACACCACCGACAATAACAACATGGCCGCCGCGTTACCACCGAAGCTCAAGGCTGCCGCACCAGATGTAGGCCGATTTGCGACAAGAGCAGCTCAGCTGGAGAAGTTCAGGCCGATCGTGGCGTACTGGTGTATGTGAGCATTCAAGGAGTGATGCCGGCTACGCTGACCGGGACCAGGCGAATATTATATCCTACAGGCTATTCTCAGCCGTCAACTACACACCACCGACGAAGAATGCACGACTTATGCTTTGGGGTTGATGGACAAGCTCGAAGCTTACAAGGCTGAGAATGCTACAAACGATGCAGTAGTAGACGATGTGGCAGCAAAGGCATACATCGAGAATTTTGCGCTCGAGACGTTCAGCCGGGGAGAAGACGCACAGAGGAACAACAAGGTTACGAAACAAACCGCAGATACATTTCAGGCATCGGCTACTTTTATGGACCTTTTGACAATATGGGGGCCATTGGAGACAGAATTTGCGGCGAAGAGCAAGTTTGCAAAGTTCCATGCTCTGCGAATAGCAAGAGCGATCAAGGCCGGCGAGGACCCAAACGCTTCCAATCCTGTCATCGAGGAGCCACCTTCTGCACCACAAGCCCCAGTAGAGGATGATCTGGAGACACAGCTGAAGGCTTTGGAGAACGAGGAGAAGGCGTATCAGCCTCCGACAGTAGAAAGCGCACCCGACAGCAGGATACCTTCACGGCCCCAGTCGACATTCCAGACGAGTCCATTGGCGCAACCGACACTTCCCACGATAGACGTGCCTCCCACACAGCCTGCAGAACATGATGTATCGCCAATCGAGCCAGCAGACGTCAACAGCAGAGCAGGGTCAGTAGGCGGAGGGTACTTCCCAGCAGCGCCAGGAGAGCCATCCGGTCCAGGAGCGCCCATCGAACCTCCTCACATCTCATCGGACCCCGCAGACTTCTACAACGCTCCTCAACTTCCACCAATTGCCCCTACCGCAGAAGACTTCGGCGGCCTCCCGCAAGGATCTGCGGCCTCAAGCCACGTTGCGCCTGCGCCACCAGCTGCCTTGCCAGCGTTCTCTCCTCCGCCCGCTGCGGTTCCGGTCGCGCCTGTACGCGCGCCTATTGCTGTCGGCCCTCCAGCAGGTGGTTACAACACCGACGATGAGTCAATCATGGCCGCTCAGAAGCATGCAAAGTGGGCCATTTCCGCTCTCAATTTTGAGGACGTGGACACAGCAGTGAAGGAGCTGCGCATTGCCTTGAACAGCCTCGGTGCATCATGAAGGAACGCAGTACCTTCAGTGTCTGGTAGCGTTTGCAAATGCCCAGGGGCGTGAGTAATGGCACAAACGAAGAATTAAAAGAATGATGCAAGACTTGGGCCTGTTTCCAACAGTCTGGCGCACAGAAACTTCCCAGGAGCCCGTTGCCTAGCTGCAGAGCTTCGCAACGGTACGACTGGTACGCAGCATATGCAAGCTACGTGTAGGTGGGTCGCGTGTCATTCTTGAGCGTGGCTGAGCTAGAAACATGTGAGATCAGCTTCAACCCGACAAGGTCACTGAGGCTGTGGATGGTAGTGGCTCACCTGGTGCTGTCCGTGGTCAGCATCCACAGTCGGTATCGAGACCCCGCAGCAGCTGCTTCTGTACCATTAGTACTCTGGTCATCGATGTCAAAGGCGCATGGTGCTCACGGCTTGGCGAATAATAAGCACGCTTCGACCAGGATCGAAATGTGGGCCTGCGTCAGTTATCCGCAGCTGAAATGTTGTGTAACGTGAGCTAGAGGCTGGTCTGGTCCTACTCGCTCAAACATTTTCTCCGGCCTTCGTCTAGTGCACGATCATTGTCAGCTTCAGTACCTCAGCAGAAAGAATTTCTGGTGAAATGGCAGATCCTCTTTCGATTGCCTCTGGTATTGCAGAGCTCATTACACTTGCCGACATCATCATCGAAAGAACATATCGCTATATCAAGAACAGCAAGAATGCCACCAAAGATGCACAGAGGCTACTGCTCGAGATCCAGTCTTTCTCGGGTGTACTCCACAGCTTACGCGTGCTCGAATTGCAAGTTGGCGAGCATGCTCTGCAAACGAAAATTGATCCTTTCCAGCGGCATCAATGCCATGAACTACTCGAGGAAATCAGAGACAAACTCAGTGAAGCTCCTCTATTTGCCAAGACGAAAACGCAGAAGATAGAGCGCACACTCAAGTGGCATTGGACGGCAGACCAGGCAAAGGACCTGTTCTCACAGATCGACCGCCACAGAGCATCGTTCAACCTTGTCACTTCTATGGAATCACTCGAAACCGTACTCAAACTCAGAGTTGAGCAAGGCAATGCGATGAAAGAGTTAATTGATGTCAAAGCGATTCTTCTTCGGATCAAGCTTGACCAAGAGACGAATGAGATGCTAGACTTCTTCGGCACATTCGACTCGCAAGCAAACCACGCAACGAGCGTTTCGCTTAGGTCACCCGGCACTGGCCTGTGGCTGACAAGCAGCGAGGAATTTCAAAAATGGCAGGAGGAAAGAAATAGTAAATTGTGGCTATCTGGCATACCTGGGGCCGGCAAGACCGTCTTGGCCGGATTATTGGTTCAGGAAATGCTCAACTGTCTCACACCATCGAAAGGGGGGGCATTCCATTACTGCGACTACAAGAAGGCGAAGTCGGGAAACATCCAAAATATTCTAGCCAGCATTGTTGGCCAACTAGCGATGCAGAGCTCCGCATGTACTGCAATACTTCGTGGGGTCTACAAGCCGAGCGATAAAAATGTCACCTCTAGGACACTTCCACATGTGAAAGAGCTTATGGAGTTGCTGAAGAAGATGGCATTACATTTTGGCGAAATTATGCTTGTTGTTGATGCTCTGGACGAATCTGAGGATCAGGAATACCTGAGCCGGACATTGCACGATCTTGTGAAGTCTCCCAACTGCAACATCAAACTTGCTGCGCTCAGTCGCGACGAACAAGACATTCGACAGAATATGAGCGACTTCGACCACGTTTCTATCGCGGCGAGGAGCAGTGACCTCAGAATATTTGTTGCTGCAGAGATCGAGGAAAGAAGTCGGAATAGAAAGCTGCGCATCAGATCGCCAGGTCTAGAAGACGAAATTCTGGACTGCCTGATAAATGGAGCGGATGGAATGTGAGTCTTCATTATTATCATGTGTTCAGCTGCACAACACGTCTCTTCTCATCCTAGTCTGGGCAGGAGCGTCACATAGCTGACAGTCATTAGGTTTCGATGGGTTGTATGTCAAATGGACCACCTCTGTCAGCTGCCGACCGATGCCGCCCGAAGAAAAGCATTGAAAAGTCTGCCCCCTGACTTAGAAACAACATACGAGCGTATTCTGGCACGGGTAGAGCAAGCTAACGAGCACACGAGGACTCTGGTTCGCAGAGTCCTCATGTGGCTCGTCCGAAGTCCAGATGATGAAAACAACCATGAGAAGACAAAGCATGATGGGGCTCGACTCTCCGCCGCAGCACTCTGTCAGGCCGTGTCGATCAACGTAGAAGACCGAGAGTTCGAGCACGATGCCGCTCCTGATGTTGAAGAGATACTTATATGTTGCAGCTCTCTAGTCCGCCTATCACACGATGGTCACTCCGTTGAACTGGCACATTTCACTGTGGAAGAGTATCTCCTCAACGTTACACAAGACATGGAATTTGGCAAGGGGGCCCTCCGGTTTCACACAGCTACAGCCAACGACTACAGACTTTCGACCTGCCTGACAATGTTACTAATGCGCCATTTTGATCACGCACTCATCGATGATAGCTCTATCGAGCTTCGAAGGATACAGCACCCCTTCTACCATTACGCCGCTTTGTTGTGGCCCCGCTATTACAAGGCGACTTGTGATTCAAAACCTAACAGCCTAGCTCTGGAGCTATTCTCTCTAGAATCCACGGCCAACTTCCAAACTTGGGCACAATGTTATCTATATGGAACGCACAACTACCTCAGCTCCGGGATTCTCTCTGAGAATCTGTTAATGGTCCAACCAGGGCCTCTCCACTTCGCCTGTTTATTCAGCTTTCCGTCACTCGTCACTGAGCTGATAGAACAAGAACAGGACGTCAATGGCTATAGTCTTATCGGTGTCCCATTGCACTGTGCAATGCTAGACAAATCCACCATTCTGAGCAGTCAATTCAGCCCCTTTGCGTATTTGCACATTCCCGAACCTGCAACTGAACGCTCCAAACGCGTGGTCTCCGCATTGTTGGGAGCAGGTGCGCAGAGGTCAGCTTTCTTACCCATCGAGGGCAAGGAGCTATGGTCAATGCTACGCATAGCATGCATGTCTGGCCATTTGGGCGTGTTGCTTGACCATGGGTACATGCCTGATCAGGAATCGCTCGATTCCTTGCTTGGATGTCACAATGAAGCCTGGTATCACGAGGCTACCGCTCAGCTGCAGTCACGGCATTTACAGCACATCGATGGCGACATTATCTCAAGACTTATGTCAAGATCTCGAAACGTACACAGCTCAGTCGTTGCGAAGCTTTTGCCCGATACAGGCGACACGACAGCCAAGAAATACATATCTGCTCTGCGCTACGCTGTGACAACTGATGACGTGGGCATAGTGAAAGAAATCCACAGTAGACACGATCAAGGGTTGTCATATATGCTCGCCCTGGATTTTGCCAGCCGTCGTGACGATGACGAGCAAGGTATTGCGTGCACCTTGCTGAGGCTAGCGCTGAGGGAACAAGCCTTCAAAGTGGCCAACTTCCTCATCGATCAAGGTGCAAATATTCATGAACAGGACAGACATGGCGAGACACTCTTGGACGTATGCTGTATCGTGTTCTCAGACCAACAGTCACATCAGTTGGTGGAGCACTTCTTAAAATCCGGTGTCGCCCTGCGCCCATCCAGCTTTACTTACTGTATAAGGAAACAAAAAGTGGAGTTGCTCTCCCTTATAATGGATGTGCGACCAGAACACGGCATTGGCAATGTGTGTGACGAGGACGGCGAAACTTTATGGCATCACATAGTGCGAAGCAAACACTGTGGATTAGTCGATTTGTTCAAGAAACGTGCGCCTTCGACGTTTGTGGAAAGCATGATGGTCTTCAATGCTGCTGGTGAGGCCCCGATGCACTTGACAGTGTCACTCGGCCTGGAGGCAATGTTGCGTGACCTACTGGATAAGAAGGTACCGATGCACCTGCGGACTACGAAGGGTGATACGATGCTGCACCTGGCGGCACGCTTTCTGATCGAGGGGAATAGTGGCGACAAGGAACCTATGAGGCTGCTCATAAACGCAGGGCACACAATGGAACATCCCAGTGGAAGCGGGCTTTGCCGGAATGAAGCACGACAGACCGCGTTGGACTTCCTCCTGGACGCATCTACTGACGACGAGAAACGTGATGACTGCGAAGAGGGCATCATGCTTCTTTTGCCAACGCTAAATCATGCAACGCTACTTTCGTATACGCACCGTTCTAGGACACTTTTGACCTGGGCTGCTGATCTTACGTTGGCATCCACAGTAAGATTTCTACTTGCTGCGGGGGCAGATGTAGACCAGATCGGAGAAGCTATCCGCCCGGCTGGCATGACGCCCCTGGAGTATCTTGTTGAACGATGCAGCGATGCAGTACTGCTTTCAGCCGCTCTCAAGAGTTCCTGCGCGATCCACACGCGCAGCAAAGAAGCACGGTCTCTGCTATGCATTGCATTGGAAAGCGAAGCGGCAGAAACTGACATTGAAGCAACCTGCAAAGCATTACTCGACGCAGGGTATGATCCTGACATTCGAGCCCACGTGTACCCCCGAAGACCTCCGATAGTAGCCGCAGTCTGCCGAGAACATCTATCTGTGGCCGAACTACTGATTGAGCACGGAGCGGACGTGAGTGCCTGCGACGACAACGGCTCCGACGCGCTCTTTTATGCCGTCAGAAGCAATGACTTGGACTTTGCGAGGTATCTCATCTCATCTTCGACTCACTTTATCACTAACTCGTACAATCTCGACTCGCTCGTGCAATGCAATGACACTGCACTTGGGCCTGTGGAACTGGCTGCTGGCAATGGCGATCTTGAAATGCTTGAGCTTCTGATGCCACATCGACAGGCGTATTTGACACCCGCAGATGTCTCTCCACTATGGATTGCCTGTTGGGACGGCAAGGACGAAGTCGTGGACTTTCTTTTGCTACGCGGCGAGTCACTGGATGCTGTGAATCTCCAAAATGGCTCCTCGATACTGCATGCAGCAGCACACAGCGGATCGAGGTCGCTAATCGAAAGACTCATCAATTCGGGCCATGAATTCATCATTCATGATCATTCTGATCTATCGCCCGTAGATTATGCCATGCTGGCTCGTCACGAAGTTGTTGTCGGACTGCTCGAAGAGTATGAGAGATCGCGGCGCATAGCCCAAGATCCAAGCTCTTCGCATCCAATTGGTGAATCACGCAATCGATTCCATGCAGCGGTTACCCGGGCTATCAAAGAAAATGATTTGCCCACATTACGAACATTACATGCCGAGGGCTGGGACCCTAACGATAGATATTCTTGTGGTCGCTGCACTGCACTCATGAACGCCCTGCTGGAGACCAAGGTGGAAATCGGCGAGTTTCTAATCGACCTAGGGGTCTCCCCGAACGTTCGAGGCTGTCGCAATCACGCCAAAAGGCGCACTGTGTGGGAGATTGCGGCTTCTGAGCCACCTCTTGCCCCCGTGCTTGAACGACTACTTCGGCGGCAAAAAGAGCCCCGAATGCCTAATCGCTCGCTGGTAACACGGGCTGCGGATCCCTTTCTGCTTCACATTGCATCGAGTGCTGGGAATGGGGCGGCTGTGAAGCTTCTCCTGGCTCGTGGTGCCCATGTGGATGATGTGGATGACACTCTGGCCACACCACTAATCGTCGCTGCCACTAAGGGACACGAGAAAATTTTGAGCATATTACTTGGTGCTGGGGCGACCATCAACGCGAGGAATCGCAATGCTATGACAGCATTAATATTAGCCACCTATCACGGTCACGAAGGCGTAGTAAGACAGCTGCTAACCTACGACAATATTGATCTGCATGTGCAATCTATCCACGGCCTGACGGCGCTACCGTATGCCGCGGATCGCTGTCATTTGACGATCGTGCAGTTGTTGGTTGGCCAGGGACTAAATCTTGATGACAGGAACGCAGGAGTGCCATCTGCCAGAGCACGGCTGATCACGGCAGGGACGTCTGTTGCTGCAACTTATGCACTGCAAACTCAATACCAACTGCACGACTTCAATCACTTGTTTCGCTCATCACTTGATGGCTCACGACTCATCCAGATTCTGAGGAAGTACCCGTCGAGCTTCATGCACGAGGACTTGAACACTCAAGCAGTCTTTCAGGATATTCCTATGCCCATCACTGCCCTTTACTATGCGGTAATTGAGGATCTTGGCAAGTCGGTAGTGCCGCTCTTGTCTTCTGGTGCACTCCTCAACCTCGAGGGCGGCGAAGAAGGCACCCCACTCATGGCTGCTTGTGCGCTAGGCAGACTGTCACTCGCCAAGCTCCTTATCAGGCTTGGGGCGACCGGGTACTACATCAAGGACGGCATAGTCATCAGCGCGCTCAAAGCAGCCCGTCATTTCCCAAAGATCCAACACTGGCTCCTGGTCGGCAGGTACACTGATCAGCCGAAACTCACGCACAAAAGTCTAAATATTCCAGACGAGACGACTACGAGACCAGCATCCACTCGAATCGGTTACTCTTCTTTCACACCCTGGTCGGCTTTTGATCGAAATCTGGTGTTTGAAGAGGACTGGCCAGCCTACTTGAAGAAAATTGTCCCTCCTTCGACGAGGTCGTTCATTTGTCGTATGGAAGAAGGCATCAGCACATTATTGCTGACAGATATCGAAGCGGAACGAGGCAACGTTGCAATGTTGCAACTCCGACAGTGATTTGGATGGTAGATGGTGGTGGCATGGCATGATTTTGAGCTCAGGAAAACAGTCTGAGGGTACGATGTACTTGATTCCTTTACTCTTTGGTGCAATATCTGTGATGAGTTTCATTCGATAGGTCATACAATTCTATGATTCAATCATTTATGGTTGCAATCTCATCATGCCTCATAAATTGTCCACTCGTCACTATATGCTCAACTGCCTTCTCGTTCGATGTTTTACAGTCAACTCACGTCTGGATCAGAACGCACGCTCTTCTATACGATGCCATGGGGCCATTGTGAGTCATTGCCGCAGAACACCCACCCCAGACTCAGCCCATGCCAAGAGCCAGCCATCATAAACAGACATGTAGCTCGGCTCCACCAATCAGCACGGTTCCTTAGCTCAGTTGGTTAGAGCGTGGTGCTAATAACACTACAATGTGTTCAAACGCCAAGGCCGAGTACGACAGCACCGCTCTCAATCGCCTCCAGAGCATCCTGCTAACATATATGCAGGGGTTCGACCCCCTTAGGGTGAGCAATATCGTCAACGATTGACATTCAAACTTGTACTAATAATAACCAGGACCATTATCACCATTGGTGTCCTACCACCGCGACGTAACAATCGACGGCCATCTTTTTTGCCTTTTCTGCTGAAAAATAAGTGAATAGATAGGAAGAAGAAGATTTTTTTTTGGTTGGCTTAGGTGAAAGGGTAATACTCCACAAGATGCTGTGGATGTACCATATATTTTCATATGCTGCCAATCTTTTTGAGACTTCCACGAACACAATTTGTCCGTTTGCCATCGTTTTTCGATCGATACTGCTGTCCTGCCAAGCCTCTGACCGCGACAGCCAAAACTTTTCTTCCAAGTGCGGGGCCAGCTGAAGAAGCCCCTCACTCCCACCTTTCCGAGCTCAGATTTCCCACACGCCAACACCCTTCCGACTCATCGCTGTGAGCCTTCATATTGCAACACCCCTTCTCAACGGCACCACGTGACCTCACCCGTCACCATGTCCAGCTTGTACGGCGTCCCACCAAACCACTTACCTGTTTGGCATAGTTCACTGACCTGAATTTCTCAGGCATCGTCTAACGGTTAGGACGTAGGTCTCATACTCTCAGAGTATGACCTGTCTCTTCAGAGCAGGCTCTTCTACGAAGGCATCCTAAAATCTGAGTTCGATTCTCAGGTGGGTTCTCACTCAATTGTCCGTGTCAGTTGACTTGATGCTAATGAATCTTGCAGTGCGAGCAAATCAACTACGCACTGGTTGTGGTTTAAACATGACCGAGATGTCTTGAATCAATATGTTAGGTGACGAAAAGTCATCAGCAAGCCTTTCATTTTTGCTGTTCTTTATCATCTTTGTTGTGTGTCGTCAGTTGTGTGAAATTCTTTTGTGCAGGTGATGAGATTGTAGGAGTATTGCAGCATGCCTGAGACGTTGTTGCAATTATTTGCTACGTCTGGCTGCGGCACAACGTTTTGCATACGAATTCTGCATTAGTGACAAGACTGTCTCAGCAACGAACGAACATGACTAGCCGCGTTGCATTGAAACAATGAATTGATCAAATCGGCATGATACTGAAGGGCCAAGAGATGCATATACTGTTGCGTGACTTGAGACGTTCAACTTCAAACGGAACTTCTGATTAGGACAATTGAACCTGTCGCGTGGGGCTTGTGGAGACAGATCAGATAGATCGAGAGATCGCATTGTCGTGGCGTTGAATAATGACCAACACCAACAAGTGATGCGCTCGTGTTGGTGATTCGCGTTGACAGCCATTGACGTTGGCTGTGTTCAATGGCTAACAGAGTTCGATGAGGCACAGCGAGCACAAAGCTGACTCCTGCGGCCCAGATCAGCCATTGCTTGGCAGTCGAATATTAGCACGATAGGTGCTCGGGCATTGGAAGCGTCCCGCACGCGCGAGCTTATAGACATGACATGGCGTGACATGTCCACACGTGTTGTGCTTGATTAGAGTTCTCCAGTTGGGACGCTTCCACGAGAACGAGCACTTGTCGTGTCGTGCCGTGCGTTGGGAAGAGATGGAAGATCATTGACGGCAGAGTATCGACGGAGCCCGAGCTGTCGTGCCATTCAATCGATAATGCAATGCATGTCGATAATCGTAGGTACCTGCATGCCGCATCTGAGCTGGATCTCGGAATTCCAGTAGCTGTCTTGTGACATGGGCAAGATCAAAAGTATGGCGAAAGTTTGCGTTGAGCTCACGTAAAAGTGGTATGTTCGAGCATGTGCAAATGGCCGCGTTGATGCGTCTATTCCTCACCTTGTCGCCTAGGACCTTTGACTTGGCGCGGAGCAATGGAGAGGATTTCCACGGAGAGGAAGCTGGTGCGATGCTCAAGGTCCCTGCTAGATCTACAGCGTGGATGGGGCAGCAGAGGCAGCAGAGGCAGGGCCAGAAACGCAGGTACGGCGGAGCTGCATCCACATCCAGACGTGCAGAAGTGGAGGATGCGATGGATGTGGAGACGGTGTTGGCCGAAGTCGAGGGGCACAGCGACTTCTCGCATTGCTGTTCCTGCCTTTTACCCAGACGAGCAGATACCGACGGCTGCACGCTGATGTTCGCGAGTATTCCGTGGCCACCCGTATCCGGAAAGCACATCGTCGACGCGTCCGTGGTCGATGGCTGCCTTCGACACGCACAGCAGCAAAAGAGCAAAGAACGAATAGACGTCGGAGTTGCGATGTCGAGAAGAGTATTGGTCGCACGGACACGACGCTAGTCCCGGTGCGTGGAGCCGCACGCCACTTCCTCCCCCGGGTGCGAAAAGTTTACGCAACTCTCGCCCAGGAACAGAATCCTATCATCACCACGCCGCTCGACATTGCGGTTCCATCGCGCACGACGACTCAGCGCCGCCGACATTGCTGTGCTGCGCGTGTCTCCAGCCAGGATGCCGTGGCCAGCGCCCACCACACGACACTCGAGCTGAGACAAGCGCGGCGCCGGCGGCGATTTTGCAGTGCGAACTGTTCCGCCGGAATCGTGTTTTTTGCAAATTGCGAAAAGCGATCGCAGGACGAACTCCAGCAGCGAAGATGCCTGTCGGGCCGTGCAGAAGATCCTCCACGATACCCAACCTGTCACGGCGATGATAAAGGCGAGCAGTATACGTACTCGCGGGCCAGTATTGGTGATCTTGTGCCACCCGACAGCCGCGACACGCGAAGAGCAATAGCAGCAGCAACTCTACTCGCCGCAGCGCGCACCAGTCAGCAATGCTATGTTGCACGCGCATCGACGGTCCAGCGTGCGTACAGCAACAGACTTCTCGTACGCGCTGCAGCCGTCACACTCGGAAGAGGCGCCCCAATCACGCTGCGCGAACGCGCTTCTCGCAGCGACGCAGGGATGCTGCCATCGCCGAAACGAGCTGGCGCTAGTTAGTGCTCGGCACTTTTCTCGAAGCGGGCAACTGGCCAGGAACAACAGCGGCACCACTGCACCTCACCACGCACACTGCATGAGCCCGACATGGGCCTCCTCCTACTGGCGAAAGCGCACGCTGCCACGCCGCACAGGGATGGAATATCATCACACGTTACAGCTCCAGTGGAGGCACGCCCACGGGCCCGCTGCCGCTTGGCCGGGCCCTATGCGACGCCTGAGAATGCTCCATGAGCCTTGGTAGGTCGCTTGTCGTGCCCTGTCGCGTGTCAATCGCCGCCTGTCTTCCATCCAGAGGCGCCGCCCTCACATCTACCCTATCCCCAAGTCATTCCCTACAACTGTTCCATCATTGCTGCTCCGTGTCAGTCGCCGCCCGCACTCTCTCTGTCCGCACCCTCACGCTCCTTCTCTGCCCTCGCTGTCAGCGTTCCCGCTGGTCTGCGCCATATTTCGACAAAGCCCGAGAAACAATCGAATTCGCCGCTGCACGGGAAAATCGCTTGGCCCAATGTTCCTCGCTACTGTACAATGAACACCTGAGTCGCAAGAGCTGGAATCGATCGTCAATGTTCGCCATCATTCACTCACTTCCACGAAAATAGTCATCGAGGACAACAGCATATCATCGAATACATATATAACGACACGTGCAGTTCGTGCTGAGTTCACATCGCGGCCGTGAAGGTTGCGGACAGCCATGGCTACTAGCAACTCCACGCTGCTGGGCAACTGCGTCGCACCTTTTCTAGATGCATCACGATTTTCGCCCACCGATGGATGTGAGTTGCGAGCATGCTGGGGATTGCACATGTACTGATGCTCGCTAGTCATCGATGGTCGCCTCTGCGCACGAATCGAGGGCATCAATGGCTCGCCAACATGCTGTCTGCCCTGTCCCGCCTCGGAATGGGCCTACTCAGACAACTTCGATACCTACAACACAGCAGCGGAATGGCTGAACGTCATCGGCCTCGGCCTGCTATGCTTCATGCTGATATCCTACATTATGTTGCCCGCACAGCAAACTCGAAGCCATTATCTGAGTGTGTGCCTGATCATCTCGGTCATGATGATCACGTTAGGCTTCACGGTCCCCCTCGCTGCAAAACCGGAGCAATGCTACAACGAAATCACACCAAACGACATGTATACATCGATGCCGTGTGCCTGGGGAGGAGCCTTCATTGTCGCCGGAGGTCTATCCGTGGTCATGTGGGTGCTGATCCGAGCCCTGTCCATGAACCTACAAATCTGCTGGGATATCGTGCCTGGAAGGAGATTCTTCTACGTTTCGCTGATGTTCGGCTGGGGCGTGCCAGCAGTGCTGTTTCTGCTGACCATCACCCTGACCGGAGTCAGCTTCCGATTCGGCAGCGCCTGCCATGTCAACCACGAGAATTCTATGGGCGCCTTCTGGGGGCCGCTCATGGCCATGGCTGGCATTGCTGGCATCCTACAAATTATGACCTTGGTTTACTGCGGACACGTATACATGCGGAACCTCTGGAGTGATGAATCGGCCAATGTCTCCACCGCTGCCTCTGGAGGCCTTCCATCTTACCAAGGCAGTGAGCATACCAAGACAGCTCGCGCAGTCTACAGGCGGCTGAAGAAGGTACTATGGCTCCAATGGCGCGGCATCTGCATCGTGACCATCATTCTGGTCGACCTCGTCTTCTTCACTATTGTGTTCCTGAAGATGGACACCATGCAGAACGGAGCCCGGTCCAACTACGAAAAGGTAGTGCCGTGGTTGGCATGCTTGGCGAGCAATCCAACAGACAAGAACCAGTGTCTGGATCTGGTCAACGACTTTGTTGTGGCTGAGCCCGCCGTCGCCGCAGTGCTATTCATGCTTTCCTTTGCAGCATTCGAGGTCTTCCTTCTCTTGACGAGGCCGTCTATCTTCCCGGCATGGCTCGACTTCTTCCGATCATTTGGGAGACCTAAGCAACAGCAATTTGTCACCCTCGACGCCACCCCAGACCTCACAAGGAATACGTCTCACTCTGGCTTGGTGGACCCCAAGGCTGGATATCAAAGCACGACTTATGAGATGTCCAACAAAGGACCTGACCTCAACACAGACGGGCTTGACATCAAAAGCTCCGGCGAATCGGCCTTGAGCTCGCCGGAAACTTCGTACCAGACGCCAATCCACCGTGGACAGTCACCCGCCTTCGTGACAAATGGCCCCACCTATACCAACACATACCAACGCCCAGGATACCACCGCGAAATGCCTAATGACTGGGCGAACAGTAACAATTTGTACGAGTTGTCTGACCAAGATGCGAGACATTACCAACAACCAATGACCTCCTTCTCAAGACCTGCCGCGCCTGCACGGGGCAGCTTCTCTGACCAAGGTGGGGTCTACCCACGAGGTGGATTGGGACAAAATCCTCCTAGTGAGGCTTCAGAAAGTAGAGAAAACGTCAGCAACGTCCGAGCGGCATCCAAGAATGCGCCGAAGCTCAGGCTCCATCACTACGATCGGGATAATCGGATATGAGGCTGTATGACCGAGCAACGTGAACCTGTGATGAGCAAGCTCTCGTAAGGTGATCGTGTATGAAAAATTGTGTTTACTTTGAAGCGTTTAAGCAGGCGCAAATTCGGTGTTTCTATGGATTGTACATATTCCTTACTATCAGTGTGAAGGGCGAGAAGAAGAGCAGAGGTATGGCGGGATGAGCGTTGCAGTCGTTCCTGACCAAGCAAGAGCGAGGAATTCGATCGACAATATGTGCGTGTTTGCGTGCGCAGACTTAAGCGGAGCAATCCGGCTAATCCGAGCAAAGACAGTCGAGGGGGAAAGAGTCGGAGGAGATACCCAGGTCACCGTATATCATTGAGAGACGCGATATGAGATTGAAGACTCGAGAGTCGGAGAACGTTTGACATATAATATGTCTCTCATTTATCAAAAGCCAATATTATCATTCGCGAACTTTCATCACTTCATGAGAATTGCCATAGTCTCTGATTGTCTAACACCCGCCACCCTGTGACTTCTGTAGCTGATCTCGACCAGACTGCTTCAAGTATACCAGGCGACGTGGGAGGAAATAGACGGTGCCGTAGCATGTTGAACAGCGTGACTCACCGCTAACGGTGATGAACTGGCCCCTTTCGAGAAACAAGGAAATCTGCAGAGAGCTTGCCTAGAGCCTAACAGAAATGTCCATAGCAACTTCCCATGCCTGCTGTATGGCTATGACGTTGGCCAACTCTTGGCGTTCAAACTGAGCACCATCCCATGACATTGCTGATCACTAAGCCACTCTCAACCTCAATGTCTGTCTTTTTTATTACTTGGCTCCTTTTCTCGGTGTCGGTTTTCCCAACAATGGCCCATATACCGCCGTCACGATAAATTCAAGAGCCACAATGGCGCAAGAAGCCGCTTACTCCGCATCTCTCCCTTACCATGAACCCGGCATTGTCACCATCCTCATCATCTCTTCGTTCTTGCTCCTCCTGAACTGTGTCAACTGGCTTCTTGACCGTCTTGTCTTTTGTGGTCTCATCGGGCAGATTTTCATTGGAATTGCTTGGGGAGCACCTGGATCGAAATGGCTTACTACAGAGCTGCAAGAGGTGATTGTGCAGCTGGGATATCTTGGACTATTGTGTATTGTTTATGAAGGTAAGTAAACCCCCAAATTGGCATCCACTCATACTTCAGTAATGTCTGACTCGTCGTTGTAGGCGGCATCTCAAGCAATATCCGCGCCTTGAAAGCAAACTTATTCCTCTCTTCCGCCGTTGCGCTCACTGGTCTCGCGGCGCCCATTGGTCTCTCCTTTGTGCTGTTGGGACTTCTACCAGGAACCTCGCCTGTTCAAGCTTTTGCTGCAGGAGCAGCACTATGTTCGACTTCACTGGGGACCACTTTTACTGTTCTGGCCACGAGCGGATTGACGGAAAGTCGTCTGGGCGTTGTACTCACTAGCGCGGCGATGATGGACGATGTAGTCGGGCTGGTCATGGTTCAGATCATCTCGAGCTTGGGAGAGGGATCGACATTCAGCGAAGTGACTGTCATTCGACCAGTGTTTGTGTCAATTGCTTTTGCCCTACTGATTCCGATGCTATGTCTCTTCGTGGCGAAGCCGGTTCTGCTGCATGCGAGGACTTTCCTGGCGAGACCAGAGAATGGCAAATACCAGGAGGTGCTATGCTGCCAGAAAGCTGCTTTCGTGTACCAGACCGGAGTGCTGTTGGCCATGATCACTGGAGCTACGTACGCCGGGACATCGAATCTATTCGCTGCGTATCTGGCAGGCGCATCTGTTACGTGGCTGTGCGATCAATTGGAAGAGGAAGACAACAAGATTGCCAATAGAACCGAGCATGCAGGAGACCTGGACAGATCCAACTCAACAGCCGCCAGTGCCGTGAATCACCAGGCAGCACATTCCTCTGAAGACGGCTGTTCCGGAAAAGAAGTGTATGAGAAGTTCTACATGCACGCTGTCGACCACATTCTCCGGCCATTCTTCTTTGCATCTATCGGATTCGCTATCCCAATCACAAGGCTATTCACAGGCTCTGTTGTATGGCGCGGAATCGTGTATACGATCCTCATGATCTTTGCGAAAGTCATCTGCGGAGCATGGCTGATTCGCTTTGGCTCTATGCCTCGAGCAAAGGGCGTCTCGAATAAGCTCAATTCGATATCCTCAACTCTTGGAAAATGCTTTGGTATCGTAAAGAGCGACAAGCAGACAAAACGGTCGCAGCCACTGACAGAGCCCATTCCCGCCAATGCTCGGCCACGCCCGGAGTCTGCGGTCTTGCGACAGCCTTCCAATGCTACAGCAACAGCAGAAGCATCGACAGAAATCACTGCCTCGACGCCTGTAGCCTTAGCCAACACTCCCCGCAAACGAGCGTCCCTACCCAAGCCTAAGTCTCTATACCCCAGCTCCATCCTCGGCATGGCCATGGTCTCCCGTGGCGAGATTGGTTTCCTCATCAGTTCTGTCGCGGAAAGTAGAGGAGTTTTCGGAGCCGAAAGCCAGAATTCTACCTTCCTCATCGTCACATGGGCAATTCTTCTCTGTACGTTGATTGGACCAATCACCGTAGGGCTGCTTGTCAAGAGGGTGAGAAGGTTGCAAAAGGCAGAGAGGCAGAAGGCGCGTGGTCATGGGCAGAAGGAGGATCCGTTGGGCGTGTGGGGTATTGTGCCGCAGACGTCGACAGGTGGTGGTGTGGTAAGGTGATGTTGGGGTCATAATAATCTGGTGCAGAAAGGAGTGGCGGATACATGTATAGAGATAGAAGTGGTAAATGGTAAGTGGTAAATTGAATCTATCACCCGCCGAGTTGTGCAGGACATCACCCGACTTTGTTCTATCTCTCTTTGATGCACTTTCCCCACATGCTGTCCATCATAAGGGAAAGTCTGAGCAGCTTTCGATATGCGTCGCTAATTTACTTCAATCCCGGTCTGTATGTGATGCCCTGCCCCACGATGATTCCTATCGTTGGATTTGTCAATGCATGATTGCGAACCGAAATGCAAAGCCTCTAACTTTTCTCGACTTGAGCTTCGTCGAATATTCTGTTTCTGCTAGCAGTGGCCTTCTCGTAGTCTCTAGATCTTCTGGTTTTTGAGTCTGAATGTAATTTCTGGCAGTTTGATACTCCTCCTTCTCTAGAGCTCTCCCATTTGCGCTTGTGGGAGCATGCAGATTTGCGACGAATACGGCGGTGCAGCTTTGATGAGCCATGGGGTCATTCTGCGCCAACTGGACCCATGATTCCATTTGCTTGAGATTTGTTGGTCGGATCATAAGTGATTGCAACATGTTCCGATCCCGCTATGATGAGGTTGTGCAGAGGTTTGATCTATCGCTCCTGGGGTAGAATACCGGCACTATCGGCTGGTGGTTGTGAAGCCTGGTATCTTGCTCGTGGCGAAGGACATCTGGGAACCAGAAAGTCGATCATGATAGATGAGTAACTTGGGTGTGTCCAAGACAGGTAGATGAACGCTGATGCCCTGTATCAGTCATTGATCAAAGGAAAAAGTCTCCTCATATGTCTTCTCGATTCGAAAGCCGGACGTCAAGCGCGACTTGCAATGCGAATACAGTCAGCAATATCTATATTGGCTAGTCAGTCACTGAGTCAGGCAGAGTTGCACATGGGAGTTGGACATCGCGAACGAATGCATAACACAAATCAAGCGCATCGACTTACCAACAAACTCCCCACCCCCACAACACCCAATTCCCACCCACCACTCACAACTTTCCCATACACGGCCATGGCATCCTGCTGCCTCCAGTATCGTATCGCGCCAATGACCACCACGATCAACGCAGCAGATTGTAGAATGACAGCGATTGGGATGCTTAGGACATAGAAGCCAAAGACTGGATCTGGATTTGGAGAATGCTGTAATCGCCAAAGTTGAGCGACGACAACTCCCATCATAGATAATGCAACAGAGGTACGCAGATAGCCAAGAAAGGTGCGTTCGTTTGCCAAATGGTCGCGACAGTCGACGTGGGGGACCGTAAGTTGAACATTGTGGCGCCAGAATTTCTTGAGAGGGGTGAAAGGGGATATTGAAGATATGGTGCTGGGGGTGAGAATGCGGGAGATGCGTCGCGGTGCTTCTGTTTGCTGCTCATCGTCCTGAGGGGTCTGAGCAGCGGAGGTCGAAGTCAGAGGAGGGAGTAGTTCGGTGGCTTCCCGTTCATGAGCCGGTATGCCATCTGGAATATGAGCTGGCTCTGGTTCGGGGATGGGAGGTGCATGCTTCGCGTGGTCTTGTCTCACTTCTGCCATTGTGGACTGGGCACTTTGCCTGTTGATCCTGGTGGCGATGCAGTCCAAAGACTGCAGTTATGCCCAATGACCAGCGTATAAGGTGTCAATGGCATATGGAGCTCTGAGTTCGAAAGATAGCATAAACGCAGACGGACCTACCGTTGCACAGTCCATCGTCTCACCACTGACGCAGTAGAAGTGTGCCCCACGTGACCTACAGAACCTCGTAAACCTACAATTCCAGCATGTTTTTGAGGTAGTGTTTCTCAACCATTACTGCATAGATTGTTATAATTCAAACTGTATTATAATCGCTATATATTAAGCTTG